TGAGGTGCCGTTAACTTTTTTAACTCAATTCAGAGTTTAGCCAGCAGGTTCTGTGCTCCACACTGTAATTCGTGTTTCATTATCACGGCTGAAAGATATGTTCCTATCATCCTCAAACATCTCTGCGCCTCATGAATGCATGGGGAATTTAACCAGATAAAACAGACACTTTGTTTGAATAGCTTTTTCCAGGAATACATATTTGAAATTCTAAAGCTGAAAAAAGGACCCTCACTGAAGCCTTTTCAAATTTGAATTCAAGTGAACCTGGCTACCTGTCATTTGTCAACCTCAGTTGTTTAATGATAGGTCTCTGCTCTGCTAAGTTGCATATACAGTACATGGATTGTAAAAGCTGAGTAATAGCCCAGAGCAACCTAGCAAGCTGCACAGATTTATTTTTAATTGCCGCGTAGAATCACACTGGGTCTAGTTGCATCGACAACAAATAATGTTATGTAAGCAGCAGTAAGGTTAGTAGAACTTGGGGATTGGAGTGACTAGAGAGCAGAGCATATACTGGGTGTGAGCACTAGTGTCAGATCAGAAAAGTAATTGCATCAGTTTTTGCATTGACTTGCGTCACATCGTTCACACCACCAGTGAATTGAAACATGACTGCATGAACTGTTATTTTGGTATATCCATGTCCCTTTTTCCTGTTCCTTTTTCCACCCACTCAGTTAATCGTACCCCTGCAGCATGTACTTTACATGTCTGATTGATGTATTAGCAATGACTGCCTTAATAGTAAGCCTTCTCCGTGACTGTTTACAAGCCTCGCTGCTATTTGGGGATTCCTTGATCCTTCCCTGCAGATGGGATATCAAAACATGGCGGCCCCACAATTACAAGTAGATAAGAAGCTCAGTGTAAAGGCTGGGGGTCAAGCTCAAGTTGCACGATCCAAGGTCAGACAATGAAAGAGATAAGAGCTTATACTGGAGGTATTTTCTGTGGCCCCTTCACAAAGGTCTAATGTTGTTGTTGTCGTAGTGTTAGTAGAAGCAGGGCAGAGATTACTGCTCGTGGCCTCAGATCAGACAGATTGAGCAGGGGCTGGGGGGTTTCACGGTCACTTAAGAGCACGACACACTTGGACAAGCTCCCTTTACTGGGCATTAAACACAATTAAGCGAAAGCGCTCTATAACTCCCCACCTGGACTCTTAAACCTCCTTGTGTTCCCCTCGTGAGCATTAAGTCCTACTCTATCTGGTCTCTTAAACTATTGCCATAGTTCTATTCCTCCCCTGCTTCCTCGGAACCATTCCTCAAGCTTTACATAATCTGGCCTTCTGTATATTAGCTGCACTATAGGGACATGACCTTTACCAGCTTTTTCAATTGACGTATTCATTTTCCTTTTTTTAATTAGGGTTGCACAAAAGGGCCACCGGGTGCTTCCCAGCTAATACAGTCGCCTCTGAATTATTTAGACTATAGATGATTGAATGTCGTACAACACTACTGCTCCTCTCTTTCTCTCCCTCTCTCACGAGTGGTCAGACCACTCTTACGTTCTGGGTGAGGAATCCAATGCGACTTTACTGTCATATATATGTGACTAAACGAGTGTCCTTCTCTCAGATTCTGCAGGGCGGGCTTATTTGCTGCCCCCCTTGCCTTCGACCTTGACAGCAGCACTCAGACTTTGTTTGTTAGAGCGCCTACTTCAATCTTTCACAAGATCACACCCGCAGCACAGTCTATCAGTGCTAGAGTTTGAGCACCCTCAAATGGGGCTTTTATCTACCCTATGCACATGCAGCCTTGATTATGTTTCTCTCCGTGTCCTCACTGTTAATTGCATCTTGTCATCTCAGTGCCTTCAGGAGAGCATGTGTATTCATTCAATATTTTGTGAAATATAATATTAGACACACATAAAAAAACGAGTTATGTTCTAGGGTGGTATTCTTAAAAAATATAAGTATAACTATAGACATATGTAAATGTGGTTCTTTGAGTGGATGCACTTCACAAAGTGTGCAGGGATGCAAAACTCAGCAGCAAAACAGTTACCTACTTTGTCTAACAATTCAAACTAAATGGTAGCAAAAAATGTCAATCTAAATTTAAAAGAAAGACACATTTCATGAATTCGGTTTCTTTATTAAAGGGGACCTATCATGCTAAATGCACTTTTGTACGTCTTTTAGACATGAATATGTGTCCCCGGTGTGTCAGGGAACTCACCAAGTGTCAGAAAACACAACCCTCTCTCTTTTCCTCCATACCCAAATCTCTAAAAAAGGGGCTGCAACGGATCTGATAAAAACTGATCCAGATTTGAAATTGTTCTGACGTCAGAAACAGGGAGCTCCGCCTATATGGGCAACTCTCCACCTATCAGGGGAATGTGGGGTTGGGCCATGGCCATTGCCGCTCGAAAGTGCTGGAGACGCTGTAGTACATATGCCAGGCCTGTAGGTGGCGCTGTAGTCTGCCACACAAGCAGCGAAGAAGACTTCTCACAGAATCAGCCCTTGCAAAAACAGGGCTGGAAAAGAGCAAATAGAGCGAAATGAGGCATGGCTAAAATGCATGATCTGTTTGGTATTTTGAAGAAAAAAACTTCACAGACATGTTTTATATAGGTATGGCCCTACAATATATTATTCAAATATAGCATGATAGGTCCACTTTAAATGAAAACGTGTTAAATATCACTTCAATGAAGCTGTTCTCAGCAAGCAAATCACAGACAATGAACTTGGCATTTCAAATTCCCTGCAGCTATAGGGAAGTTAAATGCAAAGTCAAAGTTTATATTATGTTAATTATAAAGTTGATTAACATAAATGCCATTCTTTGCCTTAATACATATGAATACCAATAATAAAACACTAATGCGGTCAAGTTGGTTACCTTCAGGTTACTGCATATTTTGTCCTTGTGCGTTGCTTGAAATATAACTAATATGTTTTGACTGTAGCTAAAGTTATACTACAAACAGTAAAAAACAGTCATTTTTGTAAAGATTCCTGGGAAAGTGTCAGAAGATTTGTTATTTTCAGGGAAAGCATAATCCCTGAGGTACACCTACTGAAACAATGTCCCTCATGGAGGTCAGCTGCACAAAGGTCACGGGTTATTTAGAAAGTCACTGCACTCCTCTGACACTGGAGATGGGGTTGCTCAACTCAGTTTATGTACCTACAGATCCTATAGGACTCATTAGACCTGATGCATCCCCCACCACCTCGTCAGGCTTGCATTTAAAACCCCAATGTTTCCATTCCACATCATCCCCAGACATCTCTGAGAGCCACTTTAGAGTTTGGTGGACTTGTAATGTGCCATTTAGTCATTTAGTTTGCCTGCAATGTGACACAGCTGATCAGCAGAATTGTGCTATCAGTCAAACTGAGGCCACTCTTTGTTTGTTGTGAAAGTTCTGCAGCACATCTCAATGTTTGTTGTGCTATTCATCAGTTACATGTTGTCCGATTTTGATTATGAGCGCTGTGTGTGGTCGATTCATTAATTTGTTGTGAAACAGCAAAAGGAAGCAGGGATTTATTCATAACTCCTACCTGCTGATGACTGTGTGTGCACACGTTAGCTAAATGTGTGCTTTGGTGTTTATTTGCATGCACGGCAGGTTTTGCACATATTGCTGACAGGCAAGTGTTCTGTGGTGCGAAGATGAGAAAGAAAAGGGGAGCAGTGGGAATAGAAGGGTAGAAAGGGTGACACTGCGATGATTTACCTCATTTGAGATTTATTTGGGTATTTCATTCTGTTAGGTCCCGGCAAAAATGTAATTTGTAAGAAATAGTAAATCTGTTTACAGTTCTGTTTCGAATGGGTGTTGAGAGAGGTATCCATAGATCTCTTCATTTTGCTCTCAAAGTGCACCAGATTGATGCTTTTAACTTCAATATTTAAAAAATAAATCTTCCCGGGGGAGCATGCCCCCGGACCCCCCTATGTGAGGTCCACACACAACCTATAACATAGCACTTTACCCCTGCTTACACCTATATGCCGTGAGCAGATTATCGAGCCTTCATTGTAACAGTCGCGGGTACACTGTGTATTTGCGACCGATACATTAATGGGAAACCCTAAATGTTTGAGCACCCTCTATGAAACGTCAAGCTGCCCCGCCACAGCACCCCCAAAATAAATCTCTGGCTCCGCCACTGAGCCTGCAGCCCCGTTTTGAAGAAATGTGCAGTGCAAAACAGGCTCATTGCAGCCACTAATGATAAGACACACTTTGCTAAATATCAGCATTTTCTATCTTTTCATTTTTTTGCACAGATTGAAAAGTGGCAAAGTATTATAATTTATTGTTCTAGCAAAGGGATTGCACAATTGTATTATGTATTTATTTTTTTGAGCACACAGACTTATGGAGCATTGTTTTATTATCACTGTTCTAGCAAAGTGATTTTTTTATTTTTTTGAAAGGAATGCTCACGTTCATATTGATGTATTTTAATAAATGTTAACTTGGCCCATTACGTGACTATTTGTGTTGGGGGGGCCCGACTTTTTTTTTTCTCCAAAGGGGGGGCCTGACAGAAAAGGTTTGAGAACCCCTGCTCTAGATGAACCTCAAATCTACTGCAGGTCGTTTTGGGAAAGTTTTTAAATGTTTTGAAGGTGGCAGTAATTACATCTGTGTTTGTTCTGGATTCAGCGTTATCAGCTCCCACATGCAGAACAAGCACGGCCCGAGTCCAATTGTTGCTAATCTCCTGCATGGCTGTTATTTGCTTATCATAGTCTTAATTGGTGTAAACCTTTTAGATTTTCGTGTTTTGTATGACTGTGTGGGCAATAGCGCCTGTTGCACTGGGCTTTTTGAGCTAGAGTTAGTTTTTATTAAGAGCTAACCTACTGTCATTTTTCTAAAAGGTCTGTCATTATAAGCAAATCTTGCAGGGGCGATCTTTAAATGTAACTTGTTCGTAATAATCACTCCTGAAGCTAACCCTGAAAATCTGCTGTTGGTGTCCTAACTCTTTCTTATCTCTTGCCTTTCAGTTATGTGGCTGCGGGCTGCTGGGCGTGGGCATCTGGCTCTCTGTGTCGCAGGGCAGCTTCGCCACCTTCTCGCCCTCATTCCCCTCACTGTCCGCTGCCAATATGGTCATCGCCATCGGAGCCATCGTCATGGTAACGGGCTTTCTCGGCTGCCTGGGTGCCATCAAGGAGAACAAGTGCCTGCTTCTGAGCGTGAGTTCAATTTACATACCTACGCAATGTCCCATTATAAATAAGACACCCTCAGACGGCTTTCTTCTTATAAATACATTGACACACTGCGAGTCCTCTCTCACTGTTTCTCTCCTCCTTTGAGTATTTTCACATTCCCCATGCAAATATTGACGGAAATGTCTTGTGGAGACAGCCTCTCACATATGTGTCTACACACCCACACACACTGGTCACAGGCCAGTGAGAACTCAGCGGTGTATCTGTGTTTGTCTTCCGGCGTAGGTAGGCGACTGACAGGACGGGTTCAGTCTGCATTGTGTCAAACCTCAGGGACTCTCATGGAAAATTAAAGCTGAGCAGTGTGAATCTGCCATTCTGCAAATGAACACCAACGCATTTGTGTCATTCCAATGACTCTGGACACATCCCAGAGAAAGAGCTGTCAGTCAAGAGGCCTTTTGTGTCACCAACAAGGTTGAATTACCAAATGTACAAAGCGCGCTGAAAGCTCTTGATATTTCTGAGCTCAATATTGGGGAAGTTCTATTATTCCTTACAAAGTCTCCTCATTGCACTTTTGTCGCATAGTTGTACAGGTGTTTTATCTTGAGCAAGTTAATTATAAAAGTTCAACCAATGGAATGAAGTTAGCACTGCGAAAAAGGAAAGAAAGGGAAACTTTTATGAGAAGTGGAGTTGGGGCTCTTGGTACTTAACATCACAGACAGCTCAATCCCTTGAAGCTCCGGCATCAGTCAAAAGCTCCATCGAATCCTGAGTGTTCGACATGGCTTCCTCCACCTGCCTAACAGGTGTGAAGCAGCGAGAGGAAGAGAGCAGAGGGAAGGGGGAGGGTGGGCACGTGAAGGAAAGATTTAAAAAATAGCAACTTAATGGAAAATGTTGACGTTTTTATGTTTCTCATTAAGTCTCTTTTGACATCTGTGTGGCAGCTTTTCACATTTAGCCTCGATAATTCTTTAATGCAAAGGTGTATGCAAGTCATTGTTGTTCTTATCCCCAGTCCATCTGTCCCGCTCAATACACCCTTGGGTGTGTGTGGTGGGGGAGTGCAGGATATATAGAAACATCAGAGTGGGTTTAGATCTCCCGCAGCAAACAGATCTGAGCATCTACCTTGAAACATTATCTCTGAAGATACACTGCGGACAACTCTCTCTGGATTAGCAATATTCAAAGGCTAGACATCCTTTGCGGTACATTTTCAGTCTCTCTTTTTCGCTGCCAAAAAGTGTTTACTGATACAAATTTTAGCGCAAAAAAAAGTGGGAGAGAGAACACTGAAATATCTGGCTGAAGCTCTTTAAAACCTCAAAGTGTGAATTGCTAGCAAATTAGAACATACACACAAAGCTGTGTGTGAATAAATACAGACACCTTCTCACTTTATGCCATCAAAGCACCACCAATTTAGTGTACAGAAGCTGCCCCTTTCAGCGCCAGTAGAATGTGACAAACCAACTGTGAAGTGATAACAGCAATACGCTGAACTGGCAACCCAGATAGTCGACTAACAGCAAACTGTTGTTCATTTGGGCCTTGACACAAATAATAGTCTAAGCGCTAAATAAATTGGGTTTTCCAGAATCTGGGTTTGTGCACAGCCTCATCCCATGCTGTGCAGAAGAGCTTGCTAAATATTGAGCTGAAGTGGAGTCAAGTAGGGTGAGGACAACAGTAGATGAGATGCAAGGCTGTGTTGGGAAAGAATCTGGTTTATTAAGCCTTATTTCCTTCCTCTCACACGTTCACATGCCCTCCAGCACTTACAGTAGATTCCCCTTTTTTCTTCCCACCTTTTTCTTAATCTCTATTTTCTGTCTTTCATTATCTTCTTTAAACTCTTTGTTTTACATTCACACATTCCCTGCACACTAGCTGAACATTTGCTGTAGTTTAAAATATTGAAAATATGTTCATTTTCTTTCTTGCCGCTGGTAATCAGTTGGATTAGCTTACCACAAACACAGGAACTGGTAGCAGCACCCCAAGAGCTCACTTATTAAAACATTACATCTTGTTTGTTTAAGTGGAAGGCTTTTTTTTGGCAGCGTGAAGATATCCTGGAGTTTTATTGTCAGTTAGATTATCACGCAACCAACAGAGACTCAAGTCTAGCAAATTAACCCCATAAAATTACGTGTCTTTATTGCAATTTGCATAGATTTAGCAGACAAGATATATAGTATTAATTAGTGAAATGTAGTGGTGCTGATAGGCCCATTTCATTACCCTTGGACTAAGTCAAACTAGCTAGCTAGCTAAACTACGCTAACATAGTTTCATGTTAACCATACATGAGTATCATCTAACTATTGAGAGAGCATTATGCATATTTTAGAACTATTCCTTTACCCTAAATTGACTTTATTTGACGTGAGAGTATCAATAAAAAGCTCTTTTAATCACACAAGCAGAGACTTTTGAAAAATGTGTGTTAACTTCATGTCCGGTCGCACAGAGACTCTCGGATATAATATTCAACATGTTTTTATCAGCATTAGTAGGTGGATCAACACTACTGTCAAAGCCATTTTAAATCAAGCCCCCCTTCCCCTCTCTCTGTCTGACAGTTCTTCATTGTCCTGCTGATAATCCTCCTGGCAGAGCTGATACTGCTCATCCTGTTCTTCGTGTACTCAGATAAGGTAAGTTCATTTGGTTTACCATGTTATGGATGTTAAAGCTAATGTATGGTATTGTTGCTCTTCACTCTGTAACATGTTCTTTATGCCTACCAGCATATTGCTACAGCTTATCCCTAAGGTGTACAGTACATGCAATGCCTCAGCTGTCAGGCGTACATTCATGTCTTAAAGCGAACAGACGCACAAAAGCACACACAACTACACAAAATAATATAAGGTGTTAGTGTGATGAACTCTCTTCTCCAGTTGCTTCTGGGTATCTCAGTTCACTCTGTTTTCTGTGGTTGTTTCTCATGCAGGAGGCTGAATATCTTCACTCAGCCATTAACCCTGTAGTCAAAGGTTAGGCCATAAAATGCAGCCAAATCCCACCAGTTGGCTCCCTGTAATTGGCCCCAACCACATTTCCCATGACCCCCACATGGGCTTGAGTCAGGTGAATGTCTGTGTGGTTAAAACAGATGACGATATGTAAAGCTGTAGAGACTTTCAACAAACAGACTCTTCTCCATGTGTCATCACATAGACAAATGTTTAAATTGTAACATGACAAATGTCTTGTGCGGGAATAGCACTCAAGACTTCTATCTGTTTTCAAGGACACGTCGTAGATAGATCCGTCTATTTACATTATCTTGATGCCGCCCGGCCCGTGGGGCACGAGCTAATTCTCGCTCATTTGTTCTGAGGTTATTGCTCAAACTTAGTCTCTCAGGCAGATAAAGGAATTCATTTAGCAGCCAATCCATTCTCAGATTCAGCTCAGGTCTCGGAGGCAAACTCTGTCAGGAGTAAATATGTCTGTTGCCTTATCTCCAAAATATTACAGGCTTAACTTTGGAAAAAAAATAAACTCCAAAACCTGATATGGAATTTAAATGGAGACACCCTTGACTTCACGGCAGCGCTTTTCCACTGCCTGTGAAGTTTGGAAAAGATAGCCAAGTGGGTTGAGAGTTTATTTAATGTCAAATCAAATGAGTGTGCATTAGTACGGGGGAGGGCATTAGTCGGGTAGAACTGCCTCATTCACACCAGTGAATTGCAACCATATTTTATGTTTCCCTCATGTTGCCAAATGACAGTGTTTATCCTGGCTTAGACTTAATGGGATGTGAAACCACCATCGCAATCCAAATATATTTCCCTTTATTGGTCTTCAAATGTCATTGAAAAGAAAAGTAATAGAAGCAAACTACTGTATATCTTATTGGAGATGGCATTTTTACACGGCCTCCAAATAAGACATCCTGCCAATTTCAGGGAATTGTATGACGTCAGTGTTTTTCAGACTGCATTATATGTCAGGAATGTCAAGATTGGTTGAAGGACAGTATGTGTCTGTCACGCAAGACCTTCAGACATTGCCGTGTTTTTTTCCCCTTCCTCTTGACTTGCCTCTCCCCAGTGAGATATAGTATGCTGTGTGAGGCTCTCCTCATCCTATGCTACAGGCTGTGATCAGAGGAATCACTAATTCACTTCTCCTGTTTGATCTTCTAATCACAAGGCATTTATTAACAAGTCTGGATGACACAAAGTAGTTGGCAGCTTTTGAATGTGTTTCGGCGCGTAAAACAGATATTTTAGTCTTTCAAATGGGTCATCTTAAAATCATGAGTGACGCCTCTGCAAACTGTGATCTTTCCGGGCGACAAGCTGTCGACGAGATGTGGGAAAGAAACGAACATATAGTATCTGGTTTTGCCCGTGGAACACATTTTTTCGCAGCTTTCATTTAGTCACACTTTCTTCCTCTCCTTATTTCTGCATTTCCACCAGTTTAATCCTACTTAAGAGCTTCTGCTCTTTCTTCTTAATGGTAGTCTTACCTCCAGGTATGTGTAGGTAGCCCCTCTTTCCATCCAAAGCCCAGTAGTGTTAAGCTCTCTGATTAAATGCCATGTAGAGGCCGTGGTATAATAAAGACAGGCCCTGCAGTTAGCAAGCAGCTGACTACAGCAGATGGCTGGGCCACAACCCAGATTACAGCCATCCGTCTTAAATGCAGTGACCTCATTGTTACTGCCTCTGCCGGCCAAACACGCCGAGCTGAACACCAGTGAAGGTTTTCTAGCTCAGAATTAGAAAGCAGAAACTGGTAAGCACAAATGGGAAGCACCATGTGCTAGGGGCTATAGGGAGAAGGAGAACATGCAGAGGTGGAGGTTGATACAGGTGAGAAGAAAAGGGAGGTGAGATATCTACTGTATGGCAGGGAAGGAAAAGAAGATAAATGTGTAAGGGACGGAAGGTGTTAGAGGAAAGAGGAAGAACACATCATTATTGTGTAAAGGGAGGGCAAAAGTGAGGTGAGGTGTCCCTGCATCTTTTCCTGTAATTTAAGCCAGAGTCAAGAAAAAGTCATGGAGCAAGAATTAAGGTTAATTACAAAGGTCACTAGAGACAGTTTTTTTGTATAAACTCCTAGCAATATCCAGAGAATCAGCACTTTGTCCCACATTTCTTCAATCATACATGTATCGCACAACAGTAGATTGCCCTTCTTAGAAGCCGTCTCACTTACTGGAAATACTACATTTGGTTTAGGTAAGGGTTAGGTAGATTGTGCAGAATGCAGGAAGGGTTACATTAAGGGTCTGCCCTACAGAAAGAGGCTCCGAAATCGCGTCGTCACTTTAGTAAGACATTTCTCTTGGCATCTTAGTGTAAATAACCCTTCCTTTCACCTTTTGTTTACTCCTGGTTTCACAACAACGGCATTGTCATGAACAGGCCCATTTGCTTGCTACCTTTTCGTACAATGACCGGCACTATTCACACATTGGCTCGAACTTGCTATCCCCTGATTCAAAGTTCAGCGCACTATACCACTGAGCCACAGCCGCCCATGATTTATCTTAATAACAACCCAACAAACCGGCACCCATATCTAGTCATGTGTTGCATTCGTTTACAGGACGAATTATGTTCACTCCCTGGCCCAGCTTTATTTATTTCCAGACCAATTACAGAGAAGTAGTGGGGTCTTCCCCTCGCTCTGTCGAGTGCCCTGGCCTCAGGCTCCCCGGCACAGGCTTGCAGAGCAACTGAGGGAATTAAGTATCCTTTTTAATGATGTGCTGTTGGGGACCTCTGGCTGTGATGCTGTTTCTCTCCACATCATTTATTACACTTTCCGGGCAGTTAGCTAACGCACTTGTCCAGTTGAGCAATGAGAGCAAGAGTAAAATATTGTTAGATTCCGTTCTCAGGGTACTCGAGAGTCAAAGGATGTGAACATTGCCCTGACAATATACATTTGACCCAAGACGTATTATGAAATAGAGTTTACTTTGATCACCTTGGAAAGAGGAACCATTACATTGAATGTAACACATGTGGTGTAGAAAAGAAGGTTGGTGTGGGTTCACATGGGCTGATCCTTCAAAAGCTAATAATGTAACAAAGGTTGGGACTAGAAGTTCAGTGTTTGGTTATGACGTAACACTTTTTTAATACTGTTGTTAAGCTCACTGAAAATAAGCACAACAGAGAGTGTAGTCTGACAATAAAGACAAATAAGTGACAATTTGTTCAGAAAGATGGAATCATTTGGAGACTTCATAAAATGATTCATGTTCAAAGACTGGATGTGAGATTAAAGCGAGGAGAAAAGGTGAGAAGAAAAGGGAATACAAATTGGCAAAAGAGTAGTCCTGCAAAGTGGAAATGTGGAATAGCTACAATCCTCTTTTTTACTGTAAATACCCACACGATGTATGCCTATTCCTCGCTGTACCATTGGCAGGATTCTAAAGCTTAGTTGCTTTTATGGAAAAGATTCCACACATGTTTAGGCTAAGCTACCTTCTAGAACAAGTAAGCAGCTAGCCGGTGAACACAGTGGATCATAGAGAAATGACAGAGATAACTCCAAAAATACTGCACTAGTATCTGAACACATACATGTAAATTGATTTAACAATCCGGACTCAAATATGTATATATGTTCATTTAATTCATTTCTTGTTCTAACAGTTACTTACCTGTATATAATTTGTTTTTTATTGTGAATCTGTACTGTCCTGATGTTCGCTCTCACTCTGTTGCTCCTTAGGCTGGTGCCCCACGGGAACGCATACGGCAGAACGCATAGGATTAACGCAATCGCAATCGCAAAAAAGCTTCCGTCCACACGCAATATACACCGGATAGTGTCTGTTCACACGAGACAGCTCCGTTTAGCTCCAACCACTGGAAAAAGCTGCAGTACATATGCCGAGCCTGTACGTGGCGCTGTAACTTCCTCCACAAAAAGCAGCGAAGAAGCATGGTTGTCATGGTTGCCCTTCTGTTTATTCACCGTGGTGGGGGCCGAGGGAACCGGGCAGAGTTTTTCGCCGGTCAATGTGTGTTGAAGTTTAAATCTTCCGGACAAAATTATAAAAGTGCCGGTCAAAGGTCTTCTTTGTTATTTATTAAGCTTGAATAACGACTATATATAATAATAAAATACATGGAGCCTGTCTCTTTTCCCTCTCTTCTGACAGCGTCAGTGTCTGTCTCATGCAGCAGCCGATCCAGTAATGAGTGACCCGGCCGACAGTAAAAAATAAACATATTTATAACTAGTTTAGGTAGTTTGAGAGGTAGGCTAATTAAAATAGCTAAGGGTGATGATCTGACTTGAAGTGTGTGTTTTGCTCCAGCTGCATCACAGCGGGAGGAGCTGCGTGTCTCCGTCCTGTCAGATTAGACTTCACTCGCGTTTATGTCCATATCGAGATAAAGATAAATAATCTGAATCCAGTGTGCAGTGTACTTTGACGCGGGGGTGAGCAGCAGAGGTGGGGAGAGGCGGGGCTATTGCGTCATCATTATCACAAAATGATCGTATAGAGGCGATCACGGAGCTGTTGGACCCCCCAGAGCGCTCCGTTCCCAGATCTATCCACCTTTGGACCCGTTGTCGTTTGAGGGGTCCGTTTCTATCGTTTCGTTACGGCCTCGTGTGGCAAAAAGGGCTATACGCAAGAGAAATATGCGGATACAACCCGTTTTCGTTCCCGTGGGGCACCAGCCTTAAACTCCTGAATTTCCCAACGGGGATTAATAAAGGTCCATCTTATCTTATCTTATCTTATCTTATCTTATCTTAAAAACCAGAGCTCACAGGAGGGTGAATCCTGAACTTGTGCACCAAATGGAAAGCCACATGTCTGAGAATAAATGATACTGCTGTTTAGTATCTGCTGGATGTGTAAATAATTTAAAACCTTTGTCACTTTCACTTTAGCAATGTCTGTTGTGCCTCAAATGAACAAAAAACCATCAGCTATTGTAGGTTTAAATTAAGACATTTTCTGGTGTTGGTTTATTGTTAGTCAAGATGTTGTATACATTATGCCTTGGGTCTCCCTCAGTGTTGTATAGCAGGCTCCAGTCGGTGTGCAAAAAAGTGGCAGAACGTAGTCACGCTAAAACAAATTATACTAAAAGTACAATTTTTCTCATTTCACAGAAGTTTCCTTTAGTCTTATTTTCTCTGAGTGGTAATTTGTTTACTGCACCTCCTGGATAGTCTTTTGTTACAATTGTTCTTTGGTGAAATTGTACTGCTGAGACTTTAATTCATTTGGAATTAAACTGTAAAATCGTTTGTAGATTGTAATTGCTCAAAGTGATGAATAACAGTTGGGTAAAACTTAATAAAACTCACACAATGCTCTAATTGCTCTTCCATACACACATTACAACACCTACTGCAAACAAGCATTGCTTCCTGGTGTTTTGTGAGAAATTCAAACTGCCTTCTGAGACACCCGTTGTTAGCCAGTCATCCTAGGAGGCAAAACAAATGAGAAAGAAATACAAAAGAATCAACTCCAGGGTACAATAACATGTCTCTACACTTGTTACTCCGTGGCAGATTAGTCACCTACACAGACGTGACCTTTGCTGTCGGGAAAACAAACAGGAACATTGGATTGAAAGTGCAAATTCAACATTTAAACGGCAACAAAAACATCCGATCCTTCCGAATTGTTTTAATGGAATCAGTCGGCTCAGTAATGGCTGTGTACTCAAGTAATGAGTCGGGAGTATCCATGTCTGCACACTGACAGGTCCCAGTGTACCTGCTCCCCGGAGTGTTCACACGTCACTGGATCTGGGCCCAATCTGACAGTAGGGAGTCTTTGCACTGGAAATATGAATGTGTCCGTGCCTCTGAGATAAAACCCAAAAATATGCTTTTGAGATTTTGGTAACATTTAAATCATTGTATTGCTTAAATCTTAAAAGAAAAAGAAATACAGATGAAGAACCACTTTAATACCTTGCCATTTGGCCATTTCTGGCTAGTGGTATTGTATTATTACTGTGTCCCAGATGATAGGCAGGCTGGTGTTTATCAGACAATCCAACACCCACTCTCTGTTCTCAGCTTTTGTGCAAAATTACAGAAAAAACAGACCAATTTGACTAGAAAGCCCATTCAATCCTCCGCCCTGTCAACCTGCACATGTGGGCTGTTTCTCTGCCTTTCTTTGACTGCTCTGTGTTCACCGTCCTTCCTGAGCTGAACCCTTAAGATTGATGTGATGAATGTGCTGTCCTGTATTGCTGAGCGTGGACTTGGTCTGCCCAGAGGAAAGCACAAGCTTATCTATGTAATGAGGAATATGAGTCGTGTCTCAAGGTTTCGTCAATATGCCACACTGAAAGGAATTGAACTCATGCCCCGTGGCCGCTTTCATATAAAAGTTATCAGGAGTTAGATCTATTATTTGTAAAGTATTTCCAGGAGCAGCAACCTAAGCTTCAGTCAAGAAGTTCCTCATCAGAAGAAATAGGCTAATACAACAAAGAATGTGTGTGTTTGTGTGTTCCTTTCGCAAGGAGAAAATGGGTCAGAGTGTTGCATGATCAAATCCCTCTTTGCTCTGCAGTCATTTGTCTGCCTCTCGTTAGCGGTAAATCTAGATCATTAAGTTTCATTTCAGGCTGTAACAAAGACTTCCACACATGAAAAAGAAGAGATTCAAAGACTTATTGGTGACTAGGAAGATGATTTTTATTGTAGTAGGGGGCTCTCCTTTGCTCTCTAGTGACTGTGTTAGTGCAAGGATTCAGTAATGAGCGAGCAACACATATAGATGGATGGAGAGGAGAAGCGTAGATGGAGAGGAGAAGATGGAGAATAGAAACAGAGGCAGAGAGGCAGAGATTTATGATGCTGCTCTTCATCTCATTGTCTTGCTCTAGAACAGATATGGAAGCCCTTCGGCCTGAGGAGGAATAAGCAGATGATGCTCCTCTTCATCAGCACAGTTACTGAGCGAGAAAGAAGAATGTGATTTAAAACGAAACTAATCTTATTTCAAAGGTTTTGAATATGTTTTGAAATTGGTTTTGCATGATTAATGATTACTAAAGCATTTTATTGCCAGGGAAACTTTAATTACACTGTAAAAAAATCATCTGTTCGACTTTTATGTTTAATTCAGCAATTACTTTTCTTGTGCCATTCAGCTGAGAGAACAGGGTTTTGAGGGGGTTTTTTCTTCCAGCATTTGAGTTACTGAATCACTTCATTTGAAGCTTAATCTATTTCCTGTACGATCAAAGGGTGTTGAAAGTCTCCCGTATACAGTCCCGTGTACAGAGTGCGGAGCTAAACAGGTATTTAACCAAGTGACATTATAACTGTAGAACATTTATATGTTGTAAAAAATAGGCTGACTTCTACCAAGCTGCGTCTGTCATTATTTTGAATAGCAGGGTATACTGAGCTGCATCCAAGCGATGTCTAGTTGAACACCAGTCCTCCCTCTCTGAGTAAAGAAATGAAAGAAAAGCTAAAAACACCTTGTTGTGTCGGGCTGTGACAGCCGTGATACAGCTTCTCTTATTATACCAGATTCTTAACCAGTCTGAGGCCTTAAGCTTCAACTATTAAAGCAAATGTGTTCTTTTTATTGCAATATAACTTCTGAAGATGTACAGCAAGGTTCTGGCAATGCATGTCATTTTTCCAGTAGTAATTACCCAGTATCTGAAGGGACTCTCAATCTGTCCTGGCAGTTAGCAAATCCCCACGGGCGGAGCGAACTGCAGGGGAACTAAAGCTCTGATTTTTTATCTCATTAACACTTCCGATGAGATATTAATCTCCATCAGACATGGCACCACCCTGAGCATATTGTTGCTGTTCAGTCAAGAGGAAAATGATTTGCTGCTGAAGGGCATGTTGAAACAAAGTGTGTTTAGCGAAGCAACACATGACATGTCAGAACTGAAGTAGTCGTGCACAAGTCCGAGACCCCTTAGCAGGGTTATTTTCAGATAACAAGAAAAAAGTTGCCTGTCACAGAGCTGCTGTCGTTTTCCACTAATTTGTTGGTATTCAGTGGTATTGTCTTTCTTCACATTCTAGTAACTGTCAAACCCTGCTATTGTACCTTTTTCATCGTGTTCATGAAGAACAAATCCACCATCAATCCTTGAAAAACACTTAAAAGCACTTTGCTACCATCGCTATTGTATACATCTGTGAGAAAGACATTTAACATGAAGGCGCTGTAACAAACACTCAAGCTGCTTCATCTTAGTGTGCATAATAGATGCCATAGTTTTTTCTTCTTCAAACAAACCCTTCAAACCATGGTCTCTAACTAAGGTTGATGTTTTTTTTCTTCCCCAGGTGAGTGAGAACGCCAAGCAGGATCTGAAGGACGGTCTGGCTCTCTACAACTCAGAGAACAACATCGGCCTGCGAAATGCCTGGAACATCATCCAGGCAGAGGTAGGCAGACCACTCACCGTGCTTTACATATTAGAAACATTAGCATGAATGTTCAATCGTAACACTGATGGTAATACATAAATGCAAATATTCAAGCTAATGTATTTCCTGGCTTGGCTTTAATGCAGCACTAAAAGTCCAAACTAGCTGTTGAAGTATGCTTCGCTCTATTATTGCAGTCCTCTTAAGCAAATGGAATAATTACAAAAGTTGTGGCATTAAAGTTAGTTTGAAGTCCCCACGGACTGACAGCATTAACTTATTTCGTGTCCGATGTGTGTGTGGCATTCACAGTGGAAGTGCTGCGGTGTGATAGCATACAGCGACTGGCACGAGGCCCTGAAGGAGAAGGTGGTTCCTGACCGCTGCTGCCAGGAGCATTACCAGAACTGTGGGCAAAACTCCACAAACATGTTCTGGAACAGGGTGAGTTACCATAAGCTCTGATTAATAGTATTGCATAAAGGTGTTTGTGAACAGAATTCAGACATTTATACGAAAAGAGATTCCGCTTTGTATCTTGAATAAATACAGAAATGTACGGTCCAGGATCAACGCTGAATACTGTTTGAAAAATACACAGATTCATTCTTGGTCTTGATAAAACTATGATACTATTAAAGAACTCTTCTTGGGCAGATGGGCCCAACTGGTCGCGGGGCCCCTGAGGCAGAGCTTCTGTTTGATGTGACTGTAAACATTTATTGTCGTAAAGTCATTAAACAACTACAAAGAGACTCTTACTAACTGCAAAGAGATGAAAAAGGAGTACAGAGAGAAACAAAATGACTACAAAGAGATGCAAAATGGCCACAAAGCGATGCTTCATGACTACTAAAAGACACACAACTACATCAAAGACACTTGAAACAACCACAAAGAAATGTGATACTAAGGACTCACAAATGATTCTCAAAGAGACATAAAACAACCTAAAGTTAACAGTCGTTTTGTGCGCAATTGGTCTGGAAACCTTATACATGTCTCCGTTCAGGGGCCCATTCTGTCATAATCTGTCCATCGATATAACAAAGTGGAATCATCAGCCACATCCATTTGACAGAGATTATCAAAATCATAAACATGTTATAACACTCTGTGTATCTATCTAAAGTAGAATTATACTTTTTGTCTTATTGCTTAATTCTACTCATCGGATTTGTTTCCATTATGTATGAGAGAACAGGCCCTTTTTTCAGCTTCTTGCACATTGTTCACCAATCTCCCCCCATTACATGTCTAATCTCCCATCGGTTTGGCTTTTGGTTTGTTAGCAGGTCCAAAGTAGGGGATTAAAAAGTGTAATATAATTGCCAAAATGAGAACAGGCAGACATTGAGCTGCCCCACTGGGAAAGCACAGCACTAAGAGGCTGTGTGTAATCCTGCCCAGAGGAGACGGCCACACACTACACAGTACACAGTTAAGACTCACATGCTGCCTCAGCACCCACACTCCAGAAAGGGCACCACTTTGCAGCTGAACCCAACATTAAGTCCTTCACCCCACCTCCCTGCTAGTGGGTGACCTGCGAATGAACCCAGGTCTGTATATGTTTTAAGTAAGTGCACATGTGCCCCATAAGTCTGCATATAAAAGTCATCCCTCATGGGTAATTCACCTGTTTTAACACCTCACATGGTAGTTCATTCATCCGAGGCTGTATCTCATATAGAGATACATTTTATGTGAAAAAAATGGTCATAGGTGGTTGGGTTTTTCTAGGTGACCAAACATGCTGCATCTGAAGTGACATGATTCCTCTGTCACACAGGAAATTCATATCTCTTGAGTGTTTTTTTTAACAAGATTCATTCCATTTCAGGGCTGTTTCGAGAAAGTGGAGGAATGGCTGGATGATAACAAGCACATGCTGGGAACCGTAGGCATGGTCATCTTGGTCGTGCAGGTAGTTATTTTCTCCTCCATTTTGTTTAGCTTCACTTCCATTTATTTATATATCTGGTTGCATGTGTTTGTCTCTATCTGTCTGGTAACCACATGTCTGAAAAAAAAAGAGAACATTGTGCATCCAGTGGACTTTTTTGCCACCATCTTCCACTGAGAGTTATGAGGTCTTTGCTCAGGGTGCATTCTGGGCACCCATACATCTTGACCAAGTCCCTGTCTTCTGCATTCTGGTCTTGTCTGAGAGAATCAAAGCTACCTGGCTTTGTGCCATGCAGGCTGGAGCAACCATTAGAAGATAGGACATAGATACTTAATATGGAGGACCAGGTAAAGAATCACAGATTAAAGGCATAGTAGGGAAGAGTGATAGATATTCCTTCTAAGATATCATTTCTCTTTTTGTCCTAAAATCTGTTTTATATCTTGTACGGTAAGCTTTTCACTGCCTTTGCAGTTCATTCTCCACTTACTTGGAGGTTTTGTCCTAAAAGTGTCTGCTAAGTGAACAAAGCAAAGTCTACTTTCCCCTTGCGTATGCAAAAATGTGACTCCTGGAGTGTTTTGCATTTTGTGCTTTTTTGGTCCAGACTGGCAAAGTAACTGTACAGACATTTGCTAGATCAAATGCGACAACTCTGTGTGTAAAGAAAGTGTGTGTGTGCACAGTTTGTGTCACAACTTAGACTCTGACTGATTTCAGAACACATCAGGAACTCCAGTTTCTGTAATATTCCTCCAGTCTCTCTCCTTCTCTTGTGCGTCTGTGATTTTATGAAATGGAGAAATAAAGCCCCGGGAGAGGCGTGAAGTTTGAGATGAAGTTGAAACATCTTTATGTCTTGGGTTCGGGTCCAGAAACAGCCACCTGGAGGTTGTCTGTCTATATGACTAGCAGGCTAATGCAAACCTGGATGTTCTCCAACCCCACAATAGATGGATGCTTTGATGGGCGTACAGGTCTTTTCTTTAGTTTGCGGCGCCTTAAGTAAATGTCTTCACATCCTTTCTAACAGAAGCCATCTGTTGTACACCAGGTGCATGTAATCTTTTCTTGCATCTACCTTACATTGTTGGCTATATTTTGCCTTATATTTTTTATATTTCACACATTCAGCTCTATCTCATACAAACAGAAGCTCTCTTGTTTGTGGGACTTCAACCTGCTGTCCTTGCAACCTTTAAAGCAACACGCCAAAATGTAATTTAATGCTCACTTGTCAACTGTTCATTCGAATGCAGTAAGTTTTACCAAATTTCCAGGAAATCTGCACTGCCTTTTAACTATTGCCAAAGATGATGAACGTGATACAAATCAAGTGTGTCCCTTAAGGGGACCTATCTTGCAAAATGCACTTTTTGATGTCTTTTATACATAAATATGTGTCCCCGGTGTGTCGGAGAACTCGCGCAGCGTCAGAAAATAAAACCCTCTCTCTTTTCCTCCGCACCCAAATCTCTAAAAACGGGGCTACAACGGAGCTGATCCAGATTTGCTTCCGATATGACGTAATATCGGAAATGTAGGCTGACTTTACACCCACGGCCCAATCAGAAAAGTTACTATCAGAAACAATGCCCGACTGTTTTGGACGTAATATGGTTGGTGTTTACATTAGCATCGCTAACACTCAGAGCTAACCTGTACTGCACAGAGCATGTGTGTGAAGAAGCAGGAAATAAAAAGGAACTCACCTTGTGGTATAACCGGCAAGAGAGAAAGCCTTTGAGCTCCATACTGTTTCAGAAATAATCCTTGATAATCCATGATATGGCGTTTCGTCACCGCAGTATCTGCCGGTAGCATCTCCCGCATGAGCTCAGGCCCCTCCTTTTTTTTTGTTATCAATTATTTTCTTTTTTTAAAGCTTTATACCCCAAATCAGCACTTTTAAAAGAGGAAGTGAAATAGAGGGATATGAGACATGGCTAGAATGGGTGATCTGTTTGGTATTTTGAGCAAAATACTTCATAGACATGTTTTTTATATTTTTTTAATATATCTGAGACTTATGCTATTGCCTACAAATAGCATGATAGGTGCACTTTAAAGGGGACCTATCATGCAAAATGCACTTTTGTACGTCTTTTATACATGAATATGTGTCCCCGGTGTTCCAGGGAACTCACCAAGTGTCAGAAAACACAACCCTCTCTATTTTCCTCCATACCCAAATCTCTAAAAAAGGGGCTGCAACGGATCCGATACAGACTGATCCAGATTTGAACACTGTCCTGACGTCAGGACGGTGGCGCTATGGCTATTGGGCCAACTCCACCAATCAGGAGGAGACAGCCACGGCCATTGCCGTTCGAAAGCGCTGGAGACGCTATAGTACATATGCCAGGCCTGTAGGTGGTGCTGTTCTCACAGAATCTGCCCTTGCAGAGCAGAGCTAAAAAAAAGTGCAAATTGAGCGAAATGAGGCATGGCTAAAATGCATGATCTGTTTGGTATTTTGAAAAGAAAAAAGTATAAATATGCCTTATATAGGTATGGTCCTACACTATATTATTCAAATATAGCATGATAGGTCCACTTTAAGTTAATATTGCCCTTAGCTCAGGGGTTTAATTAAGAGCACTGCATAAAGCCTATCATGTTGTCTCCTTGCCTAAGTGTTTAGCCTCAGGCTTTCACAGTAGTTATTGTCATAATACAGCACGTATGCACTTCTCTTACAATGGCTCAAATTCACTCACATCATCATCCTTTACTCTGACTTGACAGCGTTATGTCACTGATGCTAGCTTAAACAATATGGACAGCAAATATAAAACAAAAAAGTGAAATTGGATAGAAAATGAAAATATAATATGTAGCAATAGGCGAAAACGTAGTAAAAAGCAAGTTTCGTAATGTCACCATAAGGAGTTCTTTACGATGTTGCAAGGGAAAACCCTTTGATCTTTGAGGCATCCTTAGATGAATTTCTATCCTAAGTTGTTTTATGCACACATGTTTTCATCTGCTTGAGTGACGCTTAAGTCTCATGCTTTGTGTAGACATGATTTATTTGTTCAGTCTGCTTCCATTTGTCCTTTTCGTATTTCAGCATTACTGTTTCAGCATTAGCCAGGCTCACAAACTTTATTTAAAAAAATTGGGTGGGCTGAACTTTAAATTCATGTTATTGCCATGAATCATCCCCTGCACTTTGCCTTTCCTTTTTCATGTCATGCTTTCAAGATGTGCTCCTGCTTTACTTTCCCTGCCCTCACACTTGAGTTTGCTAATCCTTGAATCGGTAATTCATTCAGAACAAGATGTCCTCGATGTAAAATGTGTGTTATGTTTTGTGATAATCCTCACAGTTATTCCTTATTATGGTTCTTGAGCTTCTGTTAAAGTACACGCCCGCAAAATGTCACATTATGCACAGTGTATCAGCAAACTTTAGCCCTCTATTCATTCATGTGAAGTTCACACTTTCCTCTCATGCTCACACACTCACGACTTTCTTCTTTCTGTCTGACACTTTCTCTTCCATGTCTATTCATTATTCTGCAAACACACAAACACAAACACAAACACACACATACACACACACACATATTCACACATACAGTAAGCACATGCAGGACAGTGACAAATATTGGCTTTCGTCTTCACACAGAATCTATTCCCACAACGCCGACTAGGCTGACATTAATTTTAATTATGCCTTATCCTCTCTGTACACACACACACACACACACACACACACACACACACGCTCTCCTCACACTGAGATCGGTGAGACGTGGGAGAGCCAAAGAGCAGACCTTTAGCTGTCAGATTTGCAGCCCTGAAGACAAGTTGGAGGACATGATGGAGATGAACATCATAAAAAGCTAATGCCCATGTCTGCAATGTTACATAATAGCCTGAGGCAAGGAGACCTGGCTCATGAATGATTTAGCCCAGCAGCATACAGTATATGACAGACTTTGGTAAAAGCCTATATGTATAACTTTATCCACAATGATTGCAGAAATCTTTGCGGTAGTTAAATATTCTTAAGCAGAGGCTGGTGATGGAGCTTTTGAAGAGTCCTGCAGGAGCGAATGTCATGCTGTCTCACTCAGACTGAATGAAGCAGACAGCAAAAACCCCTCAGTGGATGTCGGAGCTGCACAGATGAGCCACATGTAAATAATTGGGTTTGTTTTTCATTGGTCCAAACTCACTCTAAGCTGGATGTTTACCTTATACGGACCTTCATGTTTGATTGGCAGCGGCTTAAGGTAGCATTTCCTATGAAGCAGCCCTACGAATTAGGCTTTGACTGAAACTAAAGGAGGAGAATCGGTAGCTTTCCCAGGCTAATCACATCCCGCAGGAATCCCCAGTGCATTCTGTTTGCAGAAAGTCCACGTTGCGTTTTTAGCAAAGACTATGCACAGTACTCTGCCGTTTCCCTGCCATCACAACTTTGCCAGATAATGGTTTTAGGATCAGCCTTGTGACTGTGTTTGATGTAGAAGTATCAGGGGTAATGGAAACTTCAAAGAGATAGCAGGCTACTTTGATTCAGTGGCATCTCAATTTACTTCATTGACTTAATGCTTGTGCACGCTTTACATTTTCTCCATCACAAAGATTCCAGAGCTATCGTTTGAAGGGGGGAAAAAAGAGAGTGAACGAAACATGTGCCTGTGCTCCACTACAGGATTTATAGTGCATCTAAACTCAATGCGGCCAACGGCAACAACATCAAAAAGAGCACACAGAGACACATATATATACACGTACACACACATATATATATGTGTATACATGCAGACACAAATTCAATATCTTCTTCTCGTCTCCTCCACAGCTCCTGGGCATGGCCTTCTCCATGACGCTGTTCCACCACATCCACAGAACGGGGAAGAAGTACGATGCTTAGCCTTCGGGGAAGGCACCCAATGGAGAGGAGCCCCACTGCCTGATGGGATAAGACTCTGAATTAAACACCCCTGCCCCCCTCACTTTACAACCTCTTGCCCCCGCCCCCCTTACCAGACCTTCTGTACAGATTCCAGCTGTGTCCCCTCTACATTCTCCTCACCATCCATTTTGCCAAAGAGTAACACAACTGGAGGAGAAGGGACACCTACGTTTGGCAAGGAAGAGAATCCCATTGGTTGTCACTCCTCTTGAGTACTTTTCATTTCTTTTTTTTGCTTGGACTAACATTTTGCTGGAAGGAAGGATGGACTTTGAGACAATGAAGACTTTACTAATGCCCTAACGCCCCGTGGCAAAGACAACATATGAAACTGATGATACCCTCTGCCTCTTGTGGAGTTTCCTCATGTTGATAAAAGTCAAGCCCCGTTTTCACTTGTAAATGAGAAAAAGTTCCAACATGGCATGCTAGTTTTCTACTTTACTGATTTAACTGAGTTGTCAAAATGTCTTCTTTTTTTTTTTGTATGTCATGGATTCTCCTGTGGAAGTGTTGAACAGATCAGTGCAATGAGCTCTCAGATGTGTGTGTGTGGGGTTCGGTTTGACGTGACGCTGCTGTGGAGGGGGCACAGACGTGTGGGGACGATGTTTAACACTAGAACTAGGTAAAATGTACCCGTTGGCGGTTTTAGGTATACAGCGACCTCTGGCGGTTCTAGTGTTAATGTTATCCATTATTCATATTTTTTCATTCGGCTATAGAGAGTTTAGGTAAATGGAGCTTGATTTGAAGAAAGTCGTGTGTAAGCGTGAGAAATCCTCAGTGGGTTATTTATGCACCAACTTCTACAGTATCCCCTGAATAATACATTGTAATGCAAACATTTTCCTACGAACACACACTTTACGCTGCCACACAGCGAAAGTAGTCCCATTTCCTATGAGACGATACAAATGGTGTAAAATGACTGTTTATTAGGGCTCCACCGGGACTGTCAAGTGTATAGATCTGGTTGATGTAGTTTCCCCTTGGAGAAAACACACTGAAATGTGTGTGTGAGGCTGGGAATGAGCCTTATCACATTGTTCAAGTTGCAGAGGAAAACAAAATAACCGGCACATAGAAACACACAGCAAATCAAGGGCACGAGGGGCAAAAGTGGAGCAGACATGTTCTCTCCCCATCAATTGTGTTAGCGCAGGCGGCTAGAGACCCTCTCTCCTATATTTTTTGCGATTTCATCCATTTGCTCTGCCCTGCTCACTCTCCCTCTCTCTTTGGCTGTCAAATCCCCCATTGCCTCAATTTTTTTTTTTTTCACCCCAATTTTCTCCCTACATGTCAGAAAGCAATGCTCCATACGTGCACACACAATTTCTCTGCTGACATTCCAGCTCATCACGCAGTTGCTTTGGTTCAGAACCTCCCTGATTTCACGTTAGCTTCTGTTTCCTGCAGCCACAGTTGAGGGGGTGGCGGGAGTGGAGGAGGATCAAAGCTAAGAAAGATAGGTGTTGCAACATGCTCGATGTGTCTGTTTACCGCTGATTCGCTGCAGGAGGCCTGAACATCAACCGGCTTCTTAAAGACTGAAAATACTTCATCTCCTGCGGTGACTTAGAGAAAAGGCCCTTCAAGCTTATCTGCTTTAAGCATCAAACATTTTGTGAGAGGCGGTGTAAAATACTTAATTGTTAACGGATAATTTTAGCTTTTAGGCTTCATTTGGTTATGAATGGTTGCCATCAGTTATAAAATAATTTCAACAATGTGGCAAGAATTTTAACTAGGATAGCTACCAATTTATTCAACAGCAATTGAGTGCTAAACGATATCCTTCTACAGCAACAGGTTAAAGTTGAACCAGCAGTTTAAGTCATAATTTTACCTTCCAAATAAATCTGGATAATCTAGGAGTTAAAAACTGTGTAACTGCTCATGTTCTTGAGGCTGATAATCAGATTGAATAGGCTTTTTTACAGAAGAAATTCTGAGGTAGAAAAAGCATAGGTGTAACTAATACAAATGAAACGTGGCTGAATTCCATTTAGATACTTTGATTTCAGGTTCCTGGTATCACGCACAAGCCCGGAAAGTGCACCAGGATGTGAAGCAAAGATTTTTTTAGTGGCTAAATGGTGCATGGTAACACAATTTCAATATGTGGGTCATTGGGGCCGAACACACTTTTTCCCAGTGACATTCATTGGGAAAGAGATGTCTGTAAAACAGCGGATATTTATTCTTTTAAATAAATGAAGTACCCAGTGCAAAAACATTTACAGCCCTTACTTAAATCATAAGGGTGTAAAAGTTGTAAAATGTGCTCAAAGCCAAATCCAGAGCTATTTTCTCTCCATTCAATTGACTAAAACGAAATTGGCCATTAAGTTCGGATCAGAGGCGGGGCTTAAGTTAAATGCAAGTGGCACACTTTATAGACCCAGACACAGCTACTTTGGCTCTCGATGTTCAGGACAGATTGTGTTCATAGACATTATCTGTATGGGAGGGGGTGTTATGTTGCCTTCAGTCAGAGTGACATGTCAAGCTAATGTGACATTGTCATATTCTCATAAACACTTTTTGGAGCAGCTGTTGGGGTTGGCTAATTAGATTAAATCCAGTGTAGTCATTTTGGAGGGCGCTTTGTGGTGCAAATATATTTCATACTCGGAATTAAAATTTGTGCACAACAGGGGAGTGTTCTGTTTGGACTCAGCCTTTTCAGGCTTTAGCACAGGAAGACCTCCCCATTGCTCTGAAATAAGAGGATCATTTGTTTGCTGCTGTTTGAAATGGAGTAGGGAAATCATTGGGACCACATGTGACTGCAGTATCAATTGTAACTGTTGTTGCGTTGGATAAAGCCTCGAAACTTGGAAACATGAGCTAACAGGTGACACAGCATTACCCACCAACAGTTATTCCAGTTGAGCAGCGTGTTTGCCTCAAGACTATAGCATCACCTGAAGTCCTTCTGAACAGGTTTTTCTTTATTTTCTTGATAATGACTTAATCTGAGAGACACCGTTTCAGTAGGAGGTTTGTGCATCAGAAGGCAACATATTTGGGCCGCCATGTGCAGCGACCCTGCTGGCTGTGATTCACTGCCATCCCCCATATGCTTCGCCTCTTCTTGTTGTGTCCACGGGGGGAACATGACAGCTGCTGATGTACAGCGCAGGCACGAGTGGTCACATCGCCTCTGCTTGGCTGCCTCCACAAACTCTCTGCACATCCCTTATTTACTGCAGACACCCGGCACTATACAGTAAATGGCAGTATTGACACTATGGAAATACAGCTGTGCTCTTTAGACGCCTGGAGGCAGCTGCATCCTACACGCTGCAGGGGGTATTGGAGAAAATAGCTAAATCAAGTTGTGTAAATCATTGTAACCCTAGCCTAACTGCAGCCAAGATGGATATTTTCTGCCGATGTTTCGTCTGACATCGGGTAGTTAAGTGTTTAAATGCTGCTTTTAGAGAAAATAGGAGATACAAAGTAGGGGGATGAAACAAATCCAGTGTCTGTCTCCAGCTCTGACGTCATACTTCAGAGAGCCAGCCAGTGCCTCCCCCCCCCCCCCCCCCCCCCCCCCCCCAGACTGATCTGACTGCGCTGACATTTTCTCCGCCGTGTGAACTAAACTCCCTCGCAGCTCTGCCGCTGTCGACTACATTTCATGTTTTTTGTCCGAGAAAAAGTTCCTTCATGTTTTTAGAGTACAGGGATGAATGCCATTTTAACAGAAGCTGTTTAATGATGTGATTTGTTGTACATTGGTTGTCACTGTTTAAATGTCTGTTTTTATACAATATACTGTTGAATTTTCTGTTGTTGTCCATTTTAAATGGCTTTTATTATTATATTTTTTTTCATTCATGACAGAGGTTCGTCGGCGCTCATTGTAAGAACATGACACCATTAAGCATTTGTTTCTTAGAGGATTAGTCTTTGCAATGTTCCTCTACAAGGTGCAGAAAAACCGCCTTTCTGTCTTAACATCGCTTCAGGCAGTTAGAGCAATTAAGTCAGAATTGATAAAGACGGGAAATTTGGCATTTAGCATTGGGTGTGAAGCCCACAAAGGACGTACTGCACGCTTGTCGCAGGGCTTTTCTGTAATAAGACCTAGTTTAATTACATTTAGACGGGTTGGTATCATCTGCAGTATGTCTTCAAAACTGCCAGTGTAAGACCTATTTTGTATTTCTAGAGCATGATATATTAGATGACACTGTACAACACAGAGCCCATGTCACTACCGTATATCAGCCCCGGATGTAAATATGCTAATTTTACAACTGATGTAATGTACTGTTATACTTCAACTCTGACACTTGTAATCACATTTACATTGACAGTTACATTTCCATTGTGAATTGCCTAACAACCCGTGCTCTTTTCTGCTCATCAACAGACATGTTTTCCACTCATATGTTATCCATTTTCTCATGTGTCATATCTTTCCTCTGACGTGCAGCAGCAATCTGTGTATGGTTTTCATATTTGATTTGCATCTTGTAGTAAGACATGTTTCTGTCTGTGTTTGGAAAGAGTCTAAAGTATTCCCTCTTATCCATGGAAGCACTCCCAGTAAGCCACAGAGCTGGTAAAGGAAGAATGCACACGCAGTAACTGGGTTTTGTCTGCTGTGAAGAATTTTGAGACAGAAACTATTTTATTTATTTTTTGCCACATCGACATATTATTTCTGTAATCTCCTCCTAATCCTTCCTCCCCGTGCTGGAGCTGAATATCTGAGTAGTGGAAATGTATGCTCTGGAAATGGTGTGTTTGATGTTGTGTTCTGCTGGGTGGCACTATCTGATACCTGCCAGTTTGTCCTGTGAAAGCCCTCTGAACATATCTATACCAGGTGGGTGCACTACCTACTCTTTATTCTCTAAATCAACTATTTTTAAATAAAGAAAAAGAGTGTCACAAAATCCCGCCATACAGTACGCTCATTGCCTTTCATGTTTAATGACTCGATGCTTCTAATGTGTTCCCTTTTTTATGTAGCTGTCAATTATTTAGGCAGCGTTTAAAAAAGAGTTTGAGGCTGAATTCTTGGGGCGATTTGAAGACAGGACTTGGTATGAAGAGCAATGTGAAACGGCGTCACATCAGATTCCATGGTGTATTCAAAGACATAGTAGCATTGTGGCCTTCAAAGGCCTCTTTTTTTATAGAATAACAAGACCTGATGGGACTGTTGTCCTAAAGACGCTGAGATGAGCTAATGGTAGTCAGCCCGTGGAGCAGAGTTTGTTTTTTAAAGAACAAAGGAAGATGATGAAAGTAGGAACCATCTCCAATTTGTTTCTACAGCATAGAGAGAGCTGCAGAGTATTTTTGTACGAAGCTTTATCCCTTTTTTAACCTAATTGTTATCAGACCCATGTGTGATAGTGAGTTGAGTTTATTGTGCCATTTCATCCTGGCTTTTTGTTTTACATCACTGTTCCTTCTATGCAAAAATATGACCTATTTTAGCCTTTGTACAGATTATTTTGTATGAGTAACATGTACTGAAATAAAGTAAACAGAATCAACCGTGGATATATATATTTGTTCTAATTGTGATAACAGCATTTCACTTTTCTTTTATTCCCCCTCATCCTAAGCGGAAATCATTCCATTAACCTGAATTGGAAAGCTTTCATTTTGATGAGGCCGTTGAGTTTGTCCCCACTCTGCATTATTCAGCGTGTTAACCTGCAGTGGAGCTGATCTCTGCAGGTTGTTCTGCTGTTATCTGTTCCCAATCTGTCGTGTTGCCCGGAGTAAACCCGCTATCTTTTTAAATGCAAGGCAGCAAATCTTTTCAGACTTTGTCAGCCTGTTTTGACATCAATTCAAATGGAGAAACAGCATGACTAATGCGGCTGCAGGCTTACTGTAGCTTCATACTGTTTGTTCAAACTTAGTTAACTGAAAAGATCTTAGTGAATGTCCCTTCTGAAGAACACCAGATATTAGTTGGACAATGTTGTGAGAAATATCATTGAGGTCAAATTCTTCAGAGTCTTTCAGGCTTTAGGGGGAGAGCTGAGGAATTAAAACTAATTTGGGCAAAGTTTTCTCAAAATTGGAGGATGTATTGCGGGTTATCTTGATGTCCAGATATGAAAAAGCCTGGCTTAGACGCACAAAATAAATTGAAGATAGTAAAGTATGAAAATAATAACCTCTTTACATTTGCTAAGGCCTTTCCAGCTTAAGGCCAACCCTGGTTTCAAAGATGGGAACTCTAAATCATTGACAAAGTTGTGGTTGTGTCAGAGGGTGATCTGTGAGGTCTCAAAGAGCTTGTTTACATCAAGATGGTTAGACCCATTCCTTAACAGAGTCATCCGCTGATGTGCTGCTTCAGTCTATAATCAAATGTTCTGGTCTCCATATTCATACAATTATCCACTGAAGGGCAAAAGCCAAGCGTTCCGCTATTTTGGAACAATACTTTTTTGATAATACGGTTAAATTCAGACAGTAGATCCATTCTCTTTTTTATACAGGTCAGGAGAAGGGGTCTGCATGATAATGTGCATCAAGCTGAGAAGATTTGGTGAGATCTTGCAATTGCTTTCTTTCTTACCCGTACCTAAAATATTTCGTTTTTAGATAAGGGACCATTATCTAAAAAATATATATATATAAGGGGGGACCCTTGTTTAAAAAGTAAGTTTCGGATATAGGGGGGGACCCTTGTCTCAAATATTAGTACCGGACATAAGGGGGGACCCTTTCCTAAAAAGTTACTTCCGGAAATAAGGGGGGGACCATTATCTAAGAAAATGTATAAAAGGGGGTGACCCTTGTTTCAAAATAAAGTTCCGGATATAAGGGGGAACCCTTATCTAAAAGTGAATTCCTGACTCTTATCTAAAAAGTGAATTCCTGACTCTTATCTAACAAGTTACTTCCGATTTGGGGGGGAACATTTTTTCATAATTATAAAAAGTAAGTTCCCGGTATATCCCCCATATACCGGGAACTTACAGTACTTTTTATATATATTTATATATATTTTATTTACATAAGGGTCCCCCCGACCCTTATGTAAATAGTTAGTTCCAACATAATGTCTCAAAATGAGTTCTGGGCATAAGGGGGGACCCTTTATAAACGTATTTTTTTTTATAGACGGGGATCTTATCTTATCTAGATATATATTTATATATTATAATTGCTGCAAAACTTTCATTGTGTTAAAAATCTGTAAAACAACTTATTTTCAGTTCAAATTAAACCATCTCATTTTCCAAAGGTAAAGAGAAACTCTACGCAGCGTAGTGTCCGTGGGACTTTAAATAGAATTGTATCACATTTTAATGAAAAGGATTTTAATCTCATTAATTCTTCATTTTGTTCTGGCAAGGTACTGAGGTACCTGAGGGACACTATGTCCTTCTGCAACTCCACAGGAGACACTTAAGATTTAAAAAAAACGTTGGATTTAGAATTCACATGGTGATCCTTTTTCCAAGGACAGTTCAGACGACATTTCTGAGTTATGATGTTGAGTTAGAAGAGAGCCAGTAGTGAATTCATCATACATCCAAATGAAGTTTATAGTGTGATATATTTGTATTTCTGTTCCCCATGCTCAGATGATCTCTGTTGTCAGTCTGACAGATGATCAATGTTTCCCAATGTTTAGCCTCTATATCTTATTACAGAATAGGTGGCCTGACATAATTGAGCTTTGATTCATTTTAGTTATATTTCGCTGACATTCAACAGATTTGTTCTCAAGAACAAACAGACACAGCACAGCGGAAATGTCAGAACAGAACTGATTTTATTTAATTACATTAGATGTTCTTCTTCTAAAAGATGCCATTGTCCAGCCTTTGTCAACAATATTTGTGCTCTAGTCTTTGCAGGAAAGCATCTGACTTTTAGGCTGTAATTTGCAAACAAGAACCAAAGCCCTCGGGAGCAATAAACATTAATTGAAACATGTGGGTAATATGCTTATTTATTACCCAAATGTTTCAGTATCTAGGGACTTTGAAGAAAGTTTTACATCCAACAGCAGGCTGACAATACTCCACAGCTTGTAAGCCATTCAGCTGCAGTCAGCCAGAGATATTTTGTGTGTAATCTGACTCGTCTGCCTACACAGTTCTGGGCCCTACCCGCATGGAGGGGCAGCGTCACAGTCCCATAGCCCCTTTTTTAGCCAGCATGACACCACCACAGCCAGCAAACCTCACCCCCTCCTCAGAGATTCACATGGGGGCTGAGTGTCTGCGGGGCGGGGCTCGGACTAAGGACTGTTTAGAAGCAAAACTTTAGCTCTACATGTTTGTAAAAACACCAACAAACAATGGACAGGAAACAGAATCTGAACCGCAACGAGACCTTCTCCTTCGTCAACCCCTGGATCAGATATTTTCTCTTCTTCTTCAGCTTTTTATTCTGGGTAAGTACAGTTCTACTGTTGAAAGATTACTTCTGACAAAAACACAGAGGTTATGTTTATTCTCTCAGACATATGACAAGCTATTATGGAATTGTAGCTTTCCAAAAAAGTCAGATCTGCAAGAAAAAGGAGGGCAAAGGAAAAAAAGGAAAAAGCTTACAAATAATAAATGAAGAAATATAATTCAGATAGTATCCGTAGCTGCAAACAGCAGGAGCACCCTGCCACCCCGCTGATACCTATTTTAAGTTTACTACAGTTATATATGGACTCAGAGATTGCTCATACATCAATGTAGCATATGGTGAGTTGTGCATTCAGATCAGATCAGATGAGCCCTGAGTCATGCTGAACTCCAAAACGACTGGTCTCTGTGTAGGCCTGCTGCTAGTCTGCATCTGAATGTTTCTGTTTTTCTCATACTGCTACTTTTAGGCGGTTATTGAATGTAGGCTGCATTGTTTCACATCATGTCTGCACATATATGTTGTTCATATTATATTCAGTAGTGCATGTTGTCTACCCGGGGGGGTACATGTTGTTGAAGTTACAAAGGGAATATGTAGGGATTGTGGAATGACTAACCTAATTTGAACAACAATAGTAATCATTAACAATGTTAAATTCCATACTCTTCCAGACCACATTCATTGTTGGAGTACTTATAGCTACAGTATATGTATGAAAAGGAATTGGTTTAAGATCAGTATGTCATAAAGTCACCAGATTTCATTTTATAGTTTTTCATAATAAGGTCCAAAAAGTCTCAGTATAGTTCGGTATAAATACTGTAGTCATAGTGTCATAAAATATCATGAAAAAATGATGGCATAATAGATAAATAAAATGTCATGACAAAAATCATAGTATTGTATGTCATGAAAAAGTGTAGCATTATACTGTATTGCTATGAATACAAATCATTGTATTGTATGTCATAAAAACGTTTTTTAAATGATACAGTATAGCATTCAATAGTAGTATCATATATAAGATACTACTATATGACGTCATGACAAAGTTATAAAGAAATGTTTGTGATTATATCATTAAAAAGTCAGTAAAAAGTCGCAGTGTAGTATTTTACAAAATAAGTCATATAGTCTGTCAAAAAAAGTCACAAAACAGTCATAGAAGTCAATAAGTCCACATTTTAAAAAAACATTCACGGTATATGTCAACATTATTATGAAAAAAGTCAAAGTTAAGTATGTCCAAAAAAAAGTCTTGTAAGTCGAAAAAAAAGTATTGTTACAGTACATTATTGAAAATGTTGTAGTTCAGTATGTCGACAAAAGTCATAATATAGTATGTGGAGAAAAGGTCCTAGTATACAATATCATATTGTATGTCGAAAAATATCGGAAGGTCATAGTTTTGTATGTTGTAAAAAGGTCATATTCTAGAATGTCCCAAAGAGTCAAAGCATAGTACTGTATGTCAAAAACATTATAAAAAAAGTAATTAAAAAAGTAATTAAAAAAATATGAAAAAAGTTCTTAGTATTGTATTTCATATAAAGTGATAGTATTGTAGGTTGAAACAGAAACAGTCAAAGTATAGAATTTCGAATATATCATGAAAAATGTTATAGCATACTATGTTGAAGAAAAGTCATAGTAAAGTTTTTTTAAATATCATAACAAAGGTCATAGTGTACTATGCCAAAGAATATTGAAGAAGTTAACAATAGTATGTCCAAAATATCATAAGGAAAAGTCATAGTATTGTATGTTGAAAATAAAATGAAAAAAAGTCATGGCATAGTAAATAAAAAACTATGAAAATTAGGCATTGTATAGTATGATAGTTTAGTCAATTGAAAAAGTAATTTAACATTGTTGTCAAGTATACCATGAAAACAGTGATAGTATAGTATTTTAAAAAAAATGGAAAACGTCAAGTATACAATATCAAATAAAGTAATTTGATATTGTATACTTTGACTTCATTGTATGCATGAAATAGGAAATAGGAAAATTAATGGTATGTGGAAGAAAGTCATAATATAGTTTTTCAAAATATCATAGAGAAGTTGTAGCATAGTTTGTTGGAAATATCATAAAAAATATGTAGTACAATATGTTGGAAGAGGTAATTATATAGAATTTCGAAAAAGTAGTGATACTATTATATGTTGAAAATGTCATGTTAAACTATGTCATTACAAAATATTTGTATATTATTGTATCAAAATATCACGTAGAGTCAAACAAAGAGAACCTCAACAAATATGAAAAACAAATCAAAGTATATGCATCCACAACATACACCTTTATAACATAAAAGTGTTTAACAACCTCTAGTTTAAAAATCCTATCAAATGCACACATTTGAAATTTGACGGATGGCGTCATGTGACAGACTTGAATGGAACATCCGATATACAAAGGGTAAAGTATCCATTAGTACAGGCTCCACTGCGGGTTGTTGGTGTGACTGAGTAGGAGACAACCAGGACTGCTAGAGGAAGAGAGGAATGCATAGGAGACACATCCCTGCAGCCATTAAACCATCCATAGGGCCCTTTGACCATCATCTGAAGTTGCTTTTACACGCACGCACGCACGCACGCACGCACACACACACACACACACACACACACACACACAGAAGGATCACATCTCTGCAGAGTCCCTACATATCCATCATATCCCTGTTTATCCATTCCCACACAAACACAGCAAGGGTTGCAAACACTGTACCGCTCTCTAGCTGTGTTTAGAGCCAATCTGCGGTTAACTGCAGCCCTAAGCAGCCGCACAGCCCAGCCCGTGTTGACTTTGTTTATCAGACACGGGCCCAGAAGTGAACACTGCAGCCCTAATCCATCAGGTCTTTGTCCCCCCGTCCCCACGGCTCAGTTCAGCTGGCTTTCACCTCCACACACAATCCAGCGGGAGAAGCCTGATTCATCCCTTTGAAAAGCCTGAAAACAGAGCTGGAATACAATCACTGTGTGTGCATGTGTGTGTCTCTTCTATAGCACATGCACGCTGCCACCCGTACTCACATAAATACACACAGTTGCAAACTGACAAATGGAGCTGCAGGTGCACACACTCCTACACAACAGAGAATATCTGTTAAGAAACAAACAAACTGTGCTTTCAAAAATCTTAAAAACACTTCAGTTCTAAAGAAAAGCTCGATCTTTATGTTTTGTTCTGCTTTTGTCTCCCAAGTCAGATTATTGATACAAAAATGTGCAGGGGATAAAACAAACCAAAGTGACACGTAAAATAATGGGCTGCACGTGAATGGCTGCTGATTAAAAAAATGCACCTTTTTCATAGCAATGTATTCCATGTACAGTAGGCTACAATGGATTCTCCCAACATTCATTGATTCCAATTCAGACTTGTAACACAGAAATAAAAAAAAGCTTTATTTGTACAGGCTTAACAAAAGGCATTGTTTATGCAAACAAGCATTCATACACAATTAGTAATCAGGAGTCATTGCGTGTGAATCTGGAGGCTACAGATAAAAGCCAAGCCATGCATATTGTTATTTAAAGTGAGAAAAACAATCAAGTGAGGGAAATTAGTCCTGACAATTCAATCAACAGGAAATTCCACCTACGTTCCACCCTTTTTGCTGTTTCATTGTGTAGCGTCTGTCAGGTTGCGTTCACGTCCTCTGCAGTTTTACAACAAACTCTACAGCAGCACCATTAAACAGCAAACACCGCGGCCTGGGTGCTGTCACTGCTCTGAGACCTCATTAAAAGAAGGTAGTCTCCCCTTCATCCAATGCATGCACGCTGTGGGCAGCTGCTGTCTCTTTTGTGTTCAATATTTCATACAGAAGGAGCTTTTTTTGCCACTGTAATGTTATTTCCCATCTTTTTAGAAAAGCACAGAGAATGTCTCCTGCGGCTTGACACCCTGAACTCCTCGCGCTCACGCCATCTCTCACCTTCACTCTGTTTTTTTACCTTTCTTTCTATGGGTTTCTGCTGTTGTAGTTTAGGACACTTCAGAAAATAAATATAACCTGTTTTTCACATTCACTGCTCATTAAAGCTTCGGGTTGCCATTGCTTTCTAACCAAGGTCAAGAACCACTTTGGGGAGATTCAGACAGAAGAGTTAATGTCAAATACTGAAGAAAGAAGTTTTTAATTCTCAAGGCCAAAAAAACGAGTCCTCCACTTTAAGTTCCCCCAGAAGAATCCTTCAAATTCAAATGATTAAAGCCGAGCTCCATATGTTTTGTTATTTCTTTCCCACTGACATCCATCTGTCTTTTTTTACCGCTCACACATAAACTGGCGCTGTTGACACGGCTTCAGGTGCTCTGCCGACTCAGCACCAGGGGAAAGGCTCCGCGGCGCTAATCTGATCACACCTGTTCTGGTGCGACAGTGCAAATAAAACCTGTTCAAAACAAAGACAGCTCACTAAAAGCAATATCTTTTTCTTGAAAGCTTCCAAATGTGAAAATACAGAACGGGCCAGAAGAATTATTCTTCAATAACCGCTGCATTGTCTAGAATTTTAAAGGGAGAAATAGAGAATTTGCATAAGGTTGCTCATGGAAAGACACAATTAGTTTAAAGAGCTTTAGAGGAGTTATTAGGCCATTTTCTATTCATTTAGACAAAACCTGTCTGAAATATCAAGGAGCAAGGCAAGGCAAGGCAAGTTTATTTATATAGCACCTTTCAACACAAGGCAATTCAAGGTGCTTTACAAAAATGAAAGATATTCAGACAAAGGCATTTAAAAACAGTCATTAAAAAGAAAAGATAATAAAAGAAACATTAAAAGAAAAAATACATTAATAAAAAGTATTATTTGTATTAATAAAATAATACTTTTTATTCAGTACAGTACATACAATAAAAAGTTACAGTGCAGTTTAAGATATGAATAGTTCACACAGAAGTTCCACTTTACTGATGCCTTTCTTTAAGGTCTCTCCGAACATGCTGTATGTTGTATGGCACAAAGGGAAAAATCAAGGTTTAACTTCTTATTCGACCAGGTCAAATCTTAGCAATTACCTGGAATTGCAGCATTTGGAAGCCAACAAGCCAAAAACCTGAAAAGACATTGCTTTTTATAATCAAAATGTAAGGCAACATTTATTTGCCATTTAAATGAAGTGTTTTAATGTTATGTTCCCTCCTTTTTCCAGGTTTTCTCATTGTTAATTGTTGCCATCGGGGTGTATGCTAAAGTCCAGAAAGCTACAGGTACGTACAGGACCGTTTTCACTCATTCTGCTACATACAAATTCACTTTTCCACACATAAATTGCTTAATGTCATCTGTTTCAACTATTGAAAGTGATTTCTTATGTTACATTTATCTCCTGTGATAAACTGTTCCTCCTCCGTACATGACGGTCTCTTGAGCTGTGCTTGTGGGAGATGGTGTCCTCCTTTAAGAGCACACCTGAGGAGCAACCCCAACACAAGGCCATCATTTTTCACATTTAGTGGGGTCAGCAAGTATTTATCTTTATCCTTAGTTCACCTTGTAATATGCAGATGGACAACATAACGGATTAACCTGGCCTCATCACACTGATTACACAGCTGCACCATGAATAATCCGTGACAGATCATTTATATTTTAAATAGATGAAGTCAGCCAGTGTGGGAAAGGCGCCTGGGAAAACAAAAATAAGGGTGTGAGAGGGAGAGAATTAATTTGAATAATGTTAGAAAACAGAGAAATGAGGAACAGGGAAGAAACTAAGTGATGGTAGGAAAGTAGTCCGATATCTTAACAGGAGCTGTCTCTCTGCCAGACACGGTGCGGGACACGTTCCTGATCGACCCGGCTGTGATCCTAATCGTGGTGGGGGTGGTCATGTTCTTCATCACTTTCTGCGGCTGCATCGGAGCCCTGCGAGAGAACATTCGCCTCCTCAAGACAGTAATAGACATAACAGACACTAACTCATCCAGATCCAAGTCGTAAATCTCATGTGTGATAACAAATCCGACAGTTATGATCCCGTCTGAGTCAGGCCATTTTTTAAACATGTGTCTTTTTTTTCTAGTTCTCCTTCACCCTGACGTTTGTCTTCCTCACCCAGCTAGCCATATCCATCATGGGCTTCTTCTATTCTGATCAGGTACGCGTCTCTTTCCTGAAATGCTGTGGACTAGCCTAGTTACTCTATAGTAGAGTCACTTTAAAGGTCACACTTGGTCCCCAGTTGTTTTCCACAGTGACACCATCGACCACGAATACACCTGAGCTCCATTGATTTTGAGTATTTGTAAACTACAGTGAATGAAACTTAACAAGGCAAAGCATCTGAACCCGCAGGGGAGATGTCTGAGCCACACAGCGTGCACAAAAGAAAGTAAACACATATACACAGAACAACAGTGGAAATCAGTGTTTGTGTCTGCCAGAGAAGAGATGAAAGCACCCAATTTGGGCTGTAGGCCTACAATTACATTTCAGTGCAGTTTTAACTTTGCCGCAGGTCGGAGCAGCCCTACCAATATAGTTGAAAAGAAGATATCATATTAGACTCAAATGGCTATCATGTTTGGCATGCTTGTGGAAAAGAGCTTCTTTTTTTTTTTTTAAGGAATTCAAAACGTCCTTCCCTCCTTGTTGCTCAGTGACATGACCTCCTGTTTAAACTGGCTAGAGATGAGGTTCTCTAACTGGACAAGTATACCAGGATTTGGGCAACTTTTGGGGATTCATGCAGGCGTTTGTCCTGAGAAACATTGTGTACCGCACACTATATACAACTAACTGACTCCATGTTTCTCTCTTCATTTATTTCCGGCCCCTCCTGTGACTGTTCTTGGTTTCCTCTGGCTCCTGAATATTCTGTTGGATCTTGTGTTGCATCACACATATGCATGTACAATCAACCAACAGCTTGTTCTGTAAATGCTCTAGGCCAGGGGTCGGCAACCTTTTTGATATGAAGTGCCATTCTAAAAAAAATTTTTTATCAGCGTGCCGACGATCGTGAATTATCAACGGGGGGGGGGGGGGGGGGGGGGGGGGGTGTTGAAGAGCTCGACGAAAACACTCGTTTTCGTTAATGGGGCTCATTCACTGGCGCTTCCACAAACAACAACCAACATAATTGTTACATTCAAATGAAGTAGCCTACATTATTCAAGTTTACATTAACTTTGGATAATAACACGGGAGAAATGAGCGGGAGCGCTTTTCCTCTCTCCCCCTCTCTCTCTCTCTGTCCTGACAGCCTGCCAGTATCTCAAGCAGCTCACTGATCCTGTAATGAGTGACAGTGAAGAATAAATATATTTATAACTAGTTCCAGAGGTAGATCAAATAGCTAAGTGTGTTAGGTCTAACTCTTGTGTGTTCTGCTCCGCTCACCGGTCCGTCACAGCGGGTGGAGCTGCAGGATTTCTGCTTCACACGCTGCATACCGCTATTTTATTGTCTTTTTCGGACACCTTAAAATACTGCCAGACTGGTGAAGCGATTTTGGCGAGCTTGTTTTGCCGCACACAGAGAAAAGTGTCATGTATGTTACGTCTCACAATCGGCCTTTTTGAGTGGGGCTGCGTTGCGTGCATGGCTTCCTTCTGCAGGTAACGGGGAGACGCGCTCTGGCGGCGGTCTCGTTCAGGATCCGAAAATAAAATTAATATTTTGTACACTTATTCCACTTATTCCTAGTGTGCCACTGGTTACGGTGCCGCGTGCCGTTGGTGGCACGCGTGCCAGGGGTTGCCGACCCCTGCTCTAGGCCATTTATTATTGAGATGGGTGTAGGGGTTTAGGGTTTTGCTTGTTTTTTTTTTTCTTGTGTATGCATTTAAGAAAAAGGGGGACAAAATGGAAAGAAGATTAGAGCAGATCATGAACTGCCTGCCGGCTGCACTGTCCCGCTTTGAACTGGTCTCTGTATTTGATTTTAGCAACTTCATCTGATTTTATTTTATTTTTTTCATTTTTTAAAGCCACAAACCATTCCGCGTACTGCATTACCACTCTCACACTGAAATGTTACTGACGTGCAGGCGAGAACGCTGTTTTACCACAACACAAATTACAGTAAAACCATTGAGGAGAAAATATAATGATCATTTTTAATGATGAACTGTTGTGTGGAACAGTCGTGTGTTCTCGGTCAGAGAGTTTATAGCTGCAGGAGGGAAATTAAAAAAATAATTACAGTCAGGGCTCTCCGAGTGCCCTTCTGGTTCAGCCAACATTGAACCCAAAGACGATCAGAGCTCCAGTGAGCCAGACTTATTTCTTTTCAGAAAATGAAGGCAAATGGTAAAATCACTATCTATACTTTTTGTTATCTACATCATTCACATCTTTGACCCAATATACTTGCCATAGCTATCAATGGTAATTATCTTTCTCTGATATTGGGGATAATTACAGACTTGTGGGTGTATTCACTTTAATCTCTTGCACAAAAACAAAGTTGTGGATGGTGCAGAGACAGCTACTGAAATATAAAGTTAAACCAATTTCTTAACATTGATGTACATAATGCAATGTGTTGATTGACATATGTTAGCATTAAACAGTAAGAAGAAGAGGAAACAATGAATAAATCCCTAAGGTTCAATTTACTCAGATGTCTCAGAGCGAGGGGGCTTCCAGGGTCAGGCAGTCGGGGGCTTGTTGCCATGCTCAAGGACACCTCAGCAATGCCCCGGAGTCACACTGGCACCTCTCCAGACACCAGTCCACACTCTGTCCTCGTTCCAATCTGGATATGAACCAGCGACCTTCCATTTTCCAACCCAAGTCCCTACCAAATGTGTTCATTACGTGCACACTAATTGCAAAAACATTGCAAAATGCAATATTGCAATCCAAATGGCGTCATCTAAATGAGTTTTATAAACCTCAACAGGAACAATTACACAGTTTTTATCAAGGAAAATAAACTAATTTAGAGATAGTAAAGAAAACATTTTGTGTGGAGAATTAATTTCCTATCCTTTTAGGAAACAATAAGGATTGTGTAACCCCTGTTTGGTGGTTCACTTCACTGAAATAAAGTAACCATGTCTGTATGAGAACGATGAATGTAGTATGTGGATTCCTGTGTATTCGTATACCAGTACACAACCACAGTGATTGATTTGGAGGCATAAGGGAAGCGAAGGATTTCCCCTCTAGCATCCACTTATCTCCTACAGTAACATCCCATTAGGGCTCTTCTGGGAATATAAACACAACAGCCAGTGGTGGCGTCGCTCCCTGACATCAGTGTGTGTCGAGGTGCCTGCTGCCTGGCGATACCTCTCCTCTCCCTTGTGTTCTCTGTCAGAACTCGGACTGCCTGCTGCTAAACAGAGCAGTTTAACAAGCCTCCCAGCATCCTTCCTTGCTAAATGATTCAAATGCTTCGGCACTTCAAAGTGGAACGAAATGTTCCATTTCAACAGATCCCTTGAAGGAGACTTTGGCACTAATGACATGAGGAGGTGTGACTTGAGCTCCGAGGCTCACGATCGTACACCACCACGTGAAAAGACAAGAGAGAGGGGAGGAGGGCAGGGTGAGGGGGTGGGAGAGAATGCTGGATAAATGCTAACACAATTCAGTAAAACAACTTCAGGATAAAGATTTTGGGCTATTTTGATACAGTTTACGGTATTTGTCAATGTAACCTGTTCAGACGCAGGATTTAATAATAAGAACAATTCAGTGGGCCTTCAGCTAACTGTGCTCAGAAGTTAATTTCAAGCTTAATGACATTTTAAAGTTCAGCGGATCATTAGCATACAGTGTTCCTATTAGCATATATTACATCTGAACTCAGTCTGTACAACCGTGGCCTTGTTTTTTCTTAAGGACGGAGGAAAAATACATTTTCTTACACTCAAACTAAATCATTTAAAATGAATACCATGGACAATGAAGGCTAAGTAAATAAAGTAGCTCACAATTTTAACGTCTCAATCAATCACATCTCTTTTGAAATCTTAATTATTCAAACAAATCAATGTTAGTCATTTATATTTCATCTGGGTTTTGTTTCTTCAGCTCAAGTGGAGCTGATGAAAAATTACCACATTATAATATCAAATGGGCAACTTTAAGCAATTATGTTCTGCAGTGGAAACAGCCGGAACCTGCTCTAGTTGGTATGCACCGTGTACATGGATCTCAAAGGCACGAATGATTTTTATTATGGTCGTTATTCTGTACTCCCATTGCAGCAGTTCCTGCTCCGCTGCCACCTTGGCAAGTTACATTCCACAGGATGCTCACACAACGCAAACAAGAGGATGTTATGTGTCCCCCTTAGACATCTATTATTATTATTTATGTTTATTTTCACAGGCAGATACAGAATCATAGAATATTCACCGATGAGACTAATGTTGCATATCAAACGGTTATAGCCTAAAAGCTCATTTGTAGCGTATATCCCTGGATGGCATTTTATAATACATTTGCAGTGCAAAGCAACATAAATATTGTATATGCCATTTAAAATGCCTGTATATCAAATCCAAAGAAAAGCCCCAAGATTAGCGCTAAATACATGCCTGATCACTCTCGAGAGTCAGTTTAACTTGGATATGATGAATGATCCTATGATCCAATTTTAATTGTGTGAGGATTTCAACAGCATCTGTCTAAAAGGTGTGTTCACAGAAAGACACTTCAAGTAATTAAAGGAGCCAGAAAACCTCAAGAGGTTTCACCGTGTCACCGAGCACACATTTGTAGACAAGTTCAACACTGGCAATTTTAATGAAGTTATTCAAACGATTAAAATTCTTTAGTACATGTGGAAATGAACGCTATAATTCTCTCTCTCTCTCCCCTCTCTTAGACCCGGGATGCTCTGGGAAAGTTTGTGAAGAAAGCCATCGTGCACTACAGGGATGACCTGGATCTGCAGAATCTGATGGATTACATCCAGAAAGAGGTGCTCTGGCCAATGCCTTTTAGCTGGAGTGTCTTTACTTGTGTCTTTAGCTATCCACATCACACACATCTTCAAATTGATCTGTAAACCAGTAAATCACAAGAAGAAACCACAGAGCTGCATGCTTGTTCTTTTGGCCTTGGTAATGTAATGTAATGTAATGTAAATGTGATGTTAATGGATTTCCACATGAGAGGCATGACAGTTCCTGTGCTCTGCGGGGCTCCTCCTGTGATATCCCTCCTCCATCTGCACACACTGGCACACTTTGGAAGCCTGGGTTTTCCCACGGGAGAAGCCCAGACTGGCAGGATGTACAGATTAGAGCAGGACCACGAGTCTAAATTTAAACCTATGCTGTGCTGTCTCTGTTTTTCTCTCAGTTCAAGTGTTGTGGGTGGAACAACTACACAGACTGGTCTTGGAACCTGTACTTTAATTGTACTCATGAGAACCCCAGCACGGAGCGCTGTGCTGTGCCTTACTCCTGCTGCACTCCTGTTCCTGGAGAGGTGCGTGCTTCTCTCTGTGTGAGATACACAGCGTGGACAAAGCCTTATGGAAAAGTGATAACTGTAAAGTGATTTAAAAGCACCGCTGTAAAGAAGCCTTGATGTTGAATGCCAGTTAGTGTGTAGAGGAATGTCTTAGCTCGAAAAAGGACAGGTTTCAGAGGAATGTGAAGCTACTAATGAGTCCCAAGGAGCTCAGTGTAAGGACGTATAGAGGTATCCGTCACCAGGGAGACGCTGTGTGTAGAAGTATCAGACTCTGAAACTGCACTTAAAGTTCAACCTTTACCACTTACAGGCAGAGAAGTATACAGCATGCTATGAAGGGTTGTCGTAAATCCACTTACCGAGATTATAATTATTAAATCATATTCTTTTGATTCATGTGAAGAAAAAAAAAAGTTGAACGCTTCTTGCTTGAGCTTCAAATGAATGTTAAATCGACTGATTTTTTTTTTACGTTATTCACAACTGCCATGTAAGGGCAAAACAAAATAAACTCCCCTCTCAAGAGGACTAACATAAAATGTCAGGCTGAAGGAATAAAGTGAGACGAAATGACAAAGTATATTTCATGATTATCAGGCTTAATGAGCATCCCTACAGCAGTTAGTGTTACAACTAATTTATATACACACACACACTGGTAGACAAAAACAACTACAGGTATAAGCTTAGGTTAAACAAATGGATAAAACATGCTAATCTCCAACATATAGTGCTGTCGGATATGCTGCCTACAGTAACCTGAGCAACCTTTGTAGCAGAGTTGGCAGCAGTGATTAACCTATTTCAAAATTGAAGCCCTGTTTCATGAAGGTTTTATGGCGTTTTGTCTACACATAATCACACATGCAGCCGCCTTTCCATGCATAACAAATGAAATGTGTGCAGATAAGGATGCATGCCGGCACACAACAAGCAGTATATATGTAAATACACTTTTCATGCATGCAAGAATGCACCCATTTGCACTTGCACAAAGGACGCATACTGAATGCTTGCCTAACCTGCAGACATACAGCAGCGCATTGTAAAAGCAACCAATTCCTTCTAGTGTGTGTTAGCGCAGAACACTAAAGAGTGCATGTAGATCCATCACAGTCATATTGATTATACATCATACTACACGGAAAACAGATCACAGTAACCTTTTTCCTACATGGGTGAGGATATAATGAATTAAAGACTAGAGGGGCTGATGCAGTGCTGCAACCTGCTGGCCTGAAACTGCATGACTGCTTCAGGGACCTTTTGTCATTACATTAATGTAGTTGTATTGCTCGCTTGCAGTCTTTTCCTGTTTTCTCCAAGTCTCTACAATTAACAAAACTCTCCCGAGGCTGTAACAATAGTTCATATATTTGTGAATTTAAAATAACACGAGAGATGTGGAACGTGTGAAAGCATCTTATGAATACTATTTCAGGGTATATGCAGGAATCCTGAAGTCAAATGTAATACCTTTTAAGACCTTTTTTAAGACCCTTTTCATACATTTTAAGACCTCATCGCCACTTCGAGTTCTAACCGGTTACATTGGCGACACACTTTACCTCACATTATACAGTATTGATTGTCCTTCCTCCTTATCTTCCAACCATTTGGACGCAGACTTGCATTTCCCCATAACGATGTTGTTTAACAACCGGAGTAAACGGACCTTCACGCGCTATCAAGCAGTGAGCGCGATGTCCTGTTCAGATGACGTCAAATCCAACGGGATGCCATAAATAAACTACACAGAATCACACTACACACCTACGCAATGATTACATTCAGGCACACTTTAGAATACAACCTCTTTGGACAATTTATATACTTATTGAAAACAAGCTACAAAATGTAATACCTTGGAAAATGCTGTTTAATACTTTTTAATAGCCTTCATTTTCGCTAAATTGATTTATCAACTTTTAATACTTTTTAAGACCCCGCGGACACCCTGTATTTACATTGTTTAAACAACAAGAATAGTAAGGCTAGTCTCTAAAACGTTTTCTGTCTCTCTGTCCTTCGCCTTTGTCCATGTGGTGTACAGACGGTGGTCAACACTATGTGCGGGTTTGGGGTTCAAACCCAGAAATACCTGGAGGCAAACAAGTTCATCTTCCCGGTGGGCTGTGCCGACAAAGCGGTGTTGTGGATCGAGTCTCATCTGTTGCTATTGGGGGCCCTTGCCCTTGGTCTGGCCTTGCCTCAGGTAACAACACTATTTATTTGCCACTAATTGGCAACATTTAATTGCCATCAGTAACCTCAGACAATTCTGGGTTGGAATGGCTTTAGTCTTGTTTTAAATAAGCTTCCACACACAAACACAAGTCGATATAGGCATCAACTGGAGGCTCACAGTATTGAGCGTGTAGCGATCAACATATTGACGGGATGTGCTCCCTCAGAGACTTCCATGGTGCATTTGGACGAAGGCAGCTACGTAGTCCAAGCAGCAGTCCATCAATCAGGTCCCTGAACCTCTCCTGAAGTAACATGGTAGAAAAACTGCCCTGCACAAGTTGGCTCACATGAGAACCTTGTAGAGAAGAGGGGAAAAAAACCTAATGAAAATCTGACTCTAAAAGAAACCAAGCTTAATGTGAAGCCATTGGGACAGATCTGATTTAAAATAGAGGGTTATACCTAGACAGCAATAACCAGGCACAAGGGGACGATGAATCTTTAACTGCACATTATTCATTTATTGCAGGCCGAAAGCTCAGGTTAATGTGAGACCGAGGTAGAGGTCTGCGTGTGATAATGTAAGATTATGTGCCTAAGAAAAGAAGCACACTGACGATTCCCTCCTCTCACCAAGCACCGCTGCACAACACCTCAAATCACCCCACATGAAGTGCTCTTGATAAGTCAAGTCAATATGTTATATTGGCCATGAAATGTAATTAGCACCTAGCTGCTTCTAAATAATTTGTACAATTACTTATCAAACTGATTCAGCCACAGTGTGTCACATTCTCCCACAGCATGCAGCTTTGCCACTAGATCTTAAGTCTGATCTCTGTGTCTCTGATATCTGCTGATTGGGTCCCCAAAGATCCTGTTAAAAGGGAAGCATGTGAATTACCCATGAGTCCTGTCAAAACAATTTCACTAGTTTTCCAGTTTGCTTTGATGTGCAGGAAATCCGATGATGGAGCTTTCTTTTTTTTTGTCATCCAAACTTAACACCATTTCTTGATTTGTCTGCCTAACAAGACACATTTAAATCAAACCTGTAATTATTGGAAAGCTTTGTTAAAAGCTTTTTGCCACTGATTGTGTTTTCTCGCTGTGAGAAACACTTTGAAATCAGTCTCTATTTGACGTAAAAAGTGTTAAGATCCTCTATATACCAGTATATATATATATATGCGACAAATGAGTGTGAGGGGCCTTGAGATGCTCGGCACAGCCTGTACAGTTTCAGAGAATCTGTTTTGTAATGTAAAGCGCTGCTACTGTCCTCCAGATTGCAGGCATCGTGCTGTCCCAGATCCTGATCTCTCAGATCCAAGATGAGATTACCTCAGTGTTGTGAGAGCGGGCCGGCGCAGAGGAAGAGAAGGGAGGAAGAGGAGGGAGGAAGAGGAGGGAGGAAGAGAACATACAGTGCTCTACTCAGCTCGTCTGACACGCGCAAGGACATCTTTTCTTACGGCTATTGCATCACTGCAACGTTTGAACACATTCAACATTCTTACCATGCTGCTGCCTAAGAGTGGGGTGCACAAGTAGTCATCACAAGCAGAGTGCGAATGAGTGTATATTTATTGGTTTTGAAGATGCTTTTTTTATATTGACTTTGACATGATGATTATATTTCTGAATAACTTGTAAATGTGATGTTTTCTTATAAAATATAAAACAAGGTTAGTTAAACAGATCAGTATTGATTAGAGAGATACAATAATCATCTCAGAGGATATAAGGCTATTGATCATGCAAATTAGCAACTTCGTTTTATATAAGCTCGTAAACTTGAGAAATGTGTTATAAAGCTTAAATCACGAAAAAGTATTTAATTTAAAATATTAATATATAATGAGTTGCAGATATGTTGACTACATTGCCAGGTTTCTACTGTTACATGAGTTTCCTTAAGCCAAGCAGTGGAGATCAGATTCATATGTTGCTTTATGTGTTGTGCATGTTGGGAACTGCCCTGCTCATCTTGATCCGTCTAGATGTGAAGGGCCAGAGCTCTCTGCATCAGACGATCTGTCATTGGGGAGTTTGGCCTCATGGCTTCGCGCTCCACCAGAAGACCTCTGCAGAAAGAGAACAGCACAAAGACATAAACACAGATTTACAGAGAAAAGCTGGAAGCTGACCTGATCAATAAAGTATAACATGGTGTACAGACAGCGGCTGATGGTTACATAAAGAGAGCATACGGTTTGTATGGACGTTGATAGAAAGCAACTAAAGAAAAGTGGAGTGGACGGCGGCCCCTACAGAGACTCTGCTGTATCATGATGAAATCCAATGGTTCAAAAGTTCCTTCTTGTGTCTCCTATGATCTCTCAGCAGACCTTCATATGAAAGCATCAAGTCCCTGTTGTGCATTACCTTCCAAGCTTCTGATGGTGCTTATCCTCCGATTTCATGGCTGCATGAATAAGCAGTTGATTGAAGACATCCCTCTGTGAACAACAGTTGAGAAACCCATTAGTAAACACTACCCTTCTTCAGCCCTGTAAATATAGTCTTTGTACCCTTTTGTGCTATACTGTGTATGTACACTGTTCTTTGTGTTCAGAAAAGCATTCCCATAGGTGCGGAACACAAAGAACATCAAATCCACTAAGTCCATCAGCATCCATCACAGATTCATTATTCATACATTGCGGTACATCCTCACACTGTGTGGTGTGTTCGTGGACTGAAAGGCTCTTTTGCAGAGCGTTCTTCACTTCTGGCCTATTGCACAATAACAGGGATTAACTCAAGAAAACACGATATAGTATGATTGATAATATCCAAAGAAAAAACAAAGAAAGTGTCAAGGCTGTACACTTTTCAAAAAGAATAACCGTTTGGTTTTGGTTTATTCTTATTTGCCTTGAGCTTACTATATTAACCCCTTCCTGTGGGACCTTACCTGTGCATCGCTGCCACCCATATTGACCAGGCGGTAGCGTATCGGCAACAGAAGGTCCACGGTGCGATTGTAGTTGCCCTGGTCGTACTCCATCATGGCCTGACACATGGGTACACCGATTGTCCGTCCCATCTGATGTTGCAGATTGACCCCTGGCTCTCTGTGAAGGAAAAGAGAGGTTAATAACTAGAGAAAACCTATTTCATAGTATAGCTGGAAGGTTAATATAGGGCAGTAACATCAACGAAACCTACAGGAAAAGCTCCAGGTTGTTGTTTTTTTAAAACAGACTGTATTAGAGCATTAATCTACTGAACTGAAAAATTGTGAACGTCTGAGCAGGACTTACTTCCCTGTAAGGCAGAACGTTCCACACTGTGGTTGGGTTTTCTTGGATGAGCTAATGCTTACTCACTGCCTCTGAGGAAGCATGTACAATGACATTATGGCAACATATGGATTGTGTAAAGCTGTGCAATCCTTCCACACCAAGGTAATAAGAGTGACACGGTGGAAAGAAGAGTGATGGAATTAAATAAATGCAAACTTAAACATGTCTTCACGGCTTGCCTGATTATTCACAGCTGAGCTGGGTTGAGGAGAACATTTTTCGTTTCTTACTTGCTTGCTTTCCCCCAGAAAGTGCATCATTCCCAGACTCTTGTGACTTGCATTATATTACATAACACTGAAAAACATGACAATTTAAAAGAACTGCATTTAAGTGACAGCTTCTCCGTGGGTTGTACACAGAGCCAAATGGAGAGCACAAGATGTCTGTGGTTTGGACGCCAGGCAACATTGTGACCACAAAGCTCCAGAGTCAGCAGCAGCTGGTCCATCTGCTGCAGAGGGAAGACATCGGTCTCTGTGAGGAGAGAGCTCTGACTTCTCCCTCGCTGCATCAGCTCACTATCTCGCCATCCTACGCCCAGCCTCGTTTCTGTCTCCTCTTTACATAAGGTCTGTGTGGCTCTTATGTAAGGCGGTTAGAGTGCTGAGGTGTGCAGTGAACAAGAGAAATGGTGCGGAACTTACTTAGACAATTCCTGGAGGCCCTCCAGCAGGCGCTGAGAACTTCGGCTCTCTTTAGCTCCCAGCGACGCCATGAAGAAGTGGGCGTCGTTAAACAGGGTCACGTGATCATCAGTGTGAGGCTGCGTTATCTGGAACAGCTCTCGCCAGCGATCCTTCACGCACACACCTGACCCAACACAAACACACAAATATGGCTTGAAAGCTGCACAAAGGTCACAATAAAAGAAATGTTTTTCAAATGTCAGCAGGTAATTTTGTCTATATTTGAAATTAAAAGAGAAAAAAGTGGAATATGGTCCGAGGTTTGGCTAATTACAGCTGATTCGAACACAGTCCCTTTAGTTTTTGATTAATGAGGTATGATAAGGGAGATAATCTCACCTCATTAGCAGTTTCACTTAAGACCACACTGTCTTAAATTATCTCCAATTAGACGTTTTCCGTGGCCCTTAAGCCAATTAGCAACACATTAAAAATGTTGCATCAACCTCAAAAGACTAATCGTTGTAATCTTGAAGAAATGACAGGCATCTACAGTTTATGTGGTATCCAGTGATGGATGAATAAAAGATTAAAACTCCCTTTGCAATTTCCGTATTGCAGACATTGATAACATTGCCAGTTATACCTTGTACATTCCCATATCAGCCCGTATCTTACCCTCCAGTTCCAGTCTGTAGAGCATGGAAGAGGCATCGACAGCTTCCAACATGGATCCTGTGGCTTTACAACGTCTGAATACCTAATACAGGAAAAACCTTCACTATGCAGCACAGCTTGAACACTGACAGATGTAACATGGAACTGCCTCCACACAAGGAACACCATTTTAAACAAACATGTTCAGGACTTGCTCGATTCCTCTGATACATGTGGTTAAACATTCATTGCATTCAGCAAATGATGTAACGAGGGCAGATGTGTTGAAACTTATGGCAGTGGCAAGTAACACTAAGACATGTTATTGTAAAGGTACAGGCCAGGACAGTAATGGCTTTACTGTCTTTCCTATTTTTAGAGTGAATGAAAAAAGAATCAGCTTTGGCAGTTGACACTGTGCATCTTCACATGGATTTGACTTCAATTTGCAAACACTTGCCTTCTTGACACACAACAACATATTGCTTTTAGTCTGCATCCCCTGTGTGTTGGAACATGCATGGCTCTTGAAAGGCTAAGTGTGCATGTACTCAGATATACTATTAAGGTTCTGATGAAAGTTGTCAACACAGACCAACCTGAGAATCGAATATCTCCAGAGCGGCTTCGTATTGCCCCTGTGGAGGAGGAAGAGGTGAGGAAGAAGAATTTGAATAACTCCAGACTTAAAAGATAAGCAGTGTTGATAGATTGTGTTGCACAGATGCAAACACAAATTAATCTTGCAATATAATCAACTTCAGACTTCAAATTACCCAGGGGAAAGGATATCATAAATACAAGTTCCACAAACACTCCTGACAACTATTCGCTTGACTGAGAAAACTCATTATACTCTTTACCTTCTCGATGAAGCATAGAGCCCAGTGCCAGTAGTTATGACTGGCCAGCACGTCAGATACCTGGAATACCACATTGAAATATGTTGTATTTTTGTGGACTCAGCAACCTTGTACAGTATGTCAGTTATCAAATGAATCAGAAAAACACACCGCTAAGGAAAAGACAAAAGTTGTACCTGCCAGTCTTTCTCTCTGCTCTCCATGAACTTCAAGCCTTTGTCCACCTGTGCTGTCATCTCGTAAACGTGGGCTACAGAGTGAACCGACCAGGCGTCACCTGGAGCCATCGCCAGGCCCTGCACAACACACAATAACAGTCAGTAAAGGAGAGAAGTACAGATGCAGAAGAAAATGTGGTATTGTTTTAGTTTTAGTCCAAAATTACAATGCTCAAGTTTCCATTACTATCTTACTTTGGTTTGTGATATTCCTCAATGTATTTTTTAAGTGACCTTCATGTCACAACTAATTTGTATGCATTAAGCATTGAGCTCATGAGAGTGGGGCGTCTGTGGGCTGGATAAGCTGCCGAATTGAAGTGACACCGCCAGCGCAGAAGCAGACAGCCTGCACCACCCAGCTGCAATGACAACAGCACGTTCAAAATAACTGATACGGGGAAGAAAATCTCACCTCCATGGCCACTTTCTCTGCCTGGTCATAGAGGCGACATTCCATGAGACCAAACGAATACATTCCATTCAGATAGCTGAGGGTACACACACACAAATCTTTAATTAAAAAAAATGCAGGACAGATAACTTTTACTCTTTAGGTAGGATGATGAAAAGCAGAGACTGTTTACAAAGACCCCTACGGGCAGGGGCGGCGGTTAATTAAGGCTAGAGAAGGGTATGCCTTCCCTAAATTATTGATCCCTATACTTTTGTGCACTCCAATGTTTCCTTAACGTCTCAAATACAGCTACGGCTACAATATATTATGTTCAGCAACCCCAAATATCAACCTGTAGTATGAAGCTATGGTTTTTACAGTCGTTGAATACATTTAATTATCACATTAAGGCATAAGAACGTAGCACCATCGGAGCATAACGATGTTTTGAATTCTGTCAGAACGAGCAGAGGGAGACTCGTAGGAACAGCTGGAGCACCATGGCATGTGCGGTGCGCTCACCTAACGCTGCTCAAAACAAACAGCGCTGGTTAGGAAACTTGTCTTTGTCTCATGAGCTGCGTCTATACAGTACTGTCAGTTAGTGTCGGCTCACAGCAACAGGATATAGAAACTCCACAGATAGGGACATTCATTTGGTGACCATTACGTACATTGTTGTTTGTTTGCGCTTTTTGTATTAAACTGTGTGTAATCATTTGGGTTTTACTTGGTACGACTCATCCATTTACTTCGACCACCTGTTGTTAAAAGGAAAGGTGTGAAAGTGAACAATAATTTACTCGCCTGAAGTGGTCACCCTTAAAGGACAGGCATGATTGCAGGGTGCAACAGACTCTACTTAAAACACTATTTTCTCAGTAAGAAGCACTTTACTTACAACTGCCAGCAAACCTGCCCCCCCCCCCCACTGCACTAAAGACAACACAAGTGCCGGAGGATCATTGTTAAAACTGCTTACTTTAATGTCCCATCAATTTAGTTTTGTACCTTTCTTTTTCATAATGAAAATGATGACTTAAAAATGTCATGTAGTTCTATTTAGACCTTTGTGAGAAGTATCAGGTTCAATGTGAATATTGTTCTCTGTTTCCATAGAATTTGCATTATTTAATAATTCTGTATGCCACATTAAAGATTCAAAAAGACATTCATTATATTTACGCATATTCCAGTTATTGCATATAATATAAACTCCAATCTTTTCAAGACGCTTAGCATAACACATTGCACATGATTATAATGAGCTTGTGTGCAGCTGGTCAGATTATATGAGAGATGAGAATAATAAAGTGCCTTAAAGACTATAGAGGCCTATTTACCCCATATGTATTTGTAATGCAAGTAAGCACCTGTGTACGGTATAATCGTATAACCATCAAAGTCTTATTTATTGTATATAATTGACCCTGTGTTTGAAGTCCCCCTTCACTCCCATTACATATCTAAACTAATATGATTTGGTTAATGAGTTTTCATATGATTAAAGCTCATCCTAAATGCTTCTCGTAATGTGTGTTGTCTCCTGTACCTGAACAAAGGCATGTGAGGTTTCCAGTAGGGCAGCACCCGGGCCACAGAGTCCCTGAGCTGGAGCTGGGCCCCCATGTAGAAGTAAGCATCCTGAACAAACTTTAGAGCCAGCATGTCAGTGGGGTGATCGACCAGAATGTCTTCCCATAGTTCGCAGGCCTTCGGATAGTTACTACAAAAAACATGAGTCACTGTTAAAGAAAACTGAGCAATGAAGGACAAAAGAATGAGTGTACCATGAGAATAATGAAGACGTCAATATGCTTTGTACCGAACGGAGGGAATTAGAGGAAATAGAAAAACACAAAGACCCTCTGTGACAATATTGAGAAACAGAATTTTCACTCAACCTTGCAATATATCACGCCGTACCATTGGGAAATAAGGCGTACTTGTTAGATACACTGTGACTGAAATGTGCAAATGGTTCTTTGGCACATAATATTGAAGATGAGTGCTGTGGATCTGAAGCAAGCGTCTGCATCACAGGGGGACAGAAAGAAAGGAACCTGGAGAAGCATGAATAATGGCTGAAAAAATTAAACATTCTTATGGTCCTCTGATGTCTGAAGGGACTTCATTCCTTCACAGGCAACCCGTTTCTTCCTTCGTGATGATAAACAAAACTGATCTCTTCTTTATTTGGACTTAATATTAACTGACTGCAATGTAGCCGTTACTTCAAAACATGTTACATTAAATCAGGGAAAATGTCTCTCTTTTGGTCAGATTGTTAAATTGACATTTGTTTGATAAAAGGGATGAAAATCCAACTCAATAGCTGAGATTTTTTTCGAAACAATAACCTTGCTTGAAGATATTTGTTTTAAAATACAACTCATTTGCGGAAAACTGCTCACTGCAGAAATGTTGTTTTTGATACTACTGTGCATAGGATAAATGTTTTATTTTTAAATTATGATTTTAAGATATTTATAGTTTCAATTTGTATTTTAAGTGAAGACTAATTTATTTATGAATTCTTATAATGATACACCAATCAAAGTTTGGACACCTTATACCATTATGTGTATGCATTATTCCACAGACTACTTCTTCAAATTGTGAATTCATGTTATAAAAAGGAGGTTATACGCAGTAGTAAGAATTCTATATGTGTCTAAAAGCTCCTATGTGACAGACAGCAATGCATGTTGGGATCCCATATTACACTTCAAAGACCACTCGTGACCCTTCAGACCCTTTTCTGTAACCACTGCTTTGATCAAATTGTTATTCATCTCTCTGTTTTGAATACATTTCCTGTGGCAAGCTGGCTCTGGATCTTACCCATGTGAAAAGAGCTCCATAGCCTTGACATGGAGCCTCTCTCTGGGAGAGATCTCCTGGCTGTTGGCCAGCTCCACTGTTCGCCTCACAGCGCCGGCCAGACTCTCATCCAGGCGGGTGGAGCTGGATGTTGAGACCAGATTCAGCCCCGTACTGATCACATGGCCCATGACTACAGGGAAAACGGATAACACTGGTCTTTTCTTTTTGACTTTGTCAGAGCAACTTAAGTGTTGTGAAGAAAAACATACACTTGTAAAAATGATAATTTTTTTATACATAGCCAGATATCTAAAAGGGACACCTTTAAAGAGGCCCTATTATGCTCATTTTCAGCTTCATATTTGTATTTTGTGCCTCTACTGTTACATGTTACCATGTTTTAATGTTCAAAAAGTGTTTTATTTTTCTCATACTGTCTGTGCTGCAGCACCTCTTTTCACCCTCTGACTGAACAGAGCCAAGTTTGCTCTGATTGGTTAGCTGGTAGGCTCTGTTGTGATTGGTCAATTGCTTAGACATGGCCCGCCCTTAAGCCTATCACGTACAATGTGTTGGAGATTGAGCCATTAGGAGCAAGAGTGTTACACGGTGGTGTCATTATCACAGAAGTGAACAAAGGAGTCCACTCGGGGTGTTTCATGTAGAGGGGGATTGTGTGGGAGAGAAACTCCCTCTGGAGGGACCTTTGGCATTCTCTCTGATAGCCATATTATGTAACAATGACAATGGCAAACAGTTATGTGGATACAAAGTTAATGGTCCAAATTCCCAATGAATAGTTTACTTATCAAAATAATCCTTCTATTTTGATACTCAAGCAATAATCAAACTAATATTTGACAGAATATATGTTTTCGGCATCTCAATTATGGGATTTTATATTAAACTGAATATCTTTTGGTTTTAGAATGAGAAACAATTTAACCTTGGACTTTGGTAAACTGGGATGGACATTTTTCACTATTTTCTGAGAGACTTTGGGCTAAAAATAATTGGCAGATGTTTTCATTATTAAAATAACCTTGTTCATTGCAGCCTTATCAAATGTTGTTTTGTTTTTTTTATCTAAAGACAACTGTATTCTGTTAATATATTCAGATCTGTGGACTATGACTCATGTAAACAATGCAATTCATCTTAAACCTAATAACCTCAATTTGGTTGTTATGTTCAATACATTTGAAGGGTCTGATCCTGTATTTTCAGCAATTGTCAAAAGCAGCTTGCAAGTTCTCAAGAGCATCAATTCATATTGAACCCGCACAACAACAGCTTGACTCATTTGCATGAACATATCACCTAAAACACTTGATGGAGATAAACAGCAGCTTCTCCTACACCGAAAACACACTGGGCCCAATTCTATTCAGCCTCTATGTAAATGACTTGCCATCAGTGTGCACTGAATGTGAGGTGCAAATGTATGCTGATGACACTGTCATTTATGTCCATGCAAAAACCAAGGCCCAAGCTGCTGCCAAACTAAGTGATGCAATGGTACATGTACATCAACGGCTTACTGACTCACAGCTATATCTAAACGTTAAGAAGACAGTCTGTATGTTTTTTTAGCAAGACCAACACTGTATCACACTGTGAACCCAAGGTCTATGTGTCTGGGGAGGTCATTCAAACAGTTACACATTTTAAATATCTAGGCATTATCCTTGACACTACTCTATCCTTCAAAAACAAGTGAGAAAGGTAATGCAAATAACTAAATACAATCTAGCAAACTTTAGTTATATAAGGAACTGTTTGACAACACCTGTAGCAAAACTCTATATGACTGCCATGATCATTCCCCACCTAACATACTGTATGACCAGCTGGACCCAGGTGAATAGCACAACATTAAGGCCAATCCTATCACTTCACAAACAAGCTCTCAAAGTTTTGGACAGAAAACCTAAGCTATACCACCATTGCAAAATCCTGGTCAAACATAACCTGCTCAGCTGGGAACATCTTAAAAACACACTGATGCATGTCTCATTTTTAAGATTATAAAAGGCAAGGCACCCCCACCACTCTGCACTTTTATATAGCAGAAAAATTCAAACAGCAGAACCACAAGGTCTGCCCTAAGAGGGGACTGTACAGTCCCTCTTAGGTCCAGTTCCTTTGGTAAACACTGTTTCTCTGTGAGGGCATCAACACTTTGGAACACAATACCAATACAGATAAGGAATAACACCTCCTATCATACATTTAACCGCAATCATAAGAACTGGCTTTTAAGCAATCAAAAATGTGAACACTTTTAACTGTATCATAGTAGGATAGTATTTCATCTGTTTGCATGTTTGTCTGTTCCTATTTATTGTTGTACTGTTGTTGTCTGTTGCTGTGTGTATTTTTTTTTTTTTATTATGTTTTTATTTCTCTAGTTTTGTTTTGGTTATTTTAACATCTTGCCAAAAGGACAACAGTTGAAAATTAGCCTGCTGGCTAACACTGGCACGTTTACAGCAATGTTGATCAACTGTCCTTTAAATAAATAAACAAACAAACAAACACAATTGTTTCATATGACAGACAGGTACTGATAAATGTATGCTTCTCAAGGTCAAAAGGTCAATGCTTTTGCTAATTAAATGACAGCATGTGTAATTAATATTAAATATCCAAGGCTACATCATATCAGAAAGGCATAGCAGACAAAGCGTAGGTGCAATTAATAACAATAACGATGCCTTACTTCCATGTATTGTCCTGTCATTCCACTGCAGTCGTTAGTGATGTTATTAGATACACCTGTGCTTTATGTGTGCATACAGTACATAACATATGAAAATGTCTGTTTTGAAAGCGTCTGTAAAGCTGTGGGGTCTTCGCCTTTTACAGGTCTTTGTGCTTTCTAAACATGGTTACTCAGTATGCTTGGCCAGATGTGTACATTGTTTAATGACTCCAAAGTATGATGAATGATAAGCTTTTGTTCTTTCTCTAACTAAAGTTAGGATTTTGTCAATGATTATTTATTAAATATAAAAGGTCAAAGTATTTTATTAATTAGGCTTTTTTAGCAGTGCATACATTTAGCGCTGTAACCTTTTTCTCTCTTCTTTCTTACTCTGAACTTTTAACATTGATTCATCTGTTGTCTCATTTAATACGTTATTAACTCTGCAGCTACAGTATCAGTAAAATAATAGTGAATATTATCTCACGTTACAAGTCTATTTACCAAAGTTAGGGTCTGCTGCTGTGATCGCAGAAAGGCATCCTTCAAATCCTCCCAAGGTTTCATCGTTCTTCCATGTGACGTACTAGAAGTGGAACAAAAGAGATTTTAGAATAGAAACTATAATTAAGTGGACAAACATAACAATTATTTTGGGGACAGAAATCTTCAAACAAGTTAGTCAGAGTTCATTTAAACTCCTCACATGCATTGGGGTGGGTTGAATGGTATGCAAATTCATAACATATTGCAAGATATAATAAGTGCAAACTACTAGCACTTTAAAAACAATGAATACAACTTCAATTTGTACCTTTAATACTAGCAGCATGTGTCATTTGTGGAAGAATAAGCAGTCAGTGTTACCTGAGTGAGGATGGCGTCATACAGTTTGCAAGCCTCATTACTGCTGGTGGACATCGGGAGGTTCTCTGCACTCCATGCCTGAGGGACACAAGAAATAAGTACTGTATCATCGCCAGCCTTCAAAATAAAGGTTGTGCATTGATTCAGCACGCTAAATAAACGTTTTCTTTAATTTTGTTATCATAAATATATAAATAACTCCATGTAGCCTACTGATAGAAAAAGTTCATATTTCCGACGTTATGTTTAGTTTAATATTGACAAATGTAGCTAAATATGCATTTGTCAACATTTGCTCTGAACTAGAAAGACAATAACAGTTTGATATCCCCTGTCAAATGATCTGTTGCTTCGTCATGTCTTCTTGCAAACTTTATGTAATAATTTTATCGACCCCGACAAGCCGTTCCTCGAAAACTACAAAAAAAAGCGAAAGTCGTGTCATACTTTTCCGAAATGTTTTATCTTACTTTTGTAGGTAGGGCCTAGTACTTTCTGAAGCCCGAATACTAACCTTGCAGTCCCTGAAGCTTGAAGCCATCATGTTTGAGGAGCGGCTCTTATCTCTCCAAACTTCAACAACAAACTGGAGCTAAACCGTCATTTTTATATGAAAGAGGAAGAGAACATGTTTGACCTGCTTTCAAAATAAGAGCATGAAAAGAACGTGTACAAAATAAATGTAAGTATTAAAAGAGGTTAGTTTTAATTTCCCTAAAAAAAATGTTGTCTTCTGTGTCCCCTTTGTCAAATGTTGACCTATATTACTTATGTTAAGGTTATGTATAATGTTATTTTATTTATATATATATAAATAAAATAACATTATACATAACATTAATGTTATATATAAACACATTATAAAGGCAGTTCAAGTGCTTTACATAATCATGAACACACACAACAACAAAACGAAATAGAAAATACATTCATAAAAGTAAAAGAAAAGGTAGTTAAAAAATAGACAAATCTAGACGATGCCGCAAGAAGTGCAAAGTTATGTCTGGCTCCTTTTTGTGTAAAACACATTAAGGAAAAATACATATTTGACTCAATAAAAGCTCGATAAAACATATCCATCATGGATTGAACATTTTAAAATAAGGGCAGTTTCCCAAGACAAAATAAGCACTGGTGCCCCTTTTTGCACATGGCTTTAAAATGTGCTTAAAAGTTCAAATTGGAGTCAATAATTGTCCGAAATATTTGTACGATTGCATAACTTCCACTTTGTGATTCTTGATGGATAAGACTTCATGTATGTGGGGATGTCTTCTAAAATCAATGATCATGTCTTTGGTTTGTAAAGTGAGACTTAATGCAGACATTTAAAAGAACAACTGCATTGTTTTATTGCCGTTTCAGCATACATCCAACACCTCTATGCATTTTAGCTACATGAAGCATTTACATTACAAGTCATGTGTCAACAGAACAGTTTAAAAATTAGGATTCATTTTTCTTTACATATAATACAGTTTGCACACTTGTTAATAAATATCAATACAATCATGTCAAACTTATCACACACCATCTAAAACAACAACCCTTAAAATGATCTCACTTAGTTTTTTATTCACAGCTCATACCAAGTCATAAATATAGCCTCTAGTGTTTCTGTGCTGTAAAACAGTGACCATCTGGATTGTTTACAGTTGTCAAGAAGGCTATTAGATTTGACTGCCCACTAGATATAACGGACCATAACGGTTCTGTTTAATGCAAGTTGCTCATAAAGCACTTCTTCATGCCCCCCTGTTTAAAATCAGTTAGTATGTTTGGGGACCTGCTGTATGAAATTATTTGAGAAATAAAAAGTCTTGAGTTCCAGTGGGATACACATATGTGACTACCTCAAAAACGTCGTCAGAAAAATAAAATATAACTTAAGTGAGGAGAATAAAAATGAAAAAGGCATCTTGTTCAAGAGTAAAGTAACACTGCTGTTTACTGATGTGAGTGGTGTGTAAGTCCTCGTGGTGTACTCTTCAGATATTGCAGCATATCCACCATCAGAGACAGTCCTGTGGCACAAAATGAGTATTGTAAGCTACGCGGATCTCCCATTAAGAACTGTGAAACCGGCTTCATTTATGATAACACACAAGGTCGGAAACACATCTGAAAATGAATCGACAGATCCTTCAAAAGATGGATTATTTCAACAGTTGTTTTACCTCACTGTTGTTTACCAAAGCGAGAAAACATATTTGTAAACCGTGAGCGTGATATGCAGTGAGTGGCATGTCAAGGAGAGGCCCATCATTGTTGACTCGTGTGAAATGCTTAAGTGTTTATATATAATTCTGTTTTTCTAGCTTAACAAATAGTTCTACTATGTGCCTGCAGCCTTCATTCCTGACATGCAATGGCTTATGGGAGCGTCTGAGTCATGCACAAGTGCTCGATAATGAGATTCTGGGCACTCTCCTGTGAATGCAAAAACAAAAAGGTTTATGTGTTAAAAGCAAACCAAGATAATAAATACATAAAACCCATGGCCATATTTAATGGACTGTTAGTGTTGACTCATGAGAACACTGTGAGGGGGGGGGGGGGGTGTCTTTATGGTTCACAAGGAGTCAGTTTGTCACTGGATAGAAAGGCAGCTTCAGCAGAGGATGTCCGTCCTACAGTCAGACTGAAAAGAAGATTGACCCCGGTGACTTCCCTCCAGCACGTACTGTAAACACTCATCTGTAGCAGTCCTTTTTCAGAAAAAAAGAAAGCACCCTTATCTGCCGAATATGTGACTTGTTCTACACAACTATACACAAAACAATTCTTTACAATTCCTTTACATCAGCAGGACCAAACTGCATTCTTCCCTTTAGATAATCGAGAATGAAACAAGTCTTTCAAACATTCTCCCAAAGGCCTCCCTTTTTTTTTTGAGAGGATCCACTTGAAGGCTGGGATGATAAAGCTGTGAATGTACTCCCCTCAGAGAGAGAGAGAGCAAGCAAAACTGCAAAGTGATTAACGTGGGACTGCCTTTGGGCTTAGGATATGTAAACGTCGCGGACCGCTTCGATGTCAGAGGCAGCCGAAGTGTTTTAGCGTGTGTCGGGGGAGTCTTTACACATTCACTGCTGCAGGTGTTCAGCAGAGTACTCTGATCAGAGATGACCATGAGAGGCAGAGACCGCCTCAGACATTTCTCCGGGACTTGATGAGCAATTATTTCTCTCCTCTTAAGCCCAGTTGAGATTGAAGCCTTTGGAGAGCATAACAGACTCCAGGTCCTTGTCCTCCTCCTTCTCCCGCAGCCTCTGCTCATCGAGGAGCGCCACCAGGGCGTCACGCTGCTCCACCACCTCCAGCATCTCATTTAGGATCTGCTTCTCTTGATTCAGCTCCTTCTCCGTCTTCAGGTGGTCTGCGAGAGAGTCAAAGGAAAAGAGTTTAAGAGTGGGAGAATATTATGCAGATTTGTAAAACAGCTTAGTTAAATACTCTATTCTGATTGGTCAGTTGCGTCCTGCTTCGGCAAGTTATTTCTGTATAGCAGGCAGCTGCTATGGAAGCGCTGATCGTTAGTCTGCTTTCAGTCATATCATCCAAGAAGAAAGAAATATGGTACATTTTTTGTCAGCTTTGCTCCAAAAACACAATACTTTTGCGTTTATTCCTGTATCAGAAAACACTATGGAATATTTGTTTTTGTTTCTATTTGTATATACAGTTTGTGGAGAGCACAACACTTCATGATTCATGAGAGCTGAACAACACAAGGGGGGGGGGGGGGGGGGGGGATAGAAAACAACAAGAATCCAACACAAAAAAGGTCAGGAGAGGTGGACGACAGAGATATGAACAGTAGATGAGTGACAGGAAGTAAACACAAATGGTTGTGTTTATAGAAAATGTGAACAGACTTGAACAGTTACAATGAAGAAACCTGAATCCTTGCTGCCGTCATTTTAAGTTACTTTGCTATCATTGCAATTACAGCTACTGCTATGCAGCGGAACAGACCATCCTTTTTAGCGGAAGCAATACAATAACATTAAAGAAAATCAAGAAATTATACTTTAAAATCAATATTTTGTGTAAGTTATTGATTTGAGGGACAATCTGCAGCGAGCTGGTCATTATTGCAAAATGAACCACAACGTGATTTATCTTAAATATAAAACACAATAACAATCATGTTTGCTGCACATTAAGCCTTCCCTAAACATTTATGATACGATAATAAGGATAATACTTTAATTGTCAGAGCAAGTCTGAAATTTGACTTGCATCACAGCAGCTCCATGTAACATCAACATGGACAGACATCAAGAAACAATACATGAACAAAAAAACATTTAACAAAGCAGCTCAAAGACCCTTTATAGTGCATTTGATCTGGGATTTAGCTCTGGATGTGAGTGACAGGGCTGTTATTTCATTTCCTTTCTGTTACCTTCCACAGCCATGCGCTCCCTGAGCTCCTGCTGCAGTCGGCTCTGTCGGTCCTCCAGCTCCAGCTCTCTGGCGCTTTGGGTACAGAAAGGAAAAAAAGATGGACGAGTTAAGTTTCACGGATGAATCATTGCTTTCATCATTCATGGTGTTTGGCTGCATCTTCAGTTATCCAAGTATATTTAATAAATAGTTGTTCTAAAGAAGATGAACAGTTCATCTAAAAGCTTTTAGTAGCTAATCATAAGATAACGCTGGATAACTTAATGACTTGTCAGAGTGTAGTAAAGTTGTTTCTCTTAATGAATTGCAAATGTGATCACATATCATATCATTATGTTGAAAGATGATGATGAGTTCGTACTGGCTGACAATCTTTTTAAACTCATGATGTACGGAGGTAATAAGTCAGTTTTTCATCTTCAGTGTACTCCGTTTAGTTTTTTTTGCCTTGCTTTAAAGTGATGGAATACTTTTAAAAGCTATTTTTTACATTTATTACAGGTTGCATTACATATTTAGGGACGACAATATCATTCTTTGTTTGGTTCAGAATGGAACGTCTCAACGGGGGGCATGAACTTTGGTGATTTTAGCCTTGGCAGACCAATTACATGCACAAAAAACCTATATAAACACACTACAGGAAAGGGAAACGCCAAAAAGTATAATGGGGCCCCTTTTCTTTTGTAAATGTCCCCGTTCCTGAGGGATGAATAACGGAACTCTGATTCTGATTAATCTTATGTCAGAGTGACTAAAGTTGTCTGGTCTTGTTTATGTAAAGCTGTCCTTTAGTAAAAACATAACTCTATCATTATTATATTGTCCGTTGGGAGTATATACATGCATTCAGTGAGAATTTTACAATCTTAGCCTATTCAACCTACCCTTTTTATATACATTTTTAGCCATAGCCACTAATGATTCGGCCTACAATTGTTTATTGAGTTTAAACTTGCTTTTGTTTGTCGCTATTTCAAAAGTAATAACTTTTACAGTTTTTTGTATATGTGTATTTGGGTTGTATAAGTTGAACAGCCAAACGTGTGTATGTCATTTCTATATTCTCATAAAACACCACATTTCCAACTGGCTGCCTCCTTCCTACAAGAGTTGGCATAGCAACCAATGACCCACAGCCTTGAATATAAAAGCCCTTCTGACAAATCACTTCATCAGTTGGCTTATCCGTCTCAACAGTCACGTAAAGTACTTACAATATCATAAGTTCTGACTCATAGCGGACCAGGGCATTTTTCTCCTGCACCAGCTTGAACCACTCCTGCATTAACTTGGGGTCGTCCTTCTTGCCCATGCCTGGAGAGGAAGGAGGAAGAACAGAGAGGGAGTGAGACGCCAGATGGCAGGGATGAAGATGATGCCACACAAGACGAGGACTGACACAGGCAATGTGGTGACAGCCAAGCCAGGATGACCTCGCTGGGCGATGGTGAGGTGATGGGATGGACTCGGCTGTGCCATACTTAATGATGGTGCACAGAAGATGGCGTGGAGATACAGGTTTCAACTTTGGTTAAAACACACACACACACACACAACCCACACGCACACACAAAGAGACGATGCCTGTATACATAGTTGAGCATTTGTGTTACCCAGTTTGGACTCGTAGCTGCTATTGGGGAGCAACTACCTCCTTGTATAACCTTTTCCTTTTGGTTGGTAAAAGAAGAAACACACCAATCATTAGAAATAGGGAGAATTAAACCTGAGGACTCGATGAAAATTATTCACCCTCCCCTTGCCCGCATATTGACCCATCAGCAGAGATCCTTTAACATCCCATTCACGCTGAGTGGTTTGAGGGTGGAATAAAAAAAAAAGCATGAATTATTCCGCTGTCTCTACATATTCAATTATAAGGTTAAATGTTCATGGGATGACTTATTGAGACCAGTAGGGAAGTTAAGACTACTCTATTAAGTCTGGTCCAGGGAAAAGCATATTCAGCGCTATTGGCACCGTGCATTGCCGGTTTCTGTAATTGCCGCTATCAGTCAGAGACCGCACACTGCAGTCCGACTGTTGGCATGTGGCATGCTTAGAAAAGTCTGTTGCCGGGGGCGATGCCTTTTCATTTATCTGACTGAAGCAGGTGGAGCCAAGCGGTATCAATGAAACACCAGAAGGCAAACACTAGATGCAGCGTGACATACTTAGCTGGGGAAGAGGAGGCTCTTGCAAAACAAAAAGGAAAGACAGTGTACACACATAGATCGTGTGGTGGTTGTCTTGGGGGCTGGATCTCGCTAATTAACAGACAAGGGACGGAGAGAGAGGAAAAGCTGGAGGAGAGCTGCTCACACGAGAGGAATACAACATGTGGCGACACAGAAAGCAACGTTTGGTTTCCAAAATCGATCCTAGAAATGTTCTTTGTTTCTTAAACTATTTCGACTTGTTCCACCGTCGCCACCTTTCAGCCCAAGGCCCAGAACACAAAGGAGAGTAGAGCGGTACAAGGCAGAGGCAGCAACAATGGAACAAAACATCAGATCGCACAAAAAGCACAAAACGATGTTTCTTTAGACGCTCAGGCAACATTTCCACTGAAAGGTGTTACGATCGGGAACAAAGCAGATGATAGGCCTACATTCATTTTTAAGGACTTGTTTTGTGTAAGACCTGAATATTCATAACAAATCATCACACCATGCAGTTTTCTCCCTCCTTGAATCGCAAACTTGCCCGCGAGCTGACGACGTCTCAGGTGTTCGCCGCCCAAGTTTTGATTACCATTTTATGATTACATGACACTTCTAACTTTTGTTCAAGGGATATAAAGTACAAAAAAAAGATACTGCAAAAAAGGACGAGAGAGCTTGATGCTTCATTTGAGGCAAACAGAAAACCGGACACATGCTGTTGTTTAGAGACACACTGCAGCAGAGTAGTTTCCCCTTGGAGTGAATGCAGCCTTGTAGGCATAAGGCAAATATGTTCTGCACTCATTTTATGAGGCACGATGGTTGTGTGGTTATATTAAATGATTTATTACCTAATTTACAATCCATTATTATGATTTATATTGCTCACACTAGAGGGATTGTCATAGGGTGCGTTCCCTGAACCCTAACCATAAACAAAGATTTTGTGGCCAGATTTTATTAACTAAAAGTACCCAAATCAAAGCCTAGAACCCCCTTAAACTCGTAATTTTCTCAATACCTTTGGACAATGTTACATCAGACATTAACATTTTCAATGATATGTACAGCTTTTATCCTTGAGCTATGGAGACTAATAATTAATTAGCTTACTACCAACAGAAGTAATTTATTGGTAACTTACTACCACTTTTTGTTGCAGGTGACCTAACCCTTAAAAACGTTATTCAGTCCTGCTACTTATTTGTGTACTGCATCATGACCTACTGACTATCCATTGTTGGAAAGTGAACCTTGATTTCTTGGAAGATGAAATCTACATAAAATAACTGTCATGATAGCGATGAACCCATACTATTTAACAGCACACATTTGTGATAAAATGTATATTTGGAGCTTTTTTTTTTTACATTAAAAATCAATTGACTTGTTATAAATGCTGCAATACTTAGTTTTAGAGACATTCTGGGGAAATCTACTGAGCCTGATCACACACAGACAGTGAGGAAGGGGAGGAGGAGGACCGGTTGGGAGGATGATGGGGAAGTGCCTGAGGGTTTAGCCCGGGTCTGGAGATCCCTACAGTTTCCACGGTAACCCGCCACAACCGTCAGTGGAGGCGGCGAGGTTACGTTACCTTCAGGGGACCAGCAGGGGCACAAGGAGAGGGGTCTTCGGCGTGGCATCCCCACATAGGGCTCAACTTCCACAAGACAAAGGGGGAAAGAGCATGAGGGAGGGACATAGGCGGGTGCCAGGGAGGGTGGGAGAGAAAGAGTGGTGGAAGTAATGTGGGAAGAGAGTGGAAGACAGAGAGTGGGTGGAGGGAGGAAAGAAAATGGAGGAGAAAATCAAAAGAGGGCAGGAGCACTGTGATAGTGAGAGGACAAAACACCTACAGAGAGGAGGTGGGAGAGATCAGCTGTGTGGAGTGAGGGATGAAAAGAGGGGTAAAATAGGAAATAGGAAAACAGAAAACTTGGAGCACAGAGAGGGAAAATAATCCCCCTTTTTGATCTTTCATCTGTAGGTCTTCAGATAATCTTTTCCTGTTATGAAATGGGAAAGGCTTACGCATACAGTATGGCCAGTTTTCGTCACAGTACACCAGAGGTGGGACCAAGTCATTGTTTTGCAAGTCCGAGTCAAGTCTCAAGTCTTTGCGCTCAAGTCCGAGTCAAGTCTCAAGTCTTTGCACTCAAGTCCAAGTCAAGTCTCAAGTCAGGATGGGAAAGTTCAAGTCAAGTCCAAGTCCTAAACTTTGACAAAACGAGTCTTAAACAAGTCCTTATGTGCTTTTCAACAAAATGATATCGATCAACAGAATAATACTTAATAATTAAACTGCTCTTTATTAGTCACATTAATAATTTAATAATCCATTTTCTCTCTGCTGGTAAAGTAACGTGTTTGTCTTCTATTGTAAGAGGGATCAGTAAGGTAAGGCTACCGTGACGGTTTGATTCAGAAGGAGTTTAATTGATAAGATCCCTGATGTTGAGGTAACCAGAATGTTTATTTCCACTGTGTACAGCATGTTATAAGGGACCCACAACCTATCTTTATGCAAGGGATAATGTGCAGCGAGGCGTCTCTATGGGGAAAAGAACACCTGCATCTAGATCCCTCTGCAGGTGGTACTTTCACTATATTTTGATGCTAATACTTTTGTACTTTTACTTGTAACATTTTGAATGCAGGATCTTTTATTGTAACAGAGTATTCCTACACTCTGGTACTGTTACTGAAGTACAAAATCTGAACTTCTCCCACCTCTGGCAATAAATCCTGAGTGGTTACCAAAAAAGACACCCTGCTCTGAAGGTTATTTTCATTTTACAAATCCTGCACTCAGCTTTGCTTTCTCCAATATCATTCAAATGCAGCCAGAAGCTGCTCCTTTTTTCGGTTTTCGCAAATTTCTTGACTTCTTCCGACGCGCTTGCATTTAAATCCGGCTCCCCGTCTCCCCGTCGCTCTGTGTATCTGGCCTGTACCACTACACCTGCTGTCTTTGGAGCGTCTGCCCCCCACCCTTCTTTCACATAATGGTATGATCCTAGTGTGTCCTCGCATATGATTGGCCGCATGGTGGCTCAGCAAAATAAAGTCCCGCCCCTGCCTGCATGGATTCTCAGCCAGAGTTGCAGCGGCTGAAGATTCTGCTTTCCCCGACGGGAGTCTGCTCTTCAAGCGGCATCTCGCGATCGGCGTGTTGGAGACCCCTGAATTAAATGATCAAGTCACCTCAAGTCAGAAGGCTCAAGTCCAAGTCAAGTCCCGAGTCATTGGTGTTCAAGTCCAAGTAGAATCGCAAGTGTTTTGTGATTTTGTCAAGTCGAGTCCAAAGTCATCAAATTGGTAACTCGAGTCTGACTCGAGTCCAAGTCATGTGACTCGAGTCCACACCTCTGCAGTACACAAAATAATTTAATCCCATTATTAAAGCCATTACTGATCACCAGGCGGCCAATCTCCTTCACAGACTCAGATAATTGCTTCTACATTTACAATGTTTAGCCTCTCCTTGAAAAATTACTTGAACATGTTAAGACCACCCATCTCAGTTTGTGACTTTTGAAGTGAAGCTACTATTGAAGTGCAAATGAGGACTTTTTCTAATATGCTCCCACTAGACAGATTTTCTCCCAAAAGTAACATCACAGATAGAGGATGTGACCTTATTAACCCCCAAAACAAGAATTGTAAAATAAGTGAAAACGTTTCAGGGAAAATGTGCAGAGAGGGAGGGTGACTGATAGTGACACACATATAAGGGATGTAACCATTACATGACACAAATAGGAGGCTAAAACAGTGTTCTTAGGCTGCTGGATAAAGGAGCTGGGAGTGAAATGCCAGATAATTGCTACAAGGGACTATCACAGAGTAGAAATACAAATGTGTCGGGAGAACTGCAGTTTAGAAAATCTATTTTGGACACGTTGGATGCCTCATAACATTTTTTATTGCTCCCAGAATCAAAATTAAACTGCTAAACTGCCTAAATAACGCAAATATAGTTTTGGATTAAATGGTTGGAACTTAACGCTCAGTAAATCCTTAAATGTGTAACCATTGAAGTTATGATTGGTAAGGGAAATGATAATACTTCTGTTCTGAGTACAGACATGTTGATGCAGGCTTTAGTTTTGGTTCCCCCTGCAGAGACTTGTATTCAGTCAATGCTACAATTCCCCATCATGTGACACCAAACATGGTAAGTAAAACAAAGACGTGTCATTCTCAGTAGCACATTCAAAACACCGCAATCACACCGTTCCAGTAGTTAAGACTCAAGGTGAGACACAAAACAATTGTTTTAGTAATCACTCTGAATGCATAACCAACAACTTAGATTTCAGCTGATGAATCGCCACGCCCCCCCCCCCAGTAAGATTTGCAACGTCTCTATCACATATTCATCTTTGCGTCCAAACTCCACGCGATCTCCTGTCTGATGAGTGACAACAACCAAGAGGACAAAACCGACAGAGAAGCACACAGGCCTTGCTCAAATATGTGGGAAATGCAAAGAAAAAAAAAAGATGCATTTGAGTCATATTCAAACAAGGCCACAATCTACAAGATAACAGATACCACGAGTAGTCTTGTCCAGACACGGTGGACACGGTTACTGTTAGCCAATCACGGTTCAGACTGACTGTAGCATCTACGGGTTACAGCACACACTCGGGAAGTTATGCAACTGAGCGGGTATGAGAAGGTCAGAGAGTTCAGCAGCAAGGGGGGGGGGGGGGAAGCTAAGAGCCATGCCAGCAGTTTATTATGAGAGAGTTGAGGGAAGGTTAGAAGATACGGTGTGTGTGTGTGTGTGTGTGTGTGGGGGGGGGGGGGGGGGTCATGTGATTTCTCTTTAACTTTGGTTGTGCACTGTGGTTTTTAGGAGAAAATAGAAGTCAACACAGCATTTCTAGGGGACTATTTTCTGAGTATGTGTGATTGGTTTCAAATACATTACTGTCTATATTTATACCTGCTCTACAGTATATTCAATTGCTATACTATATTATACCACTATATACAGTTCATAAGGTAAATACTTCAAATTGTTTTATATCCGTCAGATGTTAATATTTATATTAAAACCAGACATCACTCTGCACTTAACTGCTTATTTAGCATTTCTAGTTGGATGCTAACTGCATTTTATTGTCTTGTTACTTGCATTCCGTGCAATGACAAAAAAGTTGAATCTAATCTAATCTCATTATTAGATTAGTGTTCACCTTGTGCAACAGTGTGGCTCTTGACTTGGTTTTTAATAACTTTTGGACAATGATGGAGCTCTATAGCCCTGAGGAATAAAAGGCTTTAATGGGCTTTTAGACAGTACTTGGTATTAGGATCAATATTAGGGATGTTACAATACAAATGTACTCCCAGTTAGATACAATTCGGGGTTCTGGGAAAAGGATATGCTTTTCTCATGAGTTATAAATAAGTTTTTTCTTAATCAACTAAACATTTCCTATTAATATTGATGGTATTTTTTTATGTGCTTTGGTGATTTGCTCTGGGATTTATTATCAGCAGCTTTTAACTTGAAATTAGAATCCAAGCATCATGATGCTACTTTTAATATAATAATTTTGGTTAACAAATTATGTTTAATGAATATGCAAAGGAAGGCAACATTTAAAGGGCATGTTCTGCATGCAGAATAAAATCCACTGCATATATTTATTTGTGTTTAATTGTCTCTGCTGGAGTGGACCTCAGGTTTTATAAATGCAGGAATATACATTGCTATTTAAATGTCTCCCTCTGCAATATGTCACAGTTTTTCTCTCTACTGCAGTTTTGTATTGTACGGTCTGCGTGCCGAGGAGTGACAAATAAAAGTTACTTATTAATTGACTCATTCATCATTCATGAGTTTACGGAGATCAAAGATGATCTTAAGAGGACTGCATGAGGCCAAGTGTGTGATCTCTGTTTGATGTAAAGAGTGATTGAACTAGAAACCCAGTGAGGGGGGAGGAGGGGGGACAGAGTGGGGAGGGAGGAAGGGGGGTTATAGGAGCAGAAAGTATTGCGATAAGGTGGAAAGCACACCAGCCAATCAGTCAGGAAGGCAGCCAATCAAGGGAGATATAAGGGGTACAAAGCTCAGGTAGTAAAACAGGGGGGGGGACGGATAGGGTTAGCCATTAGGTTAGTTTAAAGCGACAGATTTGAAATACATACCGCCCAGATGCAAGTCCAGGATTTCACTGTAATTAGAATCTCCCCAATAGTCTACAATGACAGGGATATATTAGAGATAGCAGTTATTTTAAAAGGCCCCAAACTGGGCACACAAACACACACAATTCTCCAAAGACATGCTTTTTCTTGCAAACACACACATACACACTGCAGCCACACTCAGAACAAAGAGAGTCCATCCGTACTCAACACAGTGCAGTCAAGTTGGGCAATACTACAATGGCATTCGCCCAAAATAATAAGAGGATGCAACATAGATTTGCTGTTTGGTGGCTCAGTCTGCTGAATATCACACAAAGCCTCTCGTAATGTATCGTGTGGCCTTGTTCTCGCTGTGCATGTTTCATTGGACACATTTTTTTCAAACAGCAAAAAAAGCTTTAATTTGACAAGTTATGTTCCAACCCGTGTGGACCAGATGTATTACTTAATCATTTTGGACAGAAAGCACAGCTGATAATTAATTGAGATCTTTGAGTACAGCAGACAGTCACAAACAACTCTGGATTGCTGTTACTCATAAGACTAAAAAGTATATAATAGATGTTAACAAACATCTGTATCAAGTTACTCAGCCACATATGCAGAACATATCTTTATGAAGACGTCCTGCAAACCAATTTAAATGTGATTTCTTTCATTCTGATTGCGTGACCCGAGTCTTGATCAGAGTCTCCTCATTGAGAGGCAAGTGACGGAGACACAAACACATCCAGAATGAGCAAACACACAAATCTATGTCGGGACACACATTCTCCTGATCGCATGCAGCTCAGACTGATGATGGCGGACATGTTTATGAACGGACAACGATCGACATGTTCAGTGATGGAGAAATGTTGCAGTGTGTCACCACAGATGAAGGAGCCTACATAACAGTGTCACATGTCAAAAAAATTAAAATAAACTAGAGTAAATCTAATACCTGATCTTCTTTTGTGCTGTTTGGGTAATGTATAAGTACCTTTATACAATCCTTTAAGAGAGTAGAGTAGTAAACAAGTTAAAACATACTCAGACATTTGGCTGGAGACACAGCTGATGGGAAAAGTAAATAGATTATAGCTTGGTGGCCGAATTTAAAAGAGATGTTTAATGCATGAGATGTTTAATGCATGCATTTAGATGAAAGGAGCTTCTGTCACCATTATATCATTAAGTAAATTAGTGTTGGGTACTCATTCAGCTCTATCAAGAACAACGTCTGTGCCTTACTCACATACAAAACTCACATCACATAAATAATGTGTTATTGCTGCTGAGCACTACTCATGCTTCACATTCTTATAAAGGAGTAGCAAATAGCAAACTGTGTTGCCCGCAAACACATAATGCATCTTAGAAATGTATTCTCTGGGATAGTCTCTTGCCAACAACAATTTTGGGATTATTACTTTGGAGAAACAAATAATTCTTTCTGGCACAAATCTAGCAGGACTATGCTTCAGTACGACTGACTGACTTGGAAATGCCGAGTGTGATTTCAACAGTCTAAATGATTGCAGAGGGACAGCTTTTCAGTTGTAAGGCCGTTTCTCGGTCCTAATCATGGATATTATTATTTTTCCCTTCAGAGCTGTAAAACCTACTGAACTCATATAAATATAAAACATGGCCTTGCAGAGCCAGCGCTGCCACATAAATAAGATTAAATCGTCATACATGTAGTAAATCAATATTAAAATGTTTAATATTAACAGGGTTCAATGTTTTATGTTGCTACACCCTGTAGTTAACTGAATGTTGGCAGCAAGTCTAGGTGGGATGGCCAGAAAAAAAAAGTTTGAAGATATGAGAAACAAATCGTTACCTGCTTCTCCTCTCAAAGCTTTCTCCACAGCTACGCCCCTCTCCTCCAGCTGCCTCTGCTTCTCCTCCACCTGCTCCAACTGTCTCTGGATGATCTAAATGGCAAAGAGAGTAAGGGAGTCAGCACAGCGCATTACTGTCAACTTGAGTTATCTCACACGGTGCACAAAATAACAACATCTATCACTAATTACAGCTGATTTGTGCCTCACGTTTCTCAGGGAGGTGACTGCAGAGTTTACCCCTAATGCAATAGTTTATCCTCGTTAAAAAACTAATTTCTCAAGGCACAGCGTGAGCACTGCTAATGAGAACTCTATTGATGTCTACAAGTTTGGAAGCTTGTTCAAAGGCGAATATTGTGTAATGAATTTCACCAAAAACAATTAATATGTTATAGTTCTCCCCTCTTTGGCCCACACACCACTTTCTCACTGCCTATTAGCAGGACTGATAGAGGGGAAGCAGCTTGGGGAAGCCAAAGTGTCCGGCCTTTTAACACCAGCATTTGAATTCAAATCACTTCCCGGTGCGGAGTACCCAATCTTAATCCCTGGATCGGCGGCAAGTCTTAAAAATGGGGATAGAACCTGTCAATGAATATCTTTATTCAGCTCTGCCAAGGAGGTTACGTTTTCAGCTCTGCTTTTCTCTCGGTAAGCAGGATTACGGAAAACATACTGCCCAATTTTTGTTACACTTGATGAAAGGGAGTAGCATAGAAATTCAAATCTGTAGCCGATCCGAACTTTATGGACACATAAATTATCTTTCACCTTTGTTAACAATGAAAGATACTTTAGTCATTCTCATTCATTATGGCAGCAGGTACTATTAGCTATAAACTGCAAGAACTACTGAGTGGTCAATAAGTGAAGAGCATTTCTTTGAGTGGCCCATGTAAAACCAATTCGTTTTTCAAATAGTTGTGGGTTCTGCATGTCTTTAAAGGGGGCCTGTTATACTTTTGGGGGTTCTCCCTGTCCTATAGTGTGTTTGTTGTGCTAGTAAATGGTCTGCAAAGACTAAATACCAAAGTTCATGCCACACTCTCCCACAACTCCAACGGCTCCATTGGACTCCATTGTTTACATCCATGACATAGTGACATCACTATATAACACTCGCGCTTCTTTTGGCTAGCGCTCAAATACATTGTACACGATTGGCTGTAGGGCGGGGCATCTCTAAGCAGTTGACCAATCGAAACAGGGCCAGCCGGCTAACCAATCAGTAAACTGGCCTGGGCACTGGTATCAGACAGAGGGTGGAAAGAGGTGCTGCAGCACAGGCAGTATGAGAGAAATAAAGAGCTTTTGAACATTAAAGGATGTACAAATGTAACAATTGAGGCACAAAATACAATTATGAACCTGAACATTTGAATAATGGGGGCCCTTTAAACGATCTTTGGCAAATTATGGGACAGATATGGTAAGTAAGGAGTAGAACGAGAATGTATAAAAGAGCAGAAACAGCCAAAAAGATTTCTCCCTCAGACTCTAACTTTCTCTGTCAGTGCTGAACTTTGTCAATCTGAAAAGGAAGTGTGGTTTAGGTTCTACAAACAGCCACTAAAAGAAAGAAAAATGTAGGCCACCTAACCACAGCTCCGGGAGTAGAGACTTTAGCTGTGGCTTATTGCTGAGTCAGTTGACTGGAAGTCTAACTGCAGAGTTACAACATCAATCAGTGGAAAGGACAGATTTGGATTCACTCCAAGAAGAGTGACCATATGGTTTATAAAGAACAACACTGAGTTATAGTGACAGCACTACTCATGCAGCCTTATCAGATCTGTCACTAACCCTACAGACATACACATAGCAAGCTTTATTTTTAAATTGTTTGACATGCATGCCATGAATAATGGTTTGATCTTACGGTTTGAAAGAGCTATTCAGCATACAAACATCATAAGTACACCATCACAAAATAATTACCTACTTTCAAAATGACAGAAAAAAGTGTGACGCTGAGAGCCCACAGCCATCTAGCAGTACAATATAAGCTTTAAGCTATAGGCTAAATTAGCATGCTAACAGCCTAAATGAATAATGCTGACATGGAGGTAGAATGTTTACCGTCTTAGTATAGTGAACTAATCTGCTAGCTACAATAGTACAATAAGTACATTAGATGCTGATGGATATGACAAGCACTTTATCATAAAACAATAGTACTGGACAAACTGAAATGTAGTTATAATGATTCTCGATGAAAAGTCAGGGAGGTCACCAAACATGTCATCCTGAGGAGGTTCAGGAATGACATAGGGGTCCATTTTACAGTGGGGATGGAGCAAAGGTCACAGGGGGTCCAAAGGTCAGTTACCTGAGCTCTGTGCAGCCTCTTCAGTTCTTCCTGCTTGGCTTGCCGCCGTGCAGCTTTCTGGACCTTTCGGGTCAGCTTGGCATTCAGTTCTTCCTCTGTGTAGGTTTTCTGGTGTAACAACAAAGACAGGGGTCAGATAAGTCTCACTCACATGCTGCTAATGTGTGGAGTTGACTCCATGGGGCCCTGGTCCATCAGCAAAACGGAACGGAAGAGGAGGGGGGAAGTTCAGTTTAGATCTTGCAGAAGGTGAGGGACAACTTTGACTGACACAATGTAATCTATCTGGGATATTTACCTTCACTGCACAGTATCTACACAGTACACACCTTATTAAGGCATTTCTAAAGTCTATGGGTTGCCATTTTAAAGCATGGTTACATAATATCAGTTGGAACACAATATGGCAGATATAATCTATATGAGAGTGTATTCTAGGCAAACAAATAAATAAAATGTTGAGCCACGAGAGGTGGATAATATATTTTTTTAAATAAAATAAAATGTTCGAGAAACGTAAAGAAAATAACCTGGATTTTTTTTTACGATTTTTAAACGTATCATAAGAATTTTTAAGAAAATGTGTATGTTATTTTCCTTGAAAATGTACCAATTTAAGCTCTGGGAATATATATATATTTTGGAAGAAGGTTTGAGTTTTTTGAGTTCATTACGTTGGCTGCGTAGTTTCTTCTCTCTTATATTGGCCCTTAAAAACCCCTATTTATACATCATCTTCACTTCAGCTCTCAAAATTACAATCTAATATAGAATTTTCCATAACAATAGGCAATACAGTAGAGTACGGGTCATTTCCCCTAGTGTCTGACTTGTAAGGACATCAAAAGCTGGCAGGAATCAGGAGAAAGAGAGAACAGCACTGAAGGAAAACATCAAGAGTTATTCCAGTATTCAGACCGGAGTAACAACAGAGGCCACAGTGACAGATAGGCAGGTTAATGTCATACCAGTCAGAGAGGAACAGCCCCTGATATCAAGAGGTATCATTGTGACCAGAAAAGTGATTGCCATCGGGAAAGTCATGTTTGAACAGAGTGGATATCCAGCAGTGAGTGAGTGGGCGCTGCGCTCCGACTGTCTCATGCATCCAGAGAGGACGGTTAGTTTTAGGCCGGGTGCACATGAGGTGTTATGACAGGAAACTGGCGCATGCGCTGAGGGGGTGGGTGTAGTTATCAATGGGAACATATGTAATACTACCTTTGTGGCGTACGATCTCTTGAACGCCAGTGCGTGAGGGACATATAAAGACTTTGGGAAGACAAAAAAAAAAAAAAAGGGAGGAAACACACATGATACAGATGATATGATTGAATGGGTTAATGATTATGTTAAATTAACAAAACAAAATAAATAATGTAGCTGGTTTAAATCAAAAACAGGCAATGTTAATACCCCACACCAACACAAAAATGGCAAGGTGCGGCGACTTTTTATACATCTGTTGTTAATCAGAAATAAGAAGAACAAATCACATTGTAGGAACACAGATTTGACAGATTCTAAGACCAGGGGGACTTACCATGATCATCTCTACAGGAAAAGAATGTATCTACTACACTCACAGATCTGGGAAACTCTAAACACCACAACAGTCACTAGGGACTAGTCCACTTCCCTATTCCTATTCCTATGAGCTTTTATTGAATTATGCACGGCCCGACAGGCATGATCCAGCTTTAACCTCCTGTGACTAGAGCTGCATTCATTCCAAATCCAAATCAATATTATTGAAGAATAACAAAAATGTCAATTCTTCATATGTTGTCAAAGTGAAGAAAACTCAATTTGATCGTGGCTGACTTTAAAAAAATGTGTTTCGTACGGGTAATGAATTCATGCCTCTGGCCGTGAACTCGACTGTATCTATCTCTAAACCAACAGAAAACACAAACACAGACAGAGCAGCAGTGGAAACAATCACTTTGAATTTCAGCCCGACATAATAAATGCAAATGGATTCTAATAAAAATAACTCCCCGATACAAAAGTGGGCATTGTGTGCAGAGTTGCTGCATCGTCCTAATATGCCACCTGCATACTTAATGAATCTATCATACTAAAGAATTGACTAAATCAGCTAATGGATATCATTATAAGGGTGCATTAAGCATGTCATATGGTGGTGCTGAAGCTCTTGAAAATGTGTGTTCTTCATGATGTGGTTGGGTGATTTGCTCTGAGATTATGTGAGGACAAAAATGTAAGCACTTTTTTATTCTAACACTATAAAAGAAGTATAACATTAATTAGAGGTCAGTCTAAAAGTTTGATCCAAGCTTTGTGAACTATAATTCTATTTGTATTATGTTACAAAATCATGTTCAGGTGAAATTCAAAGTCATTTAACCCTCTCTCTGCGCAATACCTCCTCGTCGTCTTTCTCCTTTTCCCGATCAACCTCTTTTTCCCGCTCTTTTTCTTTCTGCCTCTCTTTCAACCTCTTCCTTTCCTTTAACTCCCTCCTTCTCTCCTTGTCCAGTTTCTCCTCCTTAATCGCTTCCTTTTGCATGCCTGATACTAGGTCAAAGATGTCCATGTGCTGCTGGGACTGGGAGAAATTATTTAAAGGTTTTTTAAAACAGGAAATGTATGAATTTCACATCTAGCCTGCGAAAGGCCTGTCCCCAAATGTCGTTTCCTTTCCTCAGGTCTTGAAAAACGAAACAAGCATACAGAGCAGGGATACATATGCTTGTGTTGTTGTGCTTTACACCTTACTGGATTTTGTTACTGGATGGACAAAAATTAACTTAAATCAAAAAAGAAAATGAAGCATGATATGATATGAGGTGGAGAGTCACGCGATTCAAAACGCTCCCGGGAGTCTGCTGCCTGGTCCGGCTCTGAGCAGCTGGCCTCCCCTGATTGTCAGCATTTGTTTAGCAGACTTGTCCAAGCTAAAATCAGCTTTTAAAAGCTATAACAATCTAAATTCCTCCTGGAAAAGAAGCAACATTATTTCCTCTATGGTTACTCACATCTGCCTTTGATTTCTGCGAGGACCGCTCCAGAACATCATCACAGGAAAGGTCCGAGTCCTCAGAGAAGCTCAGGTTTCTGCGGGATTTCAAGTCTGCCACAAACAGAAAGCCGGGTCAGATTTGACATCATCACTGGAAATGTTACAAAAAAACTATAACATTAAAAACTGCACTGGATGGCTTTTTGTTATCAGAGCATAGTGAAAATAAATAGATAAGAAAATATAGATATAGATCTTATTATTAAATAAGATGAAAATAAAAATAAATACAATAAAATAAATTAAAATTCATAAATCAATCAAATTAAAACAATTAAAGAAAAGTGGGAGAGGGCGGGGAAATTAAATAACCACATACATAAATATGGGTTTATAGGATATAGTTAATACATAACAGTAAAATTCACATCCAATGAAACCAATAAATACCAACGACACACAAACACAGTTAGCTTTTTTTACCTGATGATTTCCCAGTAGGTGAGGCTTTCTTCTTCCCAGAGTCCTGAGTGGTGGAGCTTGAGGACGGTGTGCTGGGACACGATTTGTCATCCTTCTTCTTTTTGTCCTTCTTGTACCCCGAGAAGACGGCCTTCCACAGCGACTTGTGTTTGGGCGGTGTCTCATCGGTGCCGGGCAGTCTGCTGCTGTCGTTCTTGGCCTTTTTCTCCTTCTTGTTCTTGCGTGGTGAGAAGAGGGAACTTCTCTTCTTGCTCTTGCCTGAGCTCGAGCCGTCTGACGAGGCCACCGAGCTGTCCAGACTCTTGTTGCTGCTGAAGAAGCGCTCCGGTAAAGTCTCGGCCTTCTTTGACTCCAGAGCTTTCACGGCTGATGTCTTCGGAGATCCTGTTGACTTTTTACCCTCTGAGGTTACGCCCAAGGCCACTTTAGGTGCCGCCCCCTTGTCTGTGTCAGATTCTTTCATCTTGTTTAGCTGCTTGGTCATGGCGTCTTTTAGTGCCTGGCTCTTCACCGACTTCTCTCTGGCCTTCATTCTCTCCTCGGCGATCTCCTTAGCCTCCGGGGAGAATTGAGTTGCCCTCTGTGACTTAAAAGCTTCATTTCCAGGGATGTTCGGTTTACCGTTTTCCATCGCTAGAGCCAGATGCAGGGGAGGTCTGTCCCGGTTTGGCTTGCTGGTGGGGGGGGTGTAGTACCTGTTCATGCTCGTTTCTGGCGTCCGCTCATCGTAGGACTCCTCCACGTCATCTGCAAACGGAATCTCCTCCACCGTCTCCACAAACGACTTCCTCACCTCCTGCGGCCGTGGCTTCTTCTTCTTCTCCCTCATGACGACCACTGGAGCCGTTTCAGCCTGAGGCGAGATTACTTTCCTGGGTGCAGGTTTGGGCACGGACACAGGGCTCAATTGTGTCCTCGGCGCCGGAACGGGACTCTTGATTTTGGCCGGCTCTTTGGCATTCTCGGGGGTATGTTTTTCCGTCCCGTTGCACCAGGACACCTGGTGTTTCTGCAGCCTGAACATAGCTGGAGACTGATTACTAGGCACAGGTGGTGGCGGGCTGGAGGGCGGGGTGAGCATGGTGGAGTCGGACATGTTGAAGCTGTCACTGTTTGCCGTCTGGCTCGTGGCCATGCTCCCATTCAAGCCTAAGCCAGAGCTGCTGCTCAGGTCCCTCTTATCGGAGCCATTACTCTTGGGGGAAATGGGGGTAATGACTTGGCCCTCCAGAGTGATGTTCAGCCTGCGAATGACAGCTCGGCCAGTAAAGGCGGGCTTCTGTTCCTCGGGCACATCCAGAGCCTTGACAGGGGTGGAGTCCAGTGCTGGATATATCACAACACTCTTCTCTAAGATTTTACTTGTGCGGTCCAAAGGTGTCAACCCGAGGCTCTTCCTGATCTCGGCACTCTTTTGCCAAAACTCCTCAATGATGTCTGTCTTTTTGGATGGCGTTTCCTCTGTGGAGGAGTCTTCGCACTTTGAGAGATCAGGCATGACCTTGTCTGTTTTGGTCATGGGTGTAGAAGTGACTCCAGGGATGGGCTGAGATCTGACGGGAGAGTCTGATAGGAGGGGTGACGAAGGCTCCTGGCAGGGCAAAGGCTGAGCGCAGATTGGGGAGAGGGGGTTCCCAGTTAGAGGGCAAATTGAGCGCTGAGGGTAGACAGGAGATTTAGGTGTGCAAGTCTCTGGAAGGGGGGTGGGCTGAGAGCAGATTGGGGACACAACAGGTGACTTAACAGGGGATCTAATGGGGGACTCCATTGTTGGCTTGACCAGAGAGCTGATGGGTGATTTGATGAGTGAACCCAGGGGGGAGGAGGCCGGGACACCGACAGGGGAAGCAGCAGCAGTTGGGGAAGGGACAGAGGAAGGGTCCTGGACTGGAGCAGGTGAAGGGCTCAGTGGGCTCTGTGCAGTCGGAGAGTAAGATGGCGTCGTCCTTTCAGGTTCCCTTTCCTCAGGTATGAATGGATCTGGGAAAAAGCGAGTGCCAGGAGACTTCAACAGACTTATCTGGAAAGGAAACAGACACGATCAGGATTTAGTCTAAACTGAAAGCAGACTAAAGGAAAGAGCCTAGACGGCACAAGAAGTGGAGCTCCAAATCAAGTTTATAAGCACTCAGAAATGGAAGGTTAAAAAACGGTTAAATTAGACCTGTGTTGTTTTGAGGTCTGTGTATATTAATAAGTAAGTATTCTTATAGTAAATGGAAATGTGAAGTTCCTTCAAAATAAAAGTAACTATCTGGTTAACATGATAGACAATTTCACATTCTTTTTAGTCAGTCAACAAAGAATAAATGAATAAAGATGACAAACATGAAAAATATACATATATATATATATTAAAAAAGATTTGAATTAAAAATAAAATGAACACCTGCAAAACTGAATTTGTATTTGTATTCATTTCGTGAATAATAATAACTTAATACATTTTCAATCATCAACTTTAGAGCACATCACTATACTATAAGCGTTCAGTTTACTATGAAAATATCAAGCAATATATATCAGATATCCTGGCATAGCCTAAAAACATGAAAATATTATTTATAAGCCATATGGCCGGGCCCTTTTTTAGCGTAATAATTGCAAAGTTATCTCACCTTTGATTCAAGCTCTGGAGAAGGTTTGAGCGGCGAAAGAACAACATCTTTATTTTGTGTAGGGCTGGCGCTGAAAACTTCTGAATGCACAAATAAAAAAGAAATAGTACTTGTTTTTAAATCATGTTCAAATATTACTGAGGGATCAATTCACATGAATTATTTGGGACGTACCGATACTGGAGGGCATTCTCTGACTTTCTGATCTCTTGTCCTCCTCAGGAAACACGTCAACGCGCTCGGACTGATGCAAGCGAGCCTCAGCTTCTGCATCTGAAGGGATGTCATCTTGAATTCAAGGAGAACAATATGACATTTTAAGTTGTTTCAAAGCTTCATATTGTCATTTTTTTATATGGTATTGTAGCAAAGCAGAGTTCTTTGTATAGTTTTGTGTGTTTTTGTATTTCTTCTCACTTTGACCATCGTAAAAATGTATTGTGTTTTATCTGTTTGATCCTGTAAAGCACTTTGAATTGCATCACTGTATGAATTGTGCTATACAACTAAATTGCCTTGCCTTGCCTTGCCTTGCCTTGCCTTTGTAAACCAAAAAAGTATTATAAGAATTGATGGATCCATATGTGTATTATTTTGACAGCTCACCCTGATCCATCTCTGTCCCCGGCTCCATATCTGGACTGTCTGCTTCTGCCTCCAGATCATCATCCTCACAGGGCTCTGGTTTGACAAAGAGTGAAGTAAAGTGAGCAGACTGTGTGACAACCTCTCTCTTTTCAGGCAACAGAGAGAAAATATTTTTCAACTTCCTAACATTAACTGAACTAAGATACTCGCCTCAGACTGAATGTTAAAGGATAAAATAAAAGAGAAAAGAGTACCAGAGTTCAAAGATGACTTAATGAAACCACTTTTAAAAGAAGAGTGCAGAATGTGAAGAGATAAAAAAAATAAGTGTTTGAAAAAGGATGAAAAGGCTTCAAAAACCAAAATCCTTTTTTTCTCGGAGGAAAGCTTTAAGGGAAAGCTCTCCGGCAAGAAAATCATACATAAGTTATGCGTACAAATGAAATAAGTCAGTCGAATAATATGAACAAAGGTTAGCCACAGAGTAGCATTAGTGAATAGACACATGCAGATATCCATTAAATGAGCAAATGGAGGCTGTTAAACCAAGCAATAAGCACAACCAAAATGTTAATGACATTGGTTAAGTGAAGAACAATAATCCATCATTTAAAACAAATCTGGTGGGAGAGACTAAAAGGGAAAAGTGTCTCACACAGTTCATTCCTGCATTTTTTGAATAATACAACATTAACCCTCATTTCTGCCAAATGCACTCGATTGACCTTTGTCCATGTGGGAACACAGGCAGATACTGAGGGAATATTTAAATCTAGTTGGACATTACTAAGCTTTTAACTCCAAAGTCAAGTGGTGCCTATGAATCCAAATACATAGGACTCTCATTTATTCTCAGTTAAAGGTGGGGTTGGTAAGTTTGAGAAACCGGCTCGAGATACACTTTTTGTTATATTCCATGGAATGCTCTTAACATCCCGATAGCAATGAATATCTTAAGTGCTTTGACAAAAAATCCATTAAAAAATGTCATCTGTGGAAGCCGTAATACTGTAGAAAGCACGACCAATCATTTTAGCCGGCCCGGCTAAAATAACTGGATGGCCTACCTGCCTGTCAGCCTTCCATCGGGGCACAAACTTATCTCGTGCCCTCATTGGTCATGTGTGCGTTCGTGTGTGTTGGAGGAGGGGCTCTGTAAGGAAGTGGCAGATTTTCTCCGGTTGTGTATTTTCAAATTCTAGCGATCTCGAGCCGGTTTCTCAAACTTACCTACCCCACCTTTAAGTCTATACAAGTTGATAAAAATACCTTAGAAGCCTCAATATCGGACTTTTTGCAAGTGAAAGTGCCGTGAATGGGTTATAACAATGGCCAATTCCCGGTGAAAGAAACACTGTGGTGTTAAGTGATTTCGCATCTTGATGACTCGTCTGTCTCTGGAATACATTACAATGCAGTACAATATGGTATTGTGAGTGAAGAGAAGGTGGAAGGGTAGGTTTGAGAGGTTGGGAAGTGAAGTTTGACCCCAAGAAAGCTGAACTTTTTGGGAGCGACAGCCCTGCACCGTGCATGCTTGTGAGTGTGCTGGGCTCCGAGTGTGTCTGCATGCTCCAGGAAAAGGCCAGCCGATAGAGAGATAGAGAACGAGTCTAAGACGGGATGCCAATGATCTCCCTTTTTTATTTTTGTTAGTCTGTGCTACCTCCAGACAAGGACTCCAACCAGACTCTCACTGCCTCACGTCGGGCGGATGTGTGGGCGGGGGCTACGTTCAAACCAGACGATAGGGAACAATGAGGGATAGATGGCGGGGAAATAACAAGTAAAGTAATTAGACACATGAGAAGGAACAAAGCAGAACACAAAAGAACAAAAACTGACAGGGGACGTAATGTTCACCACAGAGACAATAAATGACACACTTTAAAAAAAAAAAAAAAAATGAACACAACAATTAGACATTCCAAGACAAAAATCAGACAAAATCAGAGATGATTAAAACAAAAAAGGTGGGTTAGTGGGGAGGTGCAGACATACAGGACAGCAGCAGCCACGCTGGTGAGTTAAGACACCCTGATCCTTATCCCTGTGAGCCATCCCGTGCTCCTCTGAGGGGGGAGGGTTACCTGTGGAGGAGGGTTGCGTGAGCTCAGAGGGGTGGGAGAGTTGGGAGGCCAGCTGTGCCTCCTTGTCTCCCTCAGAGTCCAGGTGTGTTCTCACCAGGCCCGGTATGGCCGTGGGATCCACAGGCTGCAGGACTTGTTGGATCTGTATGCTCCTGGCTATATTAGCGTGTTGGTGTGGAGTTGTGTTTTTGGTGTTGATGCAAAGTTGTGTGTGAACCAAGAGATCAGAGACGGATCGAGAGAGATGAAAGCAGATGTGCAGGAAAGGTAACAGTGGAAGGAAAAGAGAGGACAAAAAGGAAAGAGAGAAGGCAGATACAAATTAGAATACACTCGCAATAAAACAAAAGGAAATCATCCAGGCCAGGTAGAGGAAGGCTGCATGCATACACTGCAAAAGAAAAGTCAAACCATAAAAGGGGAGCTGCAAAGATATGAGGTCAAAGAAATAAATATTTTTTTTTAAACACAACGATTCAATTCAATACCAAAACGTAGCTGCAGCGCCTGGGGGGAAATCACAAACATCTCAGACATTTATCAGATTAGTTTATAATAGCCATATACAAACAGAGAGGTGTTAAACAGGTTAGAATTGGGATCCAACTCTCAGTAAGTCCTCAAGCCTTTGAACCCCGTGCTGTTTTAGGGCATCCTGTCGCATTTTACTCAATGTGGCCTCATTTCTATAAGCCTTTCACCTCTATGGGAAAAGCATCGTCTGCGACGTCTGTTGTGCAGTGCACAAATTAAATGTCATTGATGATAATAATAATAATAATTTCACAACCTCTCTTGTCCTGTCCTCTGTACAGAATTGTTGTTACCTGACTGTTGATCAATGCTGAGGCATTCAAGGCTTCAAAGACTTTAAAGGAGGCCCCATTATGTGTTTTGGGGGTTTTCCCTCTCCATGTGTTATATAGGATTTTAGTGCATGTAAATGGTCTGAAAAAGGCTAAAATCCTAAAGTTTCCTCCCCTGCCTGAAACTCCTGGATTGTAGACCTTTTTGCTTCCCTGAAATGTTGACATCACTACGTATCACTCATGCTTCTATTGGCTGGCGCTCCAACACATTGTACGTGAGTGAGGGACATCCCTATGTACAGTAGTACCCCGATGTAGCTTGCTGATATTTTTGGAAAAATAAACATGCCTTTCAAGCCCGCCAGCGGATGGTGGGGTTCAAAGGGCTAAGATAAAGCACACTTATGAACACAAAATCTTCAAAAAACACAACCACAAACAACAACACAACCAAAAAAGCCACACACTTGTCGTAGAAATCCTTGAAAAAAGAACCCAAACCAGCCAGGATTATAAATCACGCTCAAAGTAACTGCAAACGCATCCACAGGCAGTTCTGCTGCTACCTTTAAATGTACCAACATCGTCTTCCTCTGTGAGGTGCTTCTCCAGCCAAAGGCCAGACGTGAGCTCTTTATCCCAGGGGCAGTAATCACCCTCTGCCAGCAGGGGGAGACAACAGATATACGCACAAACACACACACACGCGCACACACACAGTGGACACAGGGGGATGTAATGAAAGGGAGGAAAGAAGCAGAGAGGATGAAGACAACAAACTTTGAGACGGTGACACTTTACAGAAAACAGATTTCAATAAAAAAATAATTTAAGTTCTTCAAAGGACAAATGGAGTCTGGACTGGATGTTAACATCTGACAAATTTACCATCGCTTGACTCCTCCTCATCTTCGTCCTCATCATCCTCCTCCTCTTCGTCTTCGTCGTCTTCATCTATTTCCCCGTCTCTGCTGACAGCATCATCGAGGGCCTCGCCCACGTCGTCTCCCTCTTCGCCCCTCAGTTTAGCGTGGAGCTCCACCGCCTCCTTCCAGGGAACCCCGCCGAGGTCTGAGGGGCTGAGAGGATGCTGCTCCCCCTCCTCCTGCTCTTGCTGCTCTTCCTGCTCCTGCTCCTGCTCCTCCTCCTCCTCCTCCATGTCTGACTCTGAGCTACTGTTGGATAAAAGAGGAGTCACGGTGATGTGTTAGAGCAGGTGGGAGGCAGAAAGAGACTTCATATTTCGCACTGTGCTGCTTTACATTTTCTGTAGAACTCTAAGAATTTGTAGTTTGCTTTACTTATCAAGGCACAAATGCAGAAAAAGATTATTATTATAATTTACATTTTTCATTGAAATCTTATTGTTTAAAATGTCCGAAATCCTTTGTCTTTAATGTCTCAGACACCCCAAGCGAAATTAACAAACACAATTAAAAAGAGTCCTAAAACATATCTGATAAGACAATTATTCTGGGTTCAATTTATTGTTCGTCCAAACGGATCTAAGATTATAATAATAATTGTTTGGTAAGATTATTAAATTCTAAAATCAACCGCGTTTTTTAGGCTAACAGAGGCCCATTGATACGATAATATCACCATCCTTAACCTGTTAAGCCCCGAGCCTGTTTTTCAGGTTTCAGGCTCGAAAATGACATGCCCAAAACAAATGACTACAACTTCACTTCTAAAAGGGTTATATGAATAATTTCTTTTATCAAAGCAAGGTTACATCTGTGAGTTGGATGTAGAAGTGTCAGAATCAATATAGATTTTTCTCAGTCAGAGTAAATTCAGATGGAACATAGTAAAAAAAGGTAAATTCGTACCTCCGCCGAAAGAAAAAACATTACTTATAGTGAAAACCACCCTTGAATGATGGGATGGTAGACTAAAAGCTTTAGGAATCCAAACTATAACATATAATAAGTACCCTGTATCAAGAATGAGGCAAAACAAGTTAAATTTGACCTTGTTAGAGAGGTTTAGCAAAAAAAAGTTCCAGGCGGAATAAGCTTTCGGCACATTTGGGTACATCTGGTTCCATCAGTGCCATTTGACCTTTTTCAGGTACCAGACTATAAAAATGATGTATTACATTGAATTATCACCATAGGTATTCATTCCATCCAAAGAAAAAAAATTAAAAGAAAAAAAAATAATAAAAAATTAAAAAAAGCTTTGGGGCTTAACAGGTTAAAGGTCCCATGTCATGCTTTTCCGGTTATTACCCGTCCCCTTGTGTGTTATGTAGCTTTTTATGCATGTAAACGGTCTGCAGAGTCACAAACCCTCAAAGTTCACCCTGTAGCGAGTAAAACTCTAACACAGAAAAGACCTGTCTATGCTGCCCCAGAACGCCTCGTTGGAGATTTCTCTTTTTCCATTGTTTACTTCTTGGGTATAGTGACGTATTTCGGGTATAGTGATGTGTGTGGGGTCGGCGAGACACCGCGGAACTCAGCCTGGGCACACACACAAACTCCCAGCCAGGCTGCGGGTGTGTGTGTGTTTCGCGCTGTGTCTCGCTGTCTCGCAGGCGGCCACTGGGCTCACAGGGAGGGGGGGGGGGGGCAGGAGCTCCAACAAGCCGTTTAGGACAGAGAGTGAATACACATACTATACAGAGATGCTGTATGAGAAATGTGAGTTTGGAAAATTGCACAGTATAAATGTATTTTAGTAAACCTCAACAATGGAATTATGATCAGTAGAAATGGCCATGACATGGGCCCTTTAAAGGTCCCCTTGTATACTCTTTTTCATCAACATATAATACGTCTCAGATATAGACAAAACATGTCTCTGAACAGATCATGCATTGTAGCATGCCATTCAGGTGATAAGGTGGGCGGGCGTTACCTTGGTTGATTATTGGCTAATAGTTGAACAACCCAAAAAAACATTGTGACATAACAAAGTGGCCAAAATCTGATCATCTAATCTTCAGACAGGTTTTTAAATAAATGGATCAAGACAAAAAGAGAGAGAATCTTTTTTACCGAGTCTTTCCAAATCTCTTAACACAGAGGGGATATATATCTATGTATAAAAGACATGGATTTTGCTTAATAGGTGACCTTTAACTCAGGATACAATGTTATTGCAACTTCAAACATTTGTGCAATATTGAGTATTATTATAATGAGAATGTTGGATTTCACTCAAACGGTAGGAATGCAAACAATAATGAGACTCAGTTTTGTGACATGCAGATAGATTCATATGGAAATTGGCAGGCCTAAGACAACAACAGCATATCTCTTTATTTCTCCTGCTCTTACCTGGAGCCCAGGTCGTCAGCGTCCGTGCGCTTGTCCAGCACGCTGCTGAGGTTGTGTTCTGCCAGCGTCTCCTCAGGCACCTCCTCCAGCTCCTCCTCCTTCTGCAGGGAGAGCCGGTAGTTCTCCAGCTCGATGCGCTCTGGGGTTCCCCGCAGACGCTTGGCTAGGCTGGGCTCCTGCAGACCGTTGACCTCCGGGGCTGGGGATGGTGATGGAGGAAATGGCAGGTGAAATGATGACATCGAGGTGGGCAGCAGGTTGGAGGAAAGAAGGCAGAGGAAAGAAGAGCACAAAACATTGCAACTGAGAGTCAGACAGGGGCAATAATAGAGAAGAGAGGAGCAGAAGGTAACCCTCTGCAGCGAGGAGCCATGCAGGGCTGATAAGAAGGGTGTTTAACTTCAACTGGGACCAAAACAAATCCACTGTTTAACATTTTGTGAATACTATGTAATTATGTCAAATAATTCTGACTATGTTTGTGTGTGAACTTATGGGCCCAACAGCATTAAAACCATCCTCATCCAAAAAGAAACAAGAGGCATTTTCACTTCTAATTTTAAGGACAAACTGACAAGGACACACCAATGTAAGGTCTATAACTGAATTTATTGCATTAATTATAATCCTACAGCAATATTATCAACAAACACAGGCAAAGTGTACCACTCTAAAATAGTTCTGCAGTTATAAGTACCAGGTGGTGCCTTGCCTTATTCCCATCCTGAGAAGCAAATCTCAAAACTGTTTTTTTTTTCTCCAAAATGTGTCTTTGAAATAGACTTGGTTACTCATTATTATGGATGAAATGGATCCAAAAAGTTGTCACATTTTACTACGCTTCTTAATAACATGAAAAGAGATTAAATTGCATTCCAATTAGGAAGACATTTTAAATCAGGCCTCATTTAAATCCCAATTAAAAAAGGAATAAGTGTGACATGTTGGTATATTATTCTTTGTAGAGGAGGAAAATGTTGAAAAAGCTCTATTGTTTTCCTTTTGTCATCAAAACAAGGCAATTTGCTGATAAATCTTCGAAAAACTTCGAAAACTCTGAAATTAAAGCGACCCATAACCGTAAACTTTGAATATCCAATTTATACTTATTTATCTTAAATAATGAGCATTAATTGTATTACGAGAATAACATATTTCATATTATAATACTATACTCGCTACACAATGCAGCAGGCCTACACTTAAGTTCAATTTATTATTATTTGTTATCTTACCCGCATGTTCGGTGTAGCTTTCTCTGGTCTTGATGATTATATTTTACAATAATATTCACTGAATGTAGCAAAGGGGGGGGTGGGGTGAGAGGGTGAGGGATGCAGGAGGAGAGAGAAATAAAAAAGAAAGCCAATCACAGGCACTAATCCAAGCACTAGTAGAGCTCTCAGTTTTGAGGTGCTCTGATAGGAGGGGAAAGGTAAAGCTCACAAAGCACTGATACAGGCACTTCATCACAGTATTCTGAGTTTCAGTGAGAGGGATACTGTAGGTGCAAGACAGCTTACAGAGAGAAAAGAACACATCACAAAGCAGGCTCTAAAAAGAACTCATCACAGAGGAGGAGGTCAAAGAAAGCACTAGAAGTTACAATCACAACAGAATTAAGCTTGGCTTTTCATTAAAACACAGGCAGGCAAAAATCAGGGTGATGTGATAACCGTATATCGTACAAATGTATTGCTATTAGGGTTGGGTGATATGAAGAAAAATATATCAAGATATCGACATTGCGACAATATTTGACTATTGATACTTTAACAAGATATTTACACAAGACCTGGTTTTGATACATGATCATTAGTTATAATGGCGTGTGGAAAGGCAAGTAATCAAACAGCTATAACATGATCTGACAGTAATGCAACTTTTAAAACCTGATAAGGTCTCTATCAGATATTACAATGCCAAAAGTGACAATATGTAGTCTTATATCACAATAACAATATAGTATTGATATATCTCGCCCAGCCCTAATTGTTATATGCCAAAATACATTTTTACAACAATGTTTGAGTAGTAAAGCTGGCACATTCCTGCAATGATGAAATCAGAACAGGAAGAGGGTTATCAATTTTGTTACACGTATTGCTGCCTTGAGAGCTCACCAGAACTCTTATTTTAATTACCAAGCCAAGAGAAAAATAAATAAATTGAAGATGCACCATTCACTTCTAAGATTATGCTGCCAGAGAGGCTGCTTTACTGCCTCGACCAATCACAAGTCATAAAATGGCTGCTAACGGAGACAGAAAGAATGCTGCATCTTCAAGAAAATCAATCCGAGACGAAGAATCACAAGATTTACACGAACACTCCGTCAGTGATTCAATACAGTCAGCTAAATCTACACAGTCCCACAGACATTAGTTGGCAAAGGAAAGGGAGAAAGAGTCATGCTAGAGGAGGTTGAGCAGAACATTGATGGAGAAACAGCAGAAGAGGTAGATGCAGTAGGTGCACAGGAAGGGAGAGTCTAGGGGGTTGCGTGCCACCTGGTGGCAGGTCCAGGAGAGTGTGCGGCGGAGGTCACACAGCCGGACCCCCACGCCCCTGACCAGACGGCAGGGCGCAGCCAGGGCATCAAGAAAGGGAAGAGGGGTACCTGAGGGCTGGAGCTCGGCTGAGGGGGACGCCGCTGCCATCGCCCTCCCGGGGGCATCCACGGTCGCTGTAGGAGTTTGGGGCGCCTGGTTCTCCTGCAAAGACAGATGACGTTAGCCGCAGCCCTTACCCCTACTCAGAGGTCACATAGAGGGCGATTTAATATAACTATGAGAAGTTGGTGGCGTGCAAATGAATCAGTTATTGTCTTGTCTTCTTTTTTGATCTCATATGCATGATCTTTTTTCGGCTAGTTTGCTTTAGCCATCACGTTAGTAGTTCATCCTTTTTTTGCATCCTGCCTTCTCTCACCGAGTCTCTTCCTCTTGTCTAAGCTCAGCAATTTTAAGACGGGAGGGAGAGATGTGAGGACAGAGGAATCCTTATTTGGGAAATAAGTTGTCCTTGTTTATTCAAAAGTCGCCTATTAAACAACATTTCTAACTTATTGCATGTGACAAGCCTTATCACAGGTCACTGGGCTGGAATCAAAATACATCCTTCAGACCCTGTACTATTTTGCTGTGCAATTTTAATACATTTTTGTATGTATTATTTTCGGTGACAACACGTTTTCCGTGTCTGAAATTACCATTTTTATTAAAAGAAAAATCACTTAGAGAGCCTATCACTATCTTATTAGAGCTTAGTTGAAATGTGTTTAAATAAGAGGGATTGATGCAGTGGAGGAATGAAGACAAGAACATAATACTGATAATGACTATCAGCCAGGAGAAATAAAAGACATGATTAACTTAAACCATTAAATATCCGTTATTATCATAAAAAAGGAAGCAACAATGATGTTTAGTAAAAGATTTTGCAGGAATTTGTATGAGAAGAAAGTCAATCGCGATTCCTTTTCCCTTTTACAAATCGCTCCCCTGCCATCAACATGTTCCCCTACTAGGCAGTGCATTTTTAAGATAAACTATACAATGAAAGTATTCATTATCATGCCATTCCTGATTTCCACCAGTCATTTCACCATTAAACAGAAACAGGTACCTTAGCAGTGATTGGAGTAGGCGAGGGGGCGGGCCTCTTCCTCTGAGCATAGCCAGACAGTCGGTAACAGAAGTGGGGCTTGCAGTAAAATTTCCCTGCAGGATAAAAAGAAGACAGACGGCACAAAAACAATAAATCAATCAAATGAATAAATACATATATACACAGCATATTCTGTTTATTTCACCTCAAAGAGTCCATCGGATGTGTTTCCTCTGCAGAAATAGACTGTTTGTTTGTTTGAATAAAAAGATCTTCCTTACTGTCTGAGCTCTGACGTGCGTGGGCTTTAGTCCCACGGTTTACTCTGAAAAACAGCTACTGTCTCTCAACAAACAATCTGCTGCCTGTCTGTGAGCATAATAGACACCTCACAGAGAACAATAATATGGAGTTAGGAGACTGCACGGCTGTGGGGTAAGGTAATGAAGGAATAGTTCAATGTCTTAGACTTAGAGTTTAGATTTACAAGTTAATAGCAATGTGGTATTTTTTCTTTACTAAAATCGTTTAGGTTGGATTGAGATTAAGTTTAATTCTGGTCTTGCGATGTTTAGGAACTTAATGATAGAGTCTTACCATCCTCCACATCGAAGGCGTAGGAGGACAGTCGTAGTGTTGTGTTGCAGTATTCGCACTTGAAGCAGCTCCGATGGAAGAACTTCCCCTCTGCACTCAGCCTCTCCATCACGTACACACGCTTTCGACAGAAGAAGCACACATCGCTGCCACCGATGTTGACGGGGAACTCTTTTCTCAAAGAGCCCTGTGGAAGGATAGGTTGAAGATTGATTAGGTTTTTATGAAAAAGAGAGGAGATGAGAGGAGAGGAGAGGAGAGGAGAGGAGAAGGGGGGATGTTTACATCAAAGATTTAGTGGACATCACACACCAGGCCACTGTCGATGTATGCTAGTTAAAGTGCTACTGTACACACACACAACAACACACAACAGAGCAAGTCAACAGCTATTTGTCAGTAGGAATAGGGATCTCTGATCATTGTGCAAATGATCGACAAACACAGCAGTATCCCAAACAGTATTTACTTGTGGAGCAAACACACACTTTACAGCTACAGGGAGATGGAGTTAAATTGTGACAGGAAGACTAACATATCAACAACACATTATTGTATGAAAAAACCACTCTCTGGCAATAAGGCTTTCATCTGCGCAGCCACATGCCTTCTACCCCCCTGGCATCATGCTTACCAAATCCTTCTTTTCAGGTAGGAGCTTAGGATCTTCCTGAGACTCAAGCTGATTGGCTATCTGATCAGCCAATGAGCTAACTCCACCTGTGTACAACCTTACATAGCGCTATCAACATCAATAAGGGAGGAAAAAAGACAAACAGGTGGAAAAGAATTAGAAAAATGATGGATGATGGATAGAAAAAAATAATAATATGAAAACAGATGGAGGAAGTGGGAAAAGGAGAGCTTAATCACAGAAAGCGTTCACAAGCAATAGTGTGTGACAGGACATTTGAGACATGACAAGGCAATGCTTCCATGCTTGATCAGGAGCTTAGATGAGACAGTAGCTCCACCTAACTGCAGAACCAAATATAGCTCAAATAGATAAGATTCACTCTGCATTTGCTTTCCATACAAAGAGCATTATTGGATTTGATATATCAGAAAAATATCCAATATCCCAGTATTCTTAATGACAACAGATACTAAGTGGACCGTCACTGATCATTAAGACTATAACAGTATTTTTTCTCACACACCCACAGTAAAGCAGTCATGCATTTTTCATTCACATGCACACACACAGAGGCACTCACACGCTGTACTGTTGCATAATTCATTGAACAATAAATTCGAACAAAAGAAAATGCTGCAAATGACCACTCAAAGTGGTTTGTTTTTATCCATTATTTGTTTGAATCCTAAATTAATCTAGGATTAGGTTTACATCCATTATAACGTAACAAAAAGCCGGAGGAAGAATTGAGGTCAGCATGTACTATGAGGCAAAACTAAGCCATGCAAACTGTTACTGTGGATAAGATTTGACTAGCTTTGCAGTCCTACTGCATTGCAAAAATGTTACCCTGCCACAGTTGGAACTGTGCTCGTCTGCATGGGAATTAAACAAGATGAGATTTTTTGCTGCCAAGCTGCTCTTTTAATCTAAAACAACAAATAGGGACTCCCTTGGTAAAATAACTGAGGAAATCATAATTAAGTTCAAACGCGCATCAGATGAATATATTTTGATATCTGTCCAGATAGTCACAGTCATAACAAGGACTGATTACTCACCCGCATACATATCACAACAACCACAGAAAACAATTATCAAGTTGCAAATGAGTTCCTTAATATTTCGCAACAAGCAGCCAGCTTTTAGAATAACGTCTCAGAGGAGCTTAAGACGTGTTAAGCAACTTTTGTAACTTGGTGAGATGATAAATCCTCGTGAAAAACAGGTGCAGTGTTAGCATCATCACCACACACCATTCCTCGCAGGCGTGAGACGACTACCTGTCTCAGGGAGTCAGAGGTGGAGGGGGGAGAACCAGGGGGAGACTGAGATCGAGCCAGGTGCCATTGTTCCATAACAAAACGGGAGGGTTTTTTCTTAGCCTCCACAAAAAGGAGGCAGAAATTAAAATATAAATTTAACAATTATACAAACATTATATGAACTAATGTTTCACATGAGTTCTGAAACAAAAATGTATACGTTTTATTTATCAATTTCCTTTGGAGAGCAGCCTGTTGGTCAGCTTAATTCCTTAGGTGTTTTATGCTAACACGCTAGCATACATTGCTGAGTTTAGCTATATTTTATCCTTTGTAACTTCCATTTTCTTTACATTTCTCCTTTTTTCTTTTCATCTTGTTTCAATAATATATTTATCTGGCACCTGTGAAAATACAAAAAATAACTAACTTGAACTTGACAGGACAATTCTAATTAGTTTTGTATTTTCCGTTAGCCGTCAAGTCCTTCCCTAGTTTTCTATGCTAATGTGTTAGCATGAATTGCTGAACAAGTGTAGGCACCTAGCAAAGAAATGTCAATAATAACCCTACAGCTGTTAAAAGTTTATGTTCATATCTTTCAAATAAAAAGTTTGTAGATATTCCTGTCGTCAAGGTTAGCCCCGCAATTCTCCCATTATTTATTTACTACATAAACAGAGATACTTTTTGTTTTCGATCAATGTTATCCCTCATAAATACATTTCAATTCACTCAACTTTCAGTTTCTTGGTATTAGAAGTTGTTATTTGAATGCTGCACTCTAATACTCACTAGTTAAGCCTAATGATGTGTACTGACCTGCTAAACTGCGACAACCTACTGGGAAAACATGAACAATTCTGGTGTCTACTCTTAAGAAGGTTAAGTTGACCAACAGGGCAAGACTCCCAAAAATGTGTAATGTATAAATATTAATTATCAGCTTTCTGTGGTAAATTGTCACCTTTGGTTGGGCTGGCTTGTCCTCAAACTGAGAGGCAAGTTGCTTAGCCCTCTCCTGAATACTAAGCACATATAAAGGCATTTCATCATCTGTGTGCAGAGGCCTTGCTTGCTCCTGCAGAAAAATAGATAATTCAATCACAAAGGGATTTACAAGGAGTTACTTTAGTAGTTTCCAAAAACAATCTCCTTTACAAAAAAGTTTGATATTGAGAGAAAAGTCACAGATGGTTTGTAAGCCATTGTTTTCATAGTTCCAGCTGTCAGTCTTTAATTCAAGCAGAAATGTAAGCTGTGTGGATAAACGATGAAAGCAATGCCCTGCAGTTAGTGAAGCTGCCCAACAGCAATTCCTAGCAAAAAATCGAAATAAGAGAAGTATAAACGAGAACTGAAGAAAATTAAAAGACTTTGGGTTAGGTATTTTTGTCGAAAGAAAAAACCTCCATACTGTATGTCTGTTAGAGTGAGTCCACAGCACCAAAACCTAACCTTTCTGGGAGATTCAGGAGAGGAAAGTGGTGAACCAGGACTGTCAGTCACGCCGCTGGACAAGTGCCACTGCTCTATAAAGAAACGGGACGGCTTTGTCTTAGGCTCCAGGGGGACAAAAGGAATGGTTGATGGAATTAGACTTAGGAGGATGTGCACACGCACACCAATAGCATGCCCTTAACATACAAAAATGTACCCAAAGAACTTAATGGCACTTGGAAAACCATGCACAGTGTTCACCTTTGGTGGTCTGTCAGGTTTGCCCTTAAACCTGGAGATTAGGCGGTCAGCCCTCTCCTGTATACCAGGTATGTGAATGGGTTTTGGCTCAGTCAGGTGCGGCAGCTTCCCTTCCTGCCAAGATAGCTCTAGTGAGACTTGATACTGATTTTGGTTGTAGCTAAAGGGCTGATATAATTGTTTTAAATAAAGAAAAACCTTGATTTGGAAGTCAGTTTTCCATCCATAATAACTCATCAATAAATGCCAACAACAAACTGAACACACATCCATGCTATCACTCGTTTACTGTACCCCGTAATTCAGAGGCATCTCGTAGTATTCAAGCGTCTCTTCTTCCGGGCTTTTGCGCAAATGCTTGAAGGCAGAAATGAGTAGATACCGTATCAACACGTTTTTCATCGGGCTTAAGCAGTCTTACTTAAAGTTGAGAATAGCTTTCTGTGTGGAATTATTGACAGTGCCTGACAAAAAGTTAAAACTACCCAAGGTCCCCTGAGTCGACAATTATTTACAAGCCGCCAAATCCAAACAACATACCCTTCGGCATGAAAACAAGCAGCTCCTCTGACAAACACCACCTACTCACTCAGTAAATAAGACTCAAACCTCTCTAGGAAGTGCATTTGAGAAAATGCAGCTATTGTTTTTATTAATGCTAAACACTGCCGACATCAAATCTGAGGTACAGAGAACACAAAAGGGGATTTGGGGTTATGGGACAGTAAATGGGTGTGTCGTGGATTTGAGGCAGAGATAGACAGACGGAAACAGACAGAGACAGCAGGCTGTTTGTCACCTCTGAGTGAAGAGAGAGCGAAGAAGTGGAGGAGGAAGAAGGGAGCAGAATGGTTTTCTTTGGGCAGCTCCGAGAGCCCGAGCTGGACACTTGGTCTGCACCACTTCTGGCCTTGAGAGATGAGGGACAGGAGCAGCAGATTCAGCAGAAAATGATAAGAATGATGATGAAAGTGATACAGCTAAAACTAAATATGCTTCACACTCCTTATTGTTCTAAGTCACAGTAGGCTAATAAATCATAATGCTTTTAAAAGCTTGTAAAACTCAGAGGTAAAATTATATGCAAGGATATTTGTGTCAGTCAGCACAAACTTAGCAATCCATTGGGTTAATGTAATTAGTGTGGGCTCCCACTCAAGGCAGCTTTAATAATGCTGGACACACATAAAGTAAAACAGACCACCCACACATTGTATTTGGCAGATAAACATAGTCCAATGTTTTTTTTACTGTCCCTCTTGTGGACAGTAAAAACTATCCACAAGAGGGAATCCATTAACGTTTAATTATTCACAATTTAAAACGTTTATATTCTAGTATATGGAAACTTCTCCAATATAAATAATTAACACTGAACATAAGAGTGGCTTAAAAATGATATCCTATACACTTAGTGTAGAGAAGTGTTTAAGGATTATGAAGATTATTCCATTCTTTACAATTGACTCAGAGCTAATTCACTCTGCAGCTAGAGAATTACCGTGCAATGAGAAGACATTTAAGAACAGCAGTGAATTAAAATCCCTTTAAAGAGGAGAGTTTGAAGCTTCAAATCAATGTCTGTGAGGTGCATGCCTAATCTAGTGACGAGACCAAAAAATACAACTTTCTAAGCATCAGCAGGAGAAAAGTGGTGCTGGCACTTCACTGTGCTGACTCCGAGTATACGCATGAGAGAGCAGTAAAGCAGGAAGACAACCAGACAGGCCTGCTGGCTACAGACGGCCTTCTACTGAGGCTGGAGGAGTGGATATACAATGGATCATATTTCTCAGTAAACAACATTTTTACACATCTACGATTCGGGTTGGTGTCAAACAAAAATAAAACTTAATTCTATCTACTTTTAAAGGTTGAGGGCAGTAGCAGGGAAACTTGAACTGGAGGTCATAGAAAAGTGGCAGAAAAAGCAACAAGAAAGAGGTGGAAGGTAGACATCATAGATAGAGACTATTCTGTTTTCTTTATCTGGTCACTTTTTTCAAATTATTCACTTAATCAACAATTGGCCACAATTTGCAAAGCACACCAGCAAGATGTAGGGATGAAGAACATAACAACTTTTATGGCTTTTATGGCATAAAAGATCTTCAACAATATTTTATCTGTAAAGAAATGTAACAGGTTTGTTACGCTTCCAGGATACACGATAAGCTATTTGGTGAAGAAAAATGTATGAAAGAAATGTTGTTTGTTTAGAAGAAATCTACAGAGCAAAACTACAGTTTTTTTTAAACAGTATTCCTTTTATTAAATTAAATCTATGACTACATTTTGGACAACAACTTCCCCATAACTTAGTCAAAAAGTAACTGTGATAATAACTACATGCAATATTCTTGACAAAAACAGACTAAAATGTTATTTTAACTTTTGTTGACAAAAGATTAGGCCTTTTATTTTATTTTTAAATCCATAACAGGGCTGCAGCAGCGGCATACAATGTGCATTGCCAGAAGGACTCGGAGTAATTCAATAACTTAAAGTTACATTTAACACAACAACAAGGGCTTGTGGGAGAGAAACAACAGGATATTTTGGCTAGCATAGATAATATAATCCTATGAATATAAAGCCCAAAATATAACCTGTCTGTTTGCATTCTTTTAACATGCATTGGGTCATTATTATGGCTGTATTTTTAACCTGAACCCTTCCTTCATCCTTATAAACAAACCCAGCATTGGACTAACTCACACTGGTCTTTGCCTTCAAATATGAATTGGTTACAATAAATAGGAGAATAATTTTTAATATAAGATTTAAAAACATTCAGTTATTGACAGCGTTTTGGAGTCATGACACCATCCTTGCCGATTGATCTACTTTGGGCTTATTTGGTTCTCAGTGGATGTTTTCCACTGTAAAATGAATACAGGAGTAACAGTTGTCTGGATTAGTGAGGCTACCTTCCCTTCCCATTGCTTCTTGATAGGAAGGCCAATTATTTTCCATCTAAAGGGGGTTGAATTGGACTTAATGGGATGTGGCAGGAGTTGGAGGACTACCAGGCCAGCTAGGCTAACCGTACCTGCTCCCCTCTGTTGGGCTGACCCTTGATCATTTCTTTGTAGCGAATGCTCAGCTGCTCCTGCTGCTGAGTGCGTCTCTGATCCAGGACAGGAGAAGCAACGATAAACCATGAAGCTGACAAACTCTTGTGTATCTCTCACGCACACAGAAACACACATATACAGCTATTTGATTGGTTAAAACACTTGTTAACCACACGAAAAGAGCTACTCCTACAAATCTGAGAACTGCACAATATCTACAGAGAAAGGGAGGCTCGGACTAAAAGGCTAGCACAAAGCAGCTGTCCCACTACGACACACCACAGGGACATATGGTTAGAAGGTCAGTCTAGTGGTTAGTTTCTATGGTAACGAGGCGGGGCGTTTCTACTCTTTACCTTTCTCCATGCTGGGACAGGCACCAGGCACACTGGCTCATTCACAGGGGTTTGGGGTGGGCTAGTGGGCAAAAGTTGGTCCAGATTGGGCAGAGAGTCCCCCTTTGAGGTCAGATAATGATGAGTGACAGCAAGAGAGGCCAATGAGAAGCCCCGAATAACCATGCAAGGCATCATGAAATGGTCCATGACGGGAGGTGTAATCCAGGAGAGAAAAACAGAAAGAAGGAAGTGAATCATGGGCGGATAGAGTCACAGAAGATGGAAACAAATATAAGGAACAGATAAGGAAATGACAGAGTCATGAGAAGATCATGCTGAGAGAGTAAGGGGATATTTATAACACTGTACACAGTAAATACCATGCAGAATGTACATCAAAAATAGATGGAAAAGAGGAAATATACAAATGTGTGAATAAACAGCAACTGCTCCACTATTCAGCATTTAGAAAGTCTTCCCCACTGAGCTCGGAGATGTGATACTTTGAAAAGGTATGTAAGATTTTGCATTAAAACAGTTAAAACAACAAGGACTGTCATATATATTTGGAGTCATATCTAAGCGATTTTCAAAAGGTTTTAATGTCCCACCTAAATAAATCCTTGATTTTCTTATCAAGTAAACGGGTAATTTTAGTGGCCTCTAGTGGCAACAAATTCCCTACAACCTGTCTAAATTCCAATTTTTGATGTGAATCCATGCGAATAATTCTCCGCCCAAATTTAAAACATTTTCCAATGATCCCATTCTTCTTTACAGAGCCACCAAACTCTGGCTTTTTGTTACAGTAGTAAATGACCTTTATGGCGTTTAAGTAAATGTAATCAGGTATTTAATTGATGAATTTAAAAGACTTCCTCTAGCCAAAGCAATACAAAAATAAGCTTATATTTAAAACAAAACGTCAAATCCAGGCTATTCCAAGACATACAGTAACAAAGCATTTTCTCAACAGTGGAGAGTTTCTTTCTCTCCATCAACAATAACTCTAGTGTTCCCTTTGGCCCACTCCTCCCTCCCACTCTCAGTGGCAAGCAAACCAAAGCTCTGCGAACCGATTCACCCGAGCCATCCAGGCCCAGTCAGCATTTTGAGGCCGCCTACATGACACAGGAACAATACCCAGCCTGACCAACATTAGCATTCTGGAGCTCAGCTCATTAATACAGTGGCCTACAGCTCTTCAATCATGGGACCAGAGGCCCTGTCACACAGCGAGAGACCTACATGTTCATGAAAATATTCATTGTGGGGGAAAAACAAACCACAATGCAAAAGTAATCAAAAAGTTTGACTACATATTTCTTGTTGCCAGCTGTTACACCAGAAAAAGAGCCACACGATTTCTTCCATACCTGTCGTTTGAGTCCTGAAGGCTGTGGAGCGTTCTCCTCAAACTTGGCCAGCAGCTGGGTCGCCATGACTTTGACTTTGTTGTGGTTCCCCGAAGCGCAGGACTCCATTTTTCTCTCTATCACGACAGCTGGGACTGAAGGCCTGTCGTTGCGACCGGACCTGGATACCTCCTCCTGTGAGAAAGTAGAAATCTTGTTGCTGACAGTCTACTGGGATTGATTACAATGTTCTGGTCAGACGGTGTGCTCCAACCAAAAATCACAATCTCAACATTTGAGACGTGCTGTTGTCAGAAGTACTCACGTCTTCAGACTGGCTGGTTTTCCTTCTCTTCCCCAAACTATCCACATCCTTCTCCTTTTTGTCCTGTTGGTGACATGTCATGAGTTATTTTTTACTCCATACTACAACAATGAAGTAATGACTTTTTAAGGTCAAATCAAGGGTTGCTTACAGGCATTTATTCAGCAGTCAAATAGAACATTACTGCATTGTCAATTAAAGATTAAGGGACATTTATATTCTCTTAAATTGCGGTTGTGGCGGTCACAGGACAGTAGTTTGTGTGCCGTGTTAAACCAAAAAATCATCATTGACTTATTTTCGCATTTTACATCAGTAATTGAAATAATGTAACAAAGGTACTTAATTTAAGCAACATCCTGGACCTATTTTAAGTAGTTTTGTTGCATGCTTGTTCTTAAATGTACTGTATTTTCAAAACTGTGACTGTAATCCGGGAGAAAATACATTTCTCTCAAAACATAATTTAGAATGCAGTTAAGTTGTGTGGGAACATCATTTTGACGAGGTTGTTCTCAGACACTGACCTTGGGATTTCGTTTTCTGGATATTGCTATGCTCTGACCCAGTTTGCTAAGGAAGGAGATGGGGGATTTGGTGCTGGATATCAGGGCTGCCTTCTCCTCAGGACTCATGTTGTGGTTATCTGAAAATAAATCCACAAAGGAAAAAACATTAAGAGCTTTAAATCCTCTCAGTGTTATGGGTAATTACGTTTTCAAAGCCTCAGTCAGAAGATGAAACGTATGTAATAACAGACAAGTCCAATAACCACAATACAGAAGCAGCAGCTGCAGTGTATTGCCTGCTCTCACCTCCGGGTGGCACTGTGTCCTTAAACATCTCATAGAACTGGCTGAGATACATGACCATGGAGAGCTTGTCTGGCTCCACCACAGAGGACATCTCTTTGCCAGTCATGCAGGGCGAGATGCCGAACTCCCTCTCCGCCACGTCGAAACCCAACTGGTTGTTCTTCTCCTGGTCGCGCTCGTCCAGGGAAACAAAGTCACTGAGGGCGGGAGGAAGAGGCAAAAATTGAGAATTAGATGGGACAGGAGAGTGAACGCAATCATGAAGATATGGTGGAAACTGAAAAGTTAGTCGTAAAACAAATAAGGATTAGTTTTTAAATAAATGTTAAATCTATGGAAATGTAACATGAATACACACAAACATGCTTCACAGATCACAGCTGAATGGGATTGTTTGTTTATTTTAAACAAATAAATATTTTATTTATAATTAATAATGTTTCTTCTGTGAGAGAATGGAAATATGTGATTTCTTTCAAGGCTGAAGCTAACACTTGTTTTTATAATAAAAAATAGTCCAAATTGGTAAATATCTGGTTCATCAAAAACCAAAATACATGTAGTTCAATATGATATGAAACAGATAAAAAAAAGGGCATCTCCATATTTGAGATACTTCAAATAGTCTTGTCTGCAATGTTGCCGAAAAAATAATTCAACAATTAATGAATTGTTAAATGATTTCAGCTCAAGACATTAGCTTTACGATTCTCCATTGATTGCTATATTAAAACCTGACCTACTGTATTGTGACTGAAAGGTGAAAATACTTGAACAACATAACTGCATTGCATCATATATATATTGTGTTGTGATAACGTAAAGAAAGAGCAATTAAGGTATATTTTTGGCGAACTATGGTGTGATTATTTTGTCCCATTGAGTGAAGCAGAAACAAGCTGTGAACATAGCATCACCATTATGTCACGAGCAAACGTGTTAGCACCATATTTACAAATCCGACAAACATAAAGGCACATTATCATTCATTATTTATTTGACTAATCTAAGTGCAACATTCACTCATCCGTGAGCCCTGTTTTGCGGCTACCACCTCCTGGAGGGATATATCTGGATGTTTAGCTGCAAAATGCTCCACTGTGCTTATTGCTAACTCTGTATGTCTGAGAGGTAATGGTTGGTTGTTTCTGTAAACATCTGCCTGGTGTGGATGGAAAGAAACAATGCTATGAGCGTGAGATTCAAACAAAGCAGTCGTGGGTTGTAATACAAAAACAATGAGCTGGCAGAAACTTTAAAACTCCACAGAGTTGAGAGAAATCGCAGAAATTATGTGGTAAGACACTATGAGCACCTCAATTTACATTGCACACATTTGATATATTATAAATAAATGTTATTATTGCAGCTTTCATTTCTTAAAAATATCCCAAACATCATGATTGATGTTTTTCTAGTTTGAAATGAAGGTTTGCACACAATTTCTTTGAAATAGCATATGATTGATGATCATCTTGCACACGAATCAATAAATGAAGGTATCAAATATCTGTCTCAGTTATTGATTAATTAGCAAAGTTAGCGAAGAGGCAGCAAATCCATATTTTCCTCCAAAGCAGCTTTAGATATAAATTAACTGACACCGAGCCCGCATTACACACTAATCAGGAAGCCTTTCTGACAACAGGATACTGTCCATGTTGTGGAAAGCATTACAGTAAATGTCATTATACTGCAGTTGAAAATACCATTAAGCTGAGTCATCAATACATCTGCACTGCACATACAGTCCATTTAAAAGCATTAAAACCTCCCAGCAGACACAGAGTTTACTCTCCACTGAATCCCTCTTTATCGTTCGTCTTCTACATGCGTACACGTGAACGCAGTTTTCCCAAGGTAGCTCCACACCTCCTCCTCCCATCATCTGGCCTATCAAAGGCAGCAGAGCACAACTGCTGCACTACTTGGTAAAGGTCAAGCAGGACAGAGACACTAATAGCTTCTAATGTTAATAGCAACATAGCCTCTAGAGGGTAATAAACTACATTAGGCAATGCAGATGGAGACTGTGTTGTTTGTTGTGTGTTTCTGTGTGTGGGGGGGGGGGGAGACGGGACATGAGGAGGGCTCCCTTAAATTATTAGCTGTCACCTCATTTACAGTGATGCACGACTCAAAACCAAGGTCCCAAACAGACAATCAACATTATCTGCAACCGATAAACACACATAAACACAGCAGGCGGGTCATTCCAGGCACTGCGGCAGTTTTAACCCTTTCATTCTTTCCATTGAGAGATATGCCTTGAAGAGGCAATGTTTTATTGCAAAACTAATTTTCCATCTGTATTAATCACTGCTCTTTATGGTGTGGTATACGAACGCTGCGTTTAATACTGCAAAATATGTGAAAAACGGGTGACACTGTGCTGCAAAAGCCAGAATTTGACAACATCCTGATGTTGCTAGATCAGAAATAGGGGAAAACGTTTTTGTGTGGGCTCCTGTCATCAATTATAAACATCTTAAATACCGGTGAGTTTATATATTTACAAAGAATGTTAATATGTGTAAAAGCAATAATTTCACTGCCATATTTATGCCTTATTAAGAAGACTTTAGTGTGAGTGTTAATTGAGATGCTACAATGTTAGCATAGCGATGAGTGATCCAGACCCAATTAAGAAAACAAGCTTTTTAAAAGTTATTGTCTTGCAAACAGATATGACAGAGTATGAGTTCAGATGGGTCATTCATGATTTTGTACGTATTTCTTTCAGATACTCACATGAGGTCCGGTCTGTATCTGTCAATGAGGGCGCACAGAGCCAGACCGCTCTTCCAAGACATCGTAAGGTCCGTTACATTAACATTCCTGTATCCCTCCGTTTGTCTCTGGCACCAGTTCAGCAGCTTACTGGATCTAGCTATGGATTCTGGTTTGGCAGAAAGAGAAATTGTAAGGCTTTATGGTCCACAGCAGCTTGAACATGGAAAGAAATATAAACTGTTTCTGGGAAGCACTACACATTTATAGCTGGCCAAACTCATGGCCTTGGTCAGGCAAGGCTGAGCAAAGGATCATAAAATGTTGTCATCCATGGCGTCATGAACCATGTTAGTACCAGTTTTAACCAGCCAATGAGGAAGTATTATTAACCATGAGAAATGGAGGGATGCAAATGAGAGGTTAGGATAGGATGCAGAACTTATAGGAAAAAAAAAAAAATTCAGCTAAAAATGTACAAACAAAATAAAAGGGGAGATCAAAGCGAAATGTCAAAGACCCAGTTAGTACACACAGAAATTCTAAGCGGCTGCATCAGTCCATCCAGGAGTTCCATCATTCCACTACTAATTTTAACATGATTAATTCATGAGTACTCAGCCGGTAGACTTTCAAACTGTTAAAGCTATTAGGAGTCCCTGAAAAGCAACACCATGCATTCGGACTTTGTGTTACCTTGCAGCTGCTTGTCAAGCAGACAATTGTCTAGAGTGGAAATAGTTCATTGTTACATTTCAGCAACAGTGATTGCAGCAACATCCTACACTGAACAGTCAGCATATTGAAAAATGTATTTTGTAACTACAAAAAAGTTTATATTGTTTTTTTTTAGAGCATGTAATAGATACGAACCATTCCTGGCCAACTTGGGTGTCGACGAGTTGATCACATTCTCCATTTCGATGCACATTTCCCTGGTCTCCCCTGTGTCGCAGAAGTGCCTCACCTGGGGAAAAAAACACATTATATTACATATCTGCAATTCCAAAATATTGAATTCCGTGAAGCTAACATGTGTTTTTTGTATTGCTTTTCAAATATGGCAGCTGAGATTTGTTGTACTAACCTGGCTTGGCTTGAGGAAGTTAAGGCTAATGTTGGGGTAACGTGTGGTTGGATCCACGCTGTAATGACTGAAGTTCTTACTGATGTTTTCTGGCGTGGTTTGGGGCAGGATACGGTATATACTTTCCCTAAAGCAAAGAGGAAAACAATAAAATAAGTGTAGTATGATTGTCAGGAAATACAGAGAGAAATAAGGGGTTTGCTTAAGGAAACACATTGTAACATTGTTATCAAACGGCACACTACAGTAGGGGAGTCACATTCCATTCAGTTCTTACGAGAGCCTTTTATCCCATTAGTACTAGCAGCGGTGGGACTGGTGCTTGAAATCACATACAGTACAGGCACATTTCCTAGTAAAGCACTTAGAGATAAATGGGTGTGTTAGAGGAGAGATATTATGCTTGTGTGGCTGTGCATGCACGTGTGTCAAGTACAAGAATATGGTATGTGTTTCAGTGTTTCAACACCCTTACCTCTCAGCTAGAACTTCAAGTGGAGTTTTTCCCTGAGCCCAGCTCTTCACCATCCAGCCGGAGTCCATGGCTGCCAGGAATCCTCGGGCGATACCAGTGCCCATGGGCCAGAAGGGCTGGAGAAGCATCAACACAAAATTCAACAACCAAATATGGCCACAGAAGAACTGCAGATATAATAATAACAAAAAGAGGTAGAGCTCTGCCTGTGAAACAAGATTCAAAGGGGACCTATTATGCTACATTTCAGCTTCATACTTGTATTAAGGTTTACTACTAAAACATGTTTACATGCTTTTATGTTTGAAAAAACACATATTTTTACTAATAATTTCTTTCTGAATATACCTGTATACCTCTTTCTGAAACGCTCAGTGTTAGCAACTGTCTCTTTAAGTACCCCCTCCTGGATTAGCCGAGTCTGCTCTGATTGGTCAGTGTTTCTGGGTCTTAAGTATTGAGCTTTTGGATTCTATGCATCGCCATTGCAGCAAGGGTAATGACTGCAGCAGCACTTTCTATGTATATATTTTTGACATCACAACATTACAGAAGTCCTGACAGATCTTTTTCCGAAAATGAGAATAGAATATATATAGCACCTAGACCTGCTTGATAATCCAAACATCCTGACTATGGAACCTTTGAAGAACAGCATAAACATCACACGTGTGGAAGAGCAAAGTTGTCTCATGGAAAGCTTTAAAAAAACTCCACCTCCAACAGGCTGTCGCCCACGAGCCCCGTCAGCAGCGCGTGGCCGTTGCGTTGGCGCACCATGGCGGCGTTCTCTGAAGCGTACATGCAGGTGAAGTCGAACATGGCTACGTCGGGCTGGCCGTAGTGGTTGATGGCAAAGTCCAGTGTGGGCAGCAGGTGGTTGGTTGAGAAGTCGGCTGCCTCACAGGCGTAAGACAGCAGGGCAGCCTGGTCCACGTTAGCTCTGGACAGCAGCCTCTCCGTGTCCGCATAGTCCTGCAAGAGAAGCATGAGATTAGTAGTTAGATGAAAACTAATAAAAGCTGAGATGTAACGAGAACTGTGGTGAGTTACAACTTGCACAATCAGCAGTTCAAGGAAGTAGCAAGAGTCCTCAAACTAATAATGACCTACTAATAAGCATATAAACATATTTTGTTCGCAGCTTCATACAAAATCTATCGAAAAAGCCAAATCTAGTATTGCGTGTTATTGCACTTACTATGTGACCACTTAAAGGTGGGGTAGGTAAGTTTGAGAAACCGGCTCGAGATACACTTTTTGTTATATTCCATGGAATGCTCTTAACATCCCGATAGCAATGAATATCTTAAGTGCTTTGACAAAAAATCCATAAAAAATGTAATCTGTGGAAGCCGTAGTACTGTAAAAAGCACGACCAATCATTTTAGCCGGCCCGGCTAAAATAACTGGATGGCCTACCTGCCTGTCAGCCTTCCTTCGGGGCACAACGTATCTTGTGCCCTCATTGGTCATGTACATCTAACACAATATTACAGTAATACTCTCAAAGATTTAGAGTTTTCTGACTAAGTGACCATCAACTGGCAGCCAAATATGGCACGCCAGACATTCTCATTTTGTAGTTGGTGATCCCTGAAGTAAGGTATGTGGAAGGGCAACTATAAACTGACAAATTAGTGACATTTCAAAAGACAGTGTAATATTTTTGGTGACAAGGATAAATCACATTTAGCAGTAGTGACATTGTGTAAACTAAGGAGTAATTTAAACTTGACAGCCCCTTCAACACACAGCACTAGAAAGAGCACTTGCATTGGAATGAACCGTGCAGTTCACAAGTCTCTCCAACATGTAGCTTCAAATCACTGCATGCTTTCTAAGTGACATGTTTTCACAGAGGGCGGTGAGACGCACATTCTTCCACCTTCAGGCTCCCTGGTTGTCCAATGCCAGGCTGACTGTGGTGATGGTGGGTGAGAGGAAGGGCAGGGTAGTGGAAGAAATGATTGAGGGTGGATTTTTGATTTGCAGTTGAAATCCTTGAACTGTGTGGTAACACCGCCCCTCAGTCGCCCCCTCCACCCTTCCTTTATCCCTCTCCAAGGGGCAGGAATGAGTCAATTGCATTGCTATAAAAAGGATCTGCCCATTACTTAGTATTAAAAAGGAACTTTCCAGAAGCTGCTCTGCCGGTAAATGATTGCTTTTCATTAACACCTCCAAATACCCTCAGGCTTCAGACTACAGTGTGTACCTAAACATCATTAATGTCATCAGCTAACCATGAAAATGCACACACAGACTCACATGTTCATCTAAAATTGGACAGATGTGGTTTGCAAAAATGTTAATGTGAAATACTTTTGGAGACACAACCCAAACAAAGCACACCTTCAGACATTGATGTAAAAATATTGTATTTCCTGTTTCCTGTGGGAAATGGCCAGAGAAAGGAACCTACTGTGTACAGTGAGGACAGGAACACTCAGTACGTGTGCTTGATTTGTTTCCTAAACACTTTTGGCTTGGTGGGACCATTAGGCCTATGCTGGGCAGAAACAGAGCGAGAATAAAAGACTGGAAAAATGAAAGAGAGGGAGACAAAAAGGCAATAGAGGGACAGACTTCTGATTTAGACAGCCTTTACGGGCATACAGCCGTTATATATACTACAGGGGATATAATGAGATCCAATAATTGACACACAGACACACAGACACGGACACACACACACACACACAATCAGACACAGACAGACACACACACACAGAGCTTGGCTTTGATGACTCACATGCAGAATGACTCCTTTCTCCATCAGGCTCCGTTTTTTGGCAGTCATCACAAAGTAGTGCGTGTCATCCTTGTAGTAGACAATGTTTTCCAGGTCAACACCTAAAAAGACCAAGAGAAAGACGTATTGTTTACCCCAAAAACAATTGCTTTCCTTATTGCCAGAGCTGACTGTCATGTCGTCACTAGAGGAGCAATTAGACGACTCGGAGCACAAAGCCCCGGAGACATTGTCATGTCAGCAATAAACCCTGGCAGGCTTGGCATCAAACCTAATGTTAAGCATTTTAATTGGATAAACTGACAAATTCAGAAATGTGGTCAAAGGACAGATTATGTCCTCAGTTTTCCTTTTTTCTGTTTCACCAGGGCTTCCAGCAGCTCCCATTTTTGTATTGCTGTATCCATGTCTATGATTTCACGTTTTAAAGCAACGGTGGGTAACGCTTTCCAGAATTGTTTTGATATATTTGTTGAATTATTGTAATCATATCATTCTCAACCTGTCTGCCTACATGCACACACCATCATTACCAAAGTCCTTCAAAAAAGCTGCTGAATGATAGCGATGAGTTTTAACGATAGCCGTGTTTGTTGTTTTGCTTTATTGTGATATGTAAGGATAATTTGGGGGTAGTGGCTTTGAAAGGAGGCCTGAGGCTGTCTGTGTTGCCGACTTGTCTACTTTCTTGTTAGATTTAGCGCTTCTAAAGCTAGTGATGCTAGTTGCTTTCACTGGAAAAGAGTTGGAAACACCGGATGGGTTTTGGGTTGCATCATTTAAAAGTCTAGCTTATTCTTTCTCACTTCTTTAATGTTGTGTACCCTTTGCTTTAACCTGTTAAGGCCAGAGCCTGTTTTTCAGGCCTCAGACTCGAAAATGACATTCCCAGAACAAATGACTATATATTCACTTCCAAAAGGGGTAAATGAATAATCTTTTTTCTCAAAGCAATGATAAACCTGTGAGTTGGCTGTAGAAGTGTCAGAATCAATAGAGATGTTTTTATTTTAAAGTAAATTCAGATTGAACATAGTAAAAAAAAATTAAATTATAGTTTCCGTCTAAAGAAAACCCATTACTTATCGTGAAAACCACCCTTGAATGATGGGATAGTAGCCAAAAACCTTTAGGAATCCAAACTATAACATATAATAAGTACCCTGTATCAAGATTGATGCAAAACAAGTGACATTTGACCTCTTTAGAGAGGTTTAGAAAGAAAAAAAACACTTCTGGGTGCATTTGGGTGCATTTGCCGTATCTCTGGAACCCATTGGTCGATTTTGATGATTGACACCACTTTTTAACCGTTAGAGCCAATATAATCGAGGGGGGGTTCCTAAATCCATCTAAACATTACCATTGGTGAGTGAGAGTGATGCGCATGCAGCATGCCCAAAACCGGAAGCTCCGTTACACTCTATATGAAAAATACGTTTATTGCCATAAATATGATGATGGATTATCAGTAATCATTTCAAAGTGACACAATTGGATTAACCTTCAGCAGCGTTTATATGCGTTTTAATGCCATTCAAGACAACTTTTTATAAGAAAACAGCAAAGGTAAGACGTATTTGCCGTTTTGGCCCCGTAAAGTGAAGTTGTGTGTTATTTTTCCTGGCTTTCGCTGCCGTAAATATAACATATCGCTACCGTGAGTTATGTGCTAAGTGCGTTAGCATTTTTTCGCTTAGTGCTAATTCAGAGGCTTGGCATTACCCTTGTGTTTCGTTTAGCTAAAAATGGTTCATATCGTCAATTAGCTGAGTTTCTTCCCGTTAAGTGGGAATGACACATTACTAGGTTGTTAAATGTAAAGAAGCCCTGAGACACAGTTTCGTGCAATATTGTTGTGTTTTCCCCCGCCGGCGGGGGCAATCGGGCTTAAGAGGTTAAGGCCTTTGCACACCAAGTCCCCATTTTTTGTATATGGACATTTTCTGTATGTGACAAACCTGTGGATTCTCTGAGGTCTTGAAAGAACTTCTGGTTGAAGATAAAGGCCACCCCGCTAATCTCCTCGACCTTTGCCTCCGCTGAGGTGTTCCTGTTGATGAAGTTTGCAGTGATGGCAATGGCCAGCTTGCCCCGGAACTCCTTACGCCGAAACCCTGGAGGAAATGACAAGAGGAAACAGATTCAAAGGTCAGAAATCAGACCTGCATTGTACCAATATTAAACAAAAAATTAGAAACCGACCACCACTGTGATTATGTTTGCTTTTACGACATATTAAACCCTGCAAATGCACACTGTAAATGCATCCAGATGTTCTGTATCATGACAACATAAACAGTATTGTTGTTTTTCAAGCCATGTGATTGCAGTTCATGGTTATCCCAGAGGGAGCCTGCTGCTTCCCTTCATTGATGCAGCTCTCAGTAGTACGGGGAGAGATCACGGTACTCTGCTCCACAGGGGTTCCTGCTGCCAGTGTGAGGCCCCAACACTCATAGAAGAAACAGACAGCCAATTCAACAATTCCTATTATTCTCTGCAGGGAGAGCTGTCAGAAATTCTCTTTGGACGTAGCAGCCAGACACAAACAAACACACGCATACACAAATGTGCACAAATGTTCATTCATACGTGAGGATCGGAGTGAGGTCATGCAGCCGACCACAGCTGTACACGAGTGAGATCATAATCGTTCTGACTGACGACCAAGTCAGCTTAGAAAACACAAACAGGGCTGTTTGTGTTTTGCCTGGTTTAGTCAAGGCAAAAACCTGCGATGTATTTCTTCTAGTCAGTACATGCAGACTTGCCTGGCAGCGTGTTTCTCCTTCCATCTGCTCCAATGATGACATCAAACTCGAGTTCGTTGACAGGGTGTGTCCTGGGGTGGACCTCGGCCCTCCAGCCTATCCCTGAGAAAACACACAAGATGTGTAATCAGGCAGAAATCCATCAACAGAGCCAGCTTAAAGTCTCTGACAGATAGCTCCCTGATGGAACACATGTTCTGTTTCCATTCATTTTTCTTCTTCTTGTCATTCAGCTTATGACTCACTTACTTTCAGTTTCTTGATCTTCTGGGGGCTCAATGAGACTCTTGAATTCCACGTTGACATGGATCTCAATGCCCAGCAGGAGAGCCACTTTGAGCAGAATCAACTGAAGCTGACGAATACCTTTATTACAGTACAGAGAAGGAGAGAAACGATTGACCTACAAAACCCAAAAATGCATCACTTAAGCACATCAAACTCTTTATCCAAGCAAATAAATCATATACATCATATAGGTAGTGTTAGAAAACAATAGCAAGACAAAACTCACTGATATGATCGATAGCACCAGCACAGAACTTTCCATAGAACTTCTTGGCCCCGAGGCCCCTGAGGTCCTGGATGGTGAAGGGCCAGAGGTGCAGCACATTGTTCCGAGAGAAGGCATCCCTCTTCTCTAGCAGCACCACTTTGGCCCCCAGGAAGGCCAGCTCGATGGCTGTACGTAAGCCACATGGCCCCGCACCAATGATTACACACTGCATACAGAGAGAAGCACATGTTATAGACAAGCTCTGAGAAAGATTTCAACCATTGACATGGAACAGCAGATCCACTGTCCATCTTTCACAACAGGCTGGAAACCCAAAAAAGCATTACCTGTTTTGCAACACGCAAAGAGAATACTAATTTATGAGAGTGAAATCAAGCTGTAGTTATTAACATGCTATTAACAAAATAAGCAAGCTTGATTGGTCTATGTTGATGCTTTACATGCACCTCATTTAAATTTAAGAAAGAAAATCCATTGCAACTCAATTTTGCGTGGATTGGAAAATGGTCACCTATCAAAACTGTCAATGTCCGAAAGCTAGGGCAAAGCTTAATTAATTAATTAAGATAAGTCAAGCTAAAATATGACAAAATAGCTCATTTAATTAGCTTGACTTATGTAGGATAAAACCAGACAACTTAAGATAACATAACATACTGAAAGCTAACATGAGCAAAGATAACATAAGCCTAGCTACATTTAGATAGCATGGCATAAGCTAAGCTAAGTTACAAACTGTATTCATCTTAAAAGGAAATGTTATTAGTTGGTTGATTAAATGAACTTTATTTTTAGACCACAGTTCAAAGACGCACTAGTCTTTCAATTCAACTTTTTAACAACAAAAAATACAGCCGCTGATTGTCGGTCAGATACACTTTAAACCTTTAAAAACTTTAATAGCAACCATGAGCATCACATTACATGATTCTTTAAGCACCACATTTAGCTCTCACTGAAATGACACCACCAAGAAGCAAAGTCACCTTCAAACTAGGCATGCCGTTTGTGATGATCTGGGCTTACCTTTGAGTTGGCACAGGCACGGCCTTTCTTATACTCCTTTTGAAAAGCCCGCTTATCTAACTTTACCCAGAGAGCCTTGGCCTTCCAGTAGTTGAGTTTGGACTTGAGCTTGTGATAGAAGATCCTGTACTCGCCAGGCCTGACTTCCAGATGGTCACAGAGGTCCTGGAAGGCCTTGAGCGTGCCCTTGAACGTGGTCCCCTGGACAAACTTGTCGAACAGGACATGGGACTTGTTCACCCCATCTCCTCCAGTTGCACAGACTCCTCCATCCCCCATAGTCCAGACTCACACAGGGCTGTAGGGCCCTGCAACCCCCAGGCAGGGGTCTCTGGGTCCAGCCCCAGCCCTGGAACAAGCTCTCTCTGGTGGGGGGCTCTACCTCCCAGCCTCAGGCATCTTCATTCTGTCCACAAAAGAGAGAGAAACAAATCAGTTAATTAAAGAAGATCATGCTCATAAGCCAATACACAGGACTATAGAATCAGAATCAAGTTTATTGCCAGGTACGTTTACACATACAAGGAATATGTTTTGGTATTTGGTGGTGCGAAAATAAACAATCTAAAAAACAAGTTACAAAGTAGGTAAAACAAAGAAATATATGCATTAGGGATGCTCCGATCGATCGGCCGCCGATCGATATCGGCCGATACTCACTCTCTGCCGATCGATCGGTGCTCTCTAAAAATGCTGATCGCGAGAGCCGATCGCATGACATAAAATTGTCATGTCAATAACCTGCTTAAAAAACTGAGGGTTAGGCTAGGTTTCTTCTTCAGGAACAAGTCCTGTTTCTCGCTTGAGGCCAGGAAAAGGCTAGTCACTGTGACCTTTTTACCTGTGCTGGACTATGGTGATTTGTTTTATATGAATGCACCTGCCAATTGCCTGGTCAAGTTAGATGCTGCGTATCACAGTGCACTGAGATTTGTGACAAACTGTAAAGCATTAACCCATCACTGTACCCTGTATGCAAGGGCTGGTTTGCCTTCGCTAACTGTACGGAGGCTCAGTCACTGGTACATTTTTATATATAAAGCCATGTTAGGGAAACTTCCATCCTACATCTGCTCCCTGATCTCACGGCGAATTGTAAGTGGCTACTACCTGAGATCGCATGCTGTGGTTTTATTAAATGTGCCAACTGCTAGGACTGTCTTAGGGAAGATAGCTTTTAGATGTGCAGCTCCACTGTCTTGGAATAGTCTGCAATTGAAATGGAAACTGAGCAATCTGGTGCCACTAAATGTTTTTAAAGCTCGATTGGATGCTACTCAATCGGAAGCTGTTGGTACCTGTTCATGTGGATAGTTATGTAAATTGTAATCCCTGTAATGATGCTGTATGATGTCCTTTTTGTTGTTCTGTTTATGTTTTTATGTTTCATGTGGAACCTACTTGAGCAGGTCTCCCTTGAAAAAGAGATCAATGATCTCAATGGGATACACCTGGATAAATAAAGGTTTGAAATGAAATGAAAATTATGACGTAAAATACATGACACTTTTCTCTGTGGCAAAACAAGCTGGCCAAAACGGCTTCACCAGTCTGGCAGTATTTTAAGGTGTCCGAAAATTACAATAAAATAGTGGTATGCAACGTGTGTGAAGCAGAAATCCTGCAGCTCCACCCGCTGTGACGGACCGGTGAGCGGAGCAGCACACACACTAACGGCCCGTCCACACAGCAGCGTTAAAAAAATCTTGGAGGTGGGCGTATCTGAAGCTTGGGGATTTTTTGCGAGCAAGGCACCAACAACCAATCACATGAATCTCCCGCCCCCGACATACGAAGCAAAAAAGCCCGAAGTAAACTGGATATAAACTCCCCAAACAGGCGAAAACCTACCACTGTCTCTGCCACCTCCCTCCATGCCTGGCTCCTCCGGTTTATATCCCGGTAGGTAAATAGGGACTGGTCATAAAGCACCGGGTGATTCCCTACCGCTAATTTCTCCTCCATTTTTTGGAATATGAGGAAATGACCTGCGGTATGTCTCTCCCAGCATACATGCGGTTTGATTGGCTAGCGCTTGAACTGTCAGATTTGCATACACGGGATTTGATTGGCTGACGCTTCCACCTCAGCTTCAAAAGTTGAACATTGCTCAACTTTGAATCCTGAAAATCCTGAAAATCTCCACTCTGCTGCCCACAATGCAGTTCGGCGAAAAGTGAGGCAAAGTGACGTCACCCCATTCAAAGTGAATGGGCAGAAGCGTTCCAAGATTTTTTAACGCTACTGTGTGGACGGGCCGTAAGAGTTAGACCTAACACACTTAGCTATTTTATCTACCTCTGGAACAAGCTAAACTAGTTATAAATATATGTATTCTTCACTGTCGGGTCACTCCTTACTTGATCACGGAGCTGCATGAGAAAATACTGACAGGCTGTCAGGAGAGAGAGAGGGGGAGAGAGGAAAAGAGAGCGCTTCCGCTCATTTCTCCCGTGTTATTATCCAAAATTAATGTAAACTTGAATAATGTACTTCATTTGAATGTAATAATTATGATGGTTGTTGTTTGTGAAAGCGCCAGTGAATGAGCCCCATTAACTGAGTTTTAAACATCACTTTAAATGGAAGATCCCCATAGGCCCCGCCCACTCGATCGGATCGGCGATCGGTATCGGTCGATACTGATTTTAAGAAACAATTTAGCATTAACAAAGGATGCTAACAACAAGTATTTACACCGACATTGTAATTTAACTATACAAATAACCTTAAAAGCTAAAAACTAAAACACTTTGTAAAGGCAAACTACAGTGCATTATGTAAAGTGACATCACATGTTTAAATTATATCAACACTATTGAACACGACAGCAATCAGACTAATTAAAACTAGGGATGCTCCGATCGATCGGCCGCCGATCGATATCGGCCGATACTCACTCTCTGCCGATCGATCGGTGCTCTCTAAAAATGCCGATCGCGAGAGCCGATCGCATGTCGTAAAATACATGACACTTTTCTCTGTGCGCGGCAAAACAAGCTCGCCAAAATGGCTTCAGTCTGGCAGTATTTTAAATAAATAAAATAGCGGTATGCAATGCAACGTATGTGAAGCAGAAATCCTGCAGCTCCACCCGCTGTGACGGACCGGTGAGCGAAACACACACTATGAGTTAGACCTAACACACTTAGCTAGTTTATCTACCTCTGGAACAAGCTAAACTAGTTATACATATGTTTATTCTTCACTGTCGGGTCACTCCTTACTGGATCAGTGAGCTGCATGAGATACTGACAGGCTGTCAGGAGAGAGAGAGAGAGAGAGAGAGAGAGAGAGAGAGAGAGAGAGAGAGAGAGAGAGAGAGAGAGAGAGGGGGGGAGAGAGGAAAAGAGAGCGCTTCTGCTCATTTCTCCCGTGTTATTATCCAAAGTTAATGTAAACTTGAATAATGTACTTCATTTGAATGTAATAATTATGTTTGTTGTTGTTTGTGGAAGCTCCAGTGAATGAACCCCATTAACTGAGTTGTAAACATCACTTTAAATTAGGGATGCTCCGATCGCCAATTTTGGGGCCGATCGCCGGAATCAGTATCTGCCGATACTAGGGATGCCAGCGATTATTCGATTATTCGATTATTCGTTACAGTCTCCATAATCGAATATTATTTTTAAAAATCGATTTTATTAATATATTTTTTTATTAATATTTATGTTTTTCTTTTTTTTCCTGGTTTGGTTTCAACCAAAATATAGACTAATGCTAATAATAGTAATAGTATTAATAATTGTAAATGACCATTGATCACACCACCAGTTTGTTTTACTGTAAACTTGGAGGAAGCCAGCAGCGCAGAGTGCTGCAGCCTGCTACACACCGACCCCGCCCCTCCCCTCTCCGTCGTGGAAGGAGGCGGTTTCCTTGAGTTTATGGCAAACGTGGAACCAGATTACAGGGTCCCGGGCCGTACTCTTATCAACTGTCTCAAAGGTGTCGATAACCACCGACGGGTGGACGGCACTCACAACTGAATCCTATGTTACCATAACCTGACATTATATCGATAGTGAATGGGAGATGAAGAGTGCGGTTAATTTAGCTGAGAGGCTCCGCAGTGCTCTGTGCCCTCGGAAAGGGTTTTTTCGGCGGCAGGACTAATCCTTAACCGGCTGCGCTCTCGCCTACACCCATACATACACACATAAAGTAGGCTATTTATTTAATTTATTTCAATTATGCTATTATTAATACTGAAGAGCCCTTTTGTACCATGTACACGTTCCAGTAAAAGAAAACAACGGAATACCATTTGTCAGTGTTTTTTTTTTCCTCCTCCCCGGGGGGGGGGGGGCGATTAATCGATTAATATTCGCCAGGGCTGTCCGATCTTCGATTTTGGTCATGGTCAGTTTCTGGCATCCCTAGCCGATACCGATCGCCGATCCGATCGAGTGGGCGGGGCCTAAACTCAGTTAATGGGGCTCATTCACTGGAGCTTCCAAACAACAATCAACTTAATTATTACATTCAAATTATGTATATTATTCAAGTTTACATTCACTTTGGATAATACCACGGGAGAAATGAGCAAGCGCTCTCTTTTCCTCTCTTTTCCTCTCTCTCCCTCTCTCCCCCTCTCTCCCTCTCCTGACAGCCCGTCAGTATCGTCTCATGCAGCTCACTGATCCAGTAATGTGTGAGGCCGACAGTGAAGAATAAACATATTTATAACTAGTTTAGCTTGTTCCAGAGGTAGATAAACTAGCTAAGTGTGTTAGGTCTAACTCTTGTGTGTTTCGCTCCGCTCACCGGTCCGTCACAGCGGGTGGAGCTGCAGGATTTCTGCTTCACACACACGTTGCATACCGCTATTTGACTGTCTTTTTCGGACACCTTAAAATAATGCCAGACCGGTGAAGCCATTTTGGCGAGCTTGTTTTGCCGCGTACAGAGAAAAGTGTCATGTATTTTACGTCATGCGATCGGCCCTCGCGATCGGCATGTTTAGAGAGCACCGATCAATCGGAGCATCCCTACTTTAAATGGAAGATCCCCAAAATTGGCAATCGGAGCATCCCTAATTAAAACCAAGCAACTAAGGTGTGATTGCCATATCTGCGTGTCTCTTTTGACGCCCTCATAATAAAAACAGGCCCTGATCCTCTCTTACTAGTCAAGTAAACGTATGAAGGCTGGTCGAACAAACATCAAAGCAGGATTTGAGGATAAAGAGCAGGTCGTTTAAGGTCATGCAGTCATTCTTCTGCTCGTGGCATGACCTAAAAGAACCTCTCATCTATCTAGGAATGAGGCTGCCGGACATAGAAAGAGCACTGAACCCTCCAAAGGAAAACAAGAAACACTCTGAGAACAAGTGTGGAGACAAGTCTGTGGCACAGATCGCTCCAGACAGACTTGAGACAGGAAATAGCCAGTTCATCCCTA